GGCACTTAATAAAACAGGGCAAACCTCAAAATGGGGAAATGCAAGCAAGCCAAGCCAAAGAATTATAGACCCAGAGCCGGCCCAAGCCTAAAGGGGGCCCTAGGCAAAATTTGATTTTGGGGCCCTCTATTTCTGCCAATAATATTGATTGTTGATCATTCACACACCTTCACAAATCTCTTTGATTAACATTCCATGATGTGCAAACATACATTTATCTTGGCGTTTTTTCTCTTCTTCCTCTTTCTTCCTCTTTCTTTTCTGTGGTCCTGAAGGATATGTCCTTATTTGTGGCATTGTTTTGCCCCACAACTACCTGCGCTTTGGATGCTCAATGCACATTGCACAGTAACAGTAAGAATCATAGGTCTACATCAGCAGCAGCACTAAAATGTTTTAACTTTATTTTATTTTTACAATAATATTAGATCATACAGAAATCACCACTCATACATGAAAAAAATAAAAAAAATCTTTAACTTTTTTTTTTTTTTTTTTTTGGTTGCTCTTGGGGGCCCCCTATTGGCAGCGGGGCCCTAAGTAAATATCTAGGTGTACAGCTGGATAATAAGTTCGACTGGTCCAAGAATATAGACTTCATCTACAGAAAGGGACAGAGCTGCCGCTTTTGCCTGAGAAGACTCCAATCAATGGACATCTGTAGTAAGATGCTGCAGATGTTTTATCAGTCTGTGGTGGCAAGTGTTCTGTTTTACTCTGCAGTCTGCTGGGGAGGAAGCATCATAAACAACGATGCAAGATGTCTGAACAAACTGGTGAAAAAGGCTGGCTCTGTGGTTGGATTCAAAATGGACTCAGTGGAGGATGTGGTGGAGAGATCTACACTGAGGAAGGTGGAGACTATTCTAATGAACATGGATCACCCACTTCACAACACCTTAATAGACCAAAGGGCCAATGGTGGTAGACCGTTCCTCTTTCTTTGCTGCAGGACAGAAAGATTCAGAAGATCTTTTGTACCCACAGTCATCAGATTTTACAACTTTTCTGTAAATAATAGATGACTTTTAGAGATATGACAAATGAGACGACAGATAACTGAATTTCTCTTCGGGGATCAATAAAGTTCTTCTTAAGCAGGTGCTTAGTTCACTTATGCCTTGGGCCGGCTCTGTATAGACCCACAGTTTTTATGTCACATGTATGTAAATTAATGGAAAGGATGATAAATGAGCGGTAAATCGTCTTGTTGGAGGGCAAAAGCATGCTGGCTCCTTATCAAAGTGGATTCAGGAAAGGATGGCAAAGAATGGAACCAATGGTGTGCTTCGAGGAGGAAATATGTAAAGAAGGCCTCTTGATAAAGCTCCACTTAATGGGGATTGGAGGAAGAATATTTAACTAGGTAATGGACTTCTTAAATGGAAGAACTATTCAGGTGAGGATAGGGGCAGAGCTATCCAACCAGTATAATGTTGAAAATGGTATGACACGAGGGAGCGTACTAAGTCCAACACTATTCTCAGTAATGATTAATGGTATTTTTCAGCTGATGGTGCCTTGTGGAAAAGGGGGAGGAATTTTCAGTCTGTAGTCAAGAAAATATAAGAGGGAATCAGTCAAGATGAGAGGTGGGGAATTAAATTTGGGATTTAAGTTTTCAGTGGAAAATTCAAAAGTTGTTTTCTTTACTAGAAATAAACGAACAAACTTCAGATTCAGAATGTACAGAGATGAAAGAGAAAGAGTTGAAAGCTTTCCCTTCTCAGGGCTACATTTTGACCAGAGACTAACCTGGAGAGATCACGTTGGTCAGACAATCTCAAGCGTAAACAAGTTTTAAATGTAATAAGATGCCTTGTAGGACTGTGTTGGGGTACAGATTTTATATCACTGCAGCACATGCATGTGGCCCTAATCAGATCCTGTTTGGACTATGGGAGTATAGTATGGATCAGCAGCGAAATCAGTTCTGGCAGGCTTAGATGTAATAAGGTACAAGCACTAAGACTGTATTTAGAAGCAGTCAGATCTTCTCCTGTATGTGTACTCCAGGTTGAGGCAGAGGAAATGCCATTACAGTTTAGGAGGAAACAACAGGTGGCCCAATACTGGGTTAACATTAAAGGGCAGGATGATGAGCACTCGACAAAAAGAGCTCTGCAGGTGTGTTGGGAGAAGGAAAGAGCACAAAAAGAAAGTTTTGCAGAATGGGATGTTTGAAAAATAGTTTGCAGAGACTGCAATATGGCCTGAAGACCTGTTTGGATGTACCAGAAGCGAATAGTAGATGTTGAGCTTCTGCAAACTAAGCAAAGAAATAAAAACAGATTTAATCAATCAGATACCAGGACTGGGTCCGAGTTCATATTGATGGGTCAAAGGAGCCTCTCTTGGGTGCAACTGGGGGCAGCAGTTGCACTACTTGGAGTTAATTTTGGATATAGTAGGAGGACATCCAACCCCATTTTTGTATTTGCTGCTGAGTGGTTTGCTGTGGCTATGGCATTAGATTGGAATGAGCAGAGTGGCTGCAGAAGAGTTGCCATGTGCAGTGATCCTGTGGAAACCGTGATCAGTGTTGGAACAGGTGTAGCAAGATCTCACCAAGACTTAGAAGTCAAAATATCGTTCTCTTTTGAGGGAGTGGAAAAGATTGGTAATGTTGTGTTTCTGTTGCTTCCAGCACATGTAGGCCAGTGGCGATTGCTCTAAGACTGCAAGGGAAACTCAGCTTCCCTTAAAATGTCACCCCCCAAAAAAAGAAAAAGTGGTGAAATACGTACTGCTGTGTGAACATTTCGTTAACTAAATACGTGCTAGAAAGCCTTCATCTTTTGTTCAGAATCAGCTTCTTATCACACTTTGATAAGAAGCTGATAATCACAGGTAACCGGCACAACTTCGTTCTCATTCATCCTCGCAGCGCCTCAGCGCTTACACAGCCAGACGCTCAGCGTCTGCTGACTTCAATGTGGAAGCTCAAAGTGGGTTGTTCCAGCAGCGAAGCTAGACGCTCATTGGATAAATGCTGGGCTTTGTCCCGCCCATCGGACGCTCAGCGTCTCTGGAGTTCTATGACGAGAGGGCAGTCCCAACTTTCTCATGGACGCTGAGCTTCTGCATCCATGATTGGATGAGCTGTCTGAGGCGAAACCTTTTTTTGAATGACAGCTAAACAAGCGAATCAGCAATCTTGAAGAATAAAACATCTACCAGATCATTTTCCAAGTTATTAATTCCGTTGTTCTTAACTGCTCCGGAGACTTTACCGATCCTCAGCAACTTTTGTCTTCGTTAAAAACATAGACTGTAAATACTATGGACAACCTGGTTCCGCCTTCCGCCCGTATACGGATTTGAAGCCAAAAAGCTCTCTGTAATTCCGGGTTTTTCTCCACTTCCTCGAAACCAGAGCTGCGCAGTAGCGACGCGCACATTCGGCCACGCAGTCGCCAAGAGTCCCTGTGATGACGCTCGGCTCAAACAGCGTATCCCCCCGGGTGAGATACGCTATCCCTGAACGCCCATAGGCTGTACCAGGTGTCAATCATAGAAAACATGAACCCCCTAATAACTTTTAAAAACGGAGCTGTACAGAAAAAAAGGACTTGGGCAAAAAAACAGTCTTACAATAACTACATGTCAACATCACAAGCAGGGGGGAGAAAAATGTATGTTCTGTGTAAAAAAATTTCTTAAGTTTGTCCACAGTCCCATAAGCTTTGCTGGCGGAGGGATTTATGACCTGTACTGCAGCCCACCATCAGAGGATGCTGTTCTCGGAGTGGCTTCACCTAGCGAGGAGGCAGACTCTGTCCATTCTTTATACAGTCTATGGTTAAAAACGACTGCCGTTGTGTTTGGTGACTCTGTTCTGTTACATACAAATAAACAAACACAATTATGATGTAGGCCAGAAAAATGAGCTTCCCCTCCTTGAAAGACCAGCAGCCGCCACTGTTGTAGGCATTATGGGAAATCAAAGACCAGACAATCTGGCAAAGGAGGTGGTTAAGAGAAAAGCTATCGAAGCAGATATTAAACTGTCAATGTCAGAGGGCAAGAGTATTGTGTGGAGTAAAGTGACGCAGATATGGCAACAAAACTGGAACACTGAGACAAAAGGAAGACTATTCACTACAAAACAGAGTAAGATCGTCAAGAAACAGAGGACATAATAGAAAAGAGCAAGTGATAATAACAAGTTTTGAGGGCCAGGCATGAACTTGAACAGTACACTGCTTATTAAAGGGAAACACCCAACAGGACTGTGTGAGCCGGAAACATCAGCACACATACTTGTATCATTCAATAATTACTGTCAGGAAGTACAAATGATGATGAATAAGCTGGAGAAAATAGGAAGAGACAGAAAAAGTATTCTTGAATGTGCAAAATGTGGGCAAGGAAGGGAGGAGGTGTTGACATTTTTGACTGACCAGAATGCTTAACAGAATATCAAAGAATCAAGGGACCGGAGGATGAGAAACTGAGGGTGGCAGTAATGCAACTTCATGGATGCCAATTTCAGTTAAACACCAGAGAAGAAGAAGGAGAAGACGTAAACAAAGTCTGGCGTCATCTCCGGTGTCTGGTACAGGCGACGTTTCGGTACAAACTGTTACCCTTTTATTTGGCGAGTTTAGCCAATTACGTCTATGGCTGTCGTGGCTACAAAAGCTTTATAACCTTACAGTCGGTCTCATTTTTTATTTTGTCATGTATAATAAGAGTACCTGGAATATAAATAAAAATCATCATCTGAACGCTGTCGCTAAAAGTCTCTCCTGCCGTAACCAAAGCACATCCACAAGCGCAATCGACCGTTGGTCACCGGTTGACAGGGTCACGTATTCAGGCGAAACACCGGTGCTCCGACTGTCGCTCGTTTCGGAGCCGTGTATGGTTACGTTTAAAGAGTTTCTGACTTTATAGGGTGTAGGCTGGACCAGCGGCGACAATGACATGACATTAATGAGCTTAGAAAGCAGAGCAGAAAACACTCTTACTTCATTATCGATCTGTTGTTTTCCGTGATGATGAGCAGAATACCGCCAAAGAGAGTATACACACAGCTCCCGGTGTGGGTCGTAGAGGACCACCACGATGTAAGCCGAACTGCACTCGTACTCAGCACTTCCATTAATAATTTGGGGGGTTGGCGAAGCTTGTAAATCTGTTTTTGTGTTTGTCAGGTGGTGAGCCACATTTATCGAGCCATCGCATCCAGACACCTCCCTCTGAGGAACATCAGGATGGTTCATTTAGACTCCCACCCCGACCTGCTCATCCCCATCAACATGTGTGCAGACACCGTGTTTGATAAGGACACATTATTCAGGTATCAAACATGCGCTCTGTGAAAAGCTGCATAGGCTGAGTATGTTTCATGTCAGCATCATTCAAACCGCTGATGTCTGAAAGGAGGTCTTATACAATCTGTAACAGCAGGAATGCAATTATTATTACACATGACATGTAAAGTTCAGGGCACACTTCCACCGCATGTATTTGATAGTAAGCACTAAGGGTAATTTAGACTTAAAGTATGATTTTTTGTTGTTGTTTACACTATAAAGTCTAACATTTTGATGAGAAAATTCCAAAATGTAACAACAGCATAAGTGTAAGGACATGTTGACAAAAACAGCTCGAATCACTTTAACCCTTTGTTTAACTGGGAATAGTGCAGAGAAAAACTGAAGAATTTTATACTTTGGTAAAACACACACATTGTAAATTTTTATTTTTTCATCATGTGCTTTTAATATCAAATTTTAACAATTTAAAACATGACTGGGATAAAAAGGACATTTGGAGAGGCTGAGACCCACCAGAAAACGATGAATAGGGCCTCCTCCTCTGAGGGATGGTATGAACTAAGAAAGGACAGCATTTTTTTTTACATTTTTTTTCTGAGCACTCAGTTGCTTCTAATGTTACCAAGTGGACCATAAACACTGCAAGGCACGAAAAAGGATTTCTTGACTAAACGTCTTTTACTCTGTGTCTGATGTTTCTTAGTGAGTTAAGTATAGAGAACTGGATCATGCCCATGGTGTATGCTGGTCATGTGTCCTGTGTGGCCTGGCTCCATCCATACTGGGCTCAGCAAATCAGGGAGGGGGAGCACAGGATGTTTGTCGGACGAGACCCTTCCACCACCACCATCAGGTAGCACACACCCTTTCACTTGCTGTTTTATGAGGTGTATATCTAGACTTAGAACCTAGAATATCTGTAGTCAGGCCACATGACCACATGACTGTTGCCTCATTGGACTCACCCTTCTCTCCTTCTGTGTTTATGTCCTCTGCTTCACACTCAGGGTTACAAGCACGGATAACTACTTCCTGAGTGATGGTCTGTATGTGTGTGAGAAGCAGCTGGAGAATTCCAAACCCCTCAGACTGAATGTTGTCAAAGTGAACCCCATCAAACCAGGTCAAAGGTCAAGTAGAGGTGAGTGCTAAGAGTATCAGATACAGAGAGTCTTTTTTATAACTGACTGAAAAGAGATGTTTTTCGAAGGCTGGCTGAGGCAGAGCTTGATGTTTTGGACCTGTTCCATCTGTTGTGGCCATATCAAGCAATCATGTAGTGCAGCGGAGCAGCATTACTGTACTCTGCTGTGGGTGTCACCCCATGCGTTGTTGGGGGCAGGCTGTTCCGCTGTGCTAGAGGCTCAGATGTAATAGGGATGTTGTGGTAAATGAACTTCAAATGTTATAATGCACAGGTATGTTAGCCAGCAGATAACTACATAGATGTATAGGCCCCTGCGTAAACCTTTAATAAGCTGATCTAGGATGTCTTTTTCATACTTCTTTGTGTTGTTGTAGTAGATTTGTCAGAGTGGTATGCCTTTCTCTCCACACATGGAAAAATCAAACAAATATGAAATATGCTGCAACAGGATAATGTTGCTGAAGTTTCTGTCAGATCTGTAACCTTTAAGGGACAGGTTGAGAAAACCTGATGCAAAACCTCCCCACCTAGACTTTTGGATCTGGGCCCTACACCACAAAGCAGGATTTGCAGTCATCAATGTAACTTGAGGGTTTACTCCAGATTTTTTGTAAATTGAAGGTTCACTTCTAACTAGGATGGATCACCATGGTAACCTGTGTTGAACATGTTCAGGACAGGAGATCTGTTTAGTAAAAAAAGAGTGAAAGACTCTGCCCATCTGGACTGGATCATTAGAATAGTTTTGGTTGTAACCTACATATACAGATCTATTTAAGTGGAAATGCTGATTAAGCATTTCCACTTATTGTTATTCCTGTCGGCCGTTTTGTTTATTATTATTATTATTATTCCGCCAATATTCGTCCGCCTATAACTCCTTCCTACTTTGTGCTATTTAAACCGTTCAAATTTTAAACTATTCAAAAAAATTCAGCTCATTAAGGACATTATGGAGTGTTATTAGGATTTTTTAATTTATTGTATCAATATGATTAGTAGAGTGTTGCAGTTCTCACAAGTTTCTTATCATGAATATAGCTGTTACAGAGAAAGAGCATCAGGGCATAGTCTGGCATTTTGTTTCTCAGCTTCAAGCCTCCTTTCTCCTGCTGTAGTGATGCATCTACGGTCCCCGTGGCCACCAATTAGCGCACCTGGAGACACACAGCTGACTGGAAAGCTGCTTCTAATGGCCATATGAGACACATGAAGCCAGGCTCAACACACAGAGCTTTGGGGGTGACATTTAAATCCCTTCACTAGAGCGCTTGACAAACTTCGGCCCCTATCTCCTCCCACAAACTTTGAACTACAGAAACCATTCAGGGCTCCAAAAATTCAGCTCATTGAGGACATTATGGGGTGTACTCATCATTGTGTTTATGAGGGGCAGAGGATTCGTACGATGTTCTTATTTTCACTCTGGGACTTAAGGAAATCGCACTATGTGAAGAAGTTCAGAGGCCCTAAATTCACTGCAGTTAGGCAGCTTCTCATTCAAACAGTAGGTCAGTTAATAGTTAACAGGCACACACACACACTCTGACAATGTGTGTGCGTTAGTCTCTTTCTGTCTATGAGACCTACAGGTACACACAGTAATTATGTGTCTGCTTCACCACCTATCTCCACCCACAAACTTTGAGCTACAGAAACCATTCTGGGCTTGAAAATTTCAGCTTATTGAGCTATTTCCTCAGCTTCAAGCCTCCTCTCTCCTGCTGCAGTGATATACCTTCCTTCACCATGGCAACCAATTAGTGCACCTGGAGACACACAGCTGACTGAAAAGCTGCTTCTAATTAGCCTGGCTGGGCCATCCTGTTGCGTGAATCACTTGATGTTCCTTCCCACCACAGTCTAGACGAGTATTCCCGATCAGAAAATAACCGGGCCAATCAGAGACCGTGTTTCCACTGTTACCCGGACAACAGGGAAAGGCAGCCCCTGATTGGTCCATGTGTAGTGGTGACGTCTAACACATGCTGCGGGACTTTTCAAAGCGCCTTTCATTTAGAACGCCGTTAATTCTGCAGTTGACTCTGCAAATTCGGCAAAAATCGTTTATATCTGACATCTTCTGCGGATCTAAACGATTTCTGCCGACTTTGCAGAGTCAATACTTCTTCTATTCTAAAACTACTTCTACTGCTTACATGACTACTAATATCACTACTACAACTACCTATTATCACACTTCTTCTAGTACTAAAACTTAAACTTATGCCACTTCTTACTTTTCTGTGTTTGAAGGTCATTTTCTTCCTTATCCAATTTTTTTGCAATTTCAGACAGTTTTCTTGCCTCTTTCAGCATGAATGCAATTTTAATTTATGAATCACATTCATACTGTTTGGACTTCATACAGTTTTCACTTTCATCCAACTTCCACTTCTTCTTCTTCACCACTTTAACCAATTTTACATTTAAACCTTCTATTTTTTATTAGCAGTTTTGCATTGCTTTTTTCAGCTTTCAGCACTCAGCATTTCCACGCATTTTCTGCATTTTCTGCATTTTCTATTTTCTATTGGTCTATTATTATGTATCTGTGGTTGAATCTCAATGAGTTTCAATAATTGTTTACTCCAACAATGCTGATGTTTTCTTTTACTCATAGATCAGTTTAGAAACAGGGATGGTTCACCTCCTTGGTACTGCTTTTGATACTGTTTTCTGATGTTTCAGGACAAAATTCAGTGGAGGACTTAGAGAGATGGTTTGTGAAGAGACAGAGGATGGACGGGGAGACAGCTGAGGAGGCCGGCTGCTCTGAGACTCTCTTTAAATTTACTGACTCACTGCAGCCAGCAGGAGTCAGCGCTGAGGCAATTCTGGGTACTGGGAAGAGTCAAAGCACTGAGACAGATGACAATGATGAAGGATCACCAGCTTATGTTGTAAAGATATTATCAACAATGCTAAGTGAGACAGAGCCATACATACTAGACATCGATTTAGACTTCTTCTCCTGTAAAAACCCTTTCAAGGAGTTATACACACAGGTATGTCAGGTCATAATTATATGCAAATGTCCATAGCTTTATATCTTACTTTTTATATGTATATATGAATTTATCTGAAGTTTTGTTATATCGTTATTCTTTTTATATATTGCATTTTTGTTTCTGTTTCCTTGGATTCACCTCTGCCTCATGCTTAATCTGTTTTCAGAACGAGTATGACATCTTGAAGGAGCTCTACAACTTTAGAGGACCTGGACCGAATGCCACTGAGGTCAGACCAAACACTTCAGCTCTGGGACACGTACATCTATGGTGACATGATTTATTTGCATAAATATACAGCACACGCAGGGCCTGATTCACAGAGAGATTGTGAGATTTGAAATCTACTTCACAATTCATATGCTAAGGGTTGAATACTCCCTGAAATAAGCTGCAAAACAACTACAGTTTCAATGCACCAGTGTTGTTTTTGTATATGTAAGTAAGATATTATTTCTTCTTTTCGGCAAATTTTGTCCTTTCTATAAATAAGGCCCCATAAGTAATAAAAAAAAACCTTGTTTACAAAATCAGTGCTAACAGACAGAAATTTTTACCATCCCCTGGATGTTGGTGGTAACTTAGCTGTAGTAGTTATCAGTGATGTTAGATGTTACATTTTCTGGCAAACATGATCGTAATTCCATCAGATGACTAGTGATGGGCACGGAAGTTCTTTTAGATGTACTGGATCATTAGAATCAGTTCACTAAAAAGATTTGTTCAAAAGATTCGTTCACTGAATCATTCAGTGCTTGGCTTCCTGAACTGATACACAGCTGAACGGTTCAGGATTCAGTTTAGATCATAACTTCTATGACTGGGAGACGAAAGTGTTTGGCTGTGTTGCTTTGGCAAACAGGTTTCTAAAAATGAACTTGATTATAAATCATGATCTTTTAAGTGTATTGTCCAATGGAATACTATTTTATCTACTCGGTAAATTGGGCTCAGTGAGTGATTCGTTCACTGAACGTTTACCCCGCAGTACATTTAGTGAAGAATTCAAACTGAACATGCACCGTTCCCTTGCAAACCACTGCAATGATAGGATCCAACAGACACGCATTTCTCAAACTGCGGGTTTTATACACTACTTGTGACATGCTTTGTCCTACTGTTTGCGAGTTGCTGTGGTGGCAATTTAGCAGTTAAAAAAAAAAGTTTTGTCCAAGGTACACTTAAACACAACACATCCCTATCTCCCTCCGTTGCTCCTGTCAAGAGCTTGCTACAGTTGGTGAGTCTCTCTCTTTTCTCATTACCCCCAGCCTAACATTTTAAGTTTGTTTAATTGGGAACTAAATCTGTTTAAATAATGGGGAACAACGGTCGCCACAAAAGTGTACCCCTCAGACAAAAATCATTCCAGAGAGGGTAGTTCACTGCGTGATTCGTTCAGTGTTTTAGGCGTCGGCGTGTGTGGTCCCTCGCTCGCCAGCTGCTTGCCCAGCAATGCTGTGTGCTATGGCAGCGATGCTACTGACAGCTCAGCTGAAGTGAGAAATGACCGAATCGCTTGAGGAAGTGATCCGGTTCAGTACATTCACTTAAAAGATTCAGTTCCTTTAAACAAATTATTCGCAAACGACACAACACTACAGATGACCTGGGGCCTCATTTATAAAGCTTGCTTACGCACAAAACCTGGCTAGAAAGTGCTTACGCCACTTCTTACGCAAGAGTTGGGATTTATAAAAAAAAAACTAGTGTAGGAATGTGCGCAACTTTAAGCAAACTCCACACCTTGCTTACGCACTTTTTGGAGACAATCGGAGCAAGGTGAGAACAATTGGTTAATGGAAAGCGCGTGTATAAAAAGCCATACAGTGACAGTCGTGCGCAATGCAGCACAAGTTTCAAGTTTTATTTGTCACATGCCTAAATGTACAGGTACAGTGGCAGTGAAATGAAAGTGACGTCTGCGATTGTGCCAAAAAAACAGAATAATAATAATGTGAAGTCTGTTCAGAGGGTGTTGTAAGGTCAGTTATGGGGTGTGTGTTATGAGGAGTTCAGGATCCGAGTGGCCTGGGGGAAGAAGCTCCTTTTCAGCCTCTCAATCCTGGCTCTGTCGGAGCGAAGCCTCTACCTGAGGGCAGCCACTCAAACAGTCTGTGGTTGGGATGGTGAGTGTTTGATAATCCGTCTTGCCCTGGACCTGCACCGCTGGGTGTAGATGTCTTGGAGGCTGGGCAGTGCAGTACGGGCGATGCGTTCAGCACAACGGAAGACTCGATGCAGGTCCTTTCTGTCCTGAGAGCTGCAGCTGCCGTACGAGGCAGTGATGCTTGCAGAAAGCACAGACCACACTGTGGTGGTGTAGAAAGTTTGCCAATTTGAATTTACAAATGTGCAAAAAACAAATTCCATTTACATGCATTTGTTTTAAGATTAATATGACTAAATTTTTTTGGTTTACGAACTTTCACCACATAAGCAGCGGTGGATAACGGAGCAGTTTTTTTTTGGAACACATGCATGAGTGTCACACGTGCTTGTGTTTTCTGATCCTCACCTGTCGCCGCCACGCTCCGATGGTGCAAAGCCACTTTTTTCTTTGCCTCCACCTTTAGATCAGACCACTTCTTCTTGGTTTCGGCAACGCTGCGCTCAGTGCTAGCCGCACTTACCGCCACGGCAACGGCGTGCCATTCGGTGGCTTTTCTTTTATTAGTGATGCCACTCGAATGGCCGCCGAATAAGGTCTCCCATCTCGATGCCACCTCATTTACAAGAACCTCCACCTCGGTCTCTGAAAAGTTTCTTTTTCTACGACTTACTGATGCCATGATTAAGCGTGAAATGCCGTGGATCCATCAGGCTTATTTATATGCAAATCACATTCATGAGGTCATTTGCATGACCATACATGGTGAATTTTGGGTGTGGAGAGGGTGAGGCATGAATCAAATCCCTGCTGCGCAACTTTCCGGCTGGTCTGTGATTTATAAAGGGAAAGTGCGTGCAGGTGTGTGTAGGCAGGGTTTTATAAATCAGATTTTTTTTTGGCCTACGCACTTTTCAGCTTTTCAACTTACGTACACTTTTAGTATGGATCCTACGCCAGGTTTTAAAAATGAGGCCCCTGCTGATGATCTATCTGTACATTGAGTCTGTAAATCTTAATAAATAAGTATTGGTGTGTTAGGATCGTAAAGAGTTGTTTCTACAGAGTGGGTCTGATTCATGAAACAATAAGGTGAACAAAATTTACAGGTAAGCCATCATTCGTCAATATTTTAGTATTTCTGATTTGCTTGCAGCTCCGAACAAAATCTGCACCTGCCTCTGACCACTAGTAGAGTTTGTGTAAGTGAAGATTACACAGGAATATTGTCTATCATCAGAAATCCCTTTTTAAATTTCTAACCCCAACCCTATCAATTAGTTTTCATTTATATTGCGCCAAATCACAATATCTCAAGACGCTTTTGAAAAGAGCAGGTCTAGACCGAGCTCATTGTTTAATGTTTAACAAAGACCCAAGCTCAAGATGGAGAAAAATTTGACCCATATATAGACCTACTCTTAACCCATCTTGAACCAACATGAGTGAAGCACCTGCAGCATTTAGCAAGTTAGAGTGGAGAGGAAGAATTTCCCTTTAACAGGCAGAACCCTCAAGAAGAACCAGACTCATGTTAGATAGCTACCTGCCAACACTGGGTTAAGAAAGAGAGGGGTTAGATGAAGATAAAGAGAGAGAGAGCGAGGGAGAGAAGGGGGATGACAACATCAAACAACAACAAGCAGCACCAACAACAGCAGCAGCTCATACAGAGTTCTGGTTACAGAGCCAATAATGTTGGAAGAATGAGTTCTGTTTGCAGGATCAGGAAATAAGCAATAACAGACTAATGTTAAATTAATTTAAGGAGATTAAAGTCGCCCAAATAGTATAGGGTGACCATATTCTCAATCCCCAAAAAGAGGACACGACTACGTGGGGGCGGAGTCACGGAGTTGCGCAAAGTAAATTTTGAGAGTTTTTCAGGTCGGGTCGAGTGTTTTTTACGTGCTTCTAACTTAGTAAGTCCATGCGACACAAGCTCAAAACTTCTATTTAAAACCCTGGACAGGCCTGACAGCCCCCCAAAAGAGGACATGTCTAGGTAAAAGAGGACATATGGTCACCCTGAAATAGTAGTTCAGCATCCCTCTACATAACAGCTCAGGTGATGCTCATTTGGAGAATGGATCTGTGAGAGCCACCTGATTTATCTATAAGACTATGACCAGTTTATAAACCTCAATTCCAGTGGAGTTGAATCTGGTAGGCTGTCTGAAGTCATTTATTTAAAAATCTGCAGACTACATCTGGAGTCCAGATATATTGGGATAAGAAACTCTCTGTCCTTCAGCCTGATTTAACACACCTGCATACTTGTATTTGATGTAAACCTGCTACACCCAGTCTGACTGCAGAAGAACGTTTTTTATCTCTTTAACTGTAAATGCACTGTGTTGAAAGAGGCACATACAGGATTTTGTGAAACAAGTGAAGCTATTTGTTTTGTTGTGAATGTTAACATCATGTGTGTGTGTTTGTGTATCCAGGAGGAGCTTGAAGAGTGTGTGGATCACCGTGTTCGTCAGTTAGAAGATCTGGAAGCAGCGTTTGCTGATCTTCTGGAGGATGATGGAGAGGAAACAGTTACACGCTGGGCCAGTAACCCGGGGTAAAGTTCTTCTGAAATGATTAGTCTACAAACCAAGTAACCCGAAAATCATGTGGCTAAGGTGTAACACGTTCTCCAGATAACTGATCATTAGTTTCTAATCGGTTACAAAAATCTGCTGTGGCAAACATCTAGTATCCTTGAACATTGTGACAACAAGGACTTTGGAAGAGTTTGAATATTTTTACAAATAATTTCAAGTCTCATTCAGGCAACCAGTGCAGAGCTGTGGAAATGCATATTTTCTTTACACTCACACAGTCCTGAGGTCCGACCCATTAAGGTACATAACAACACCTGTGTCAGTGGGCTAGGTTTTTGATGAGATGTTAATTTAGTGACTTAACTTTAAATGACAGCTCTTTTGTGTTCCCTGCATGTGTTTCCAGCATGGCTTCATTAGCCCAACTGGTCTCCAGTTTGAAGTCCAGAAATCTATCTCCAGATTATGAAATGGTAAGAGAGTCAATGCACTTCTGTTCTAGCCAGTGTGTTACTGAAATACTCTGCAGTCCATATGTTTTCTTATGGCATAACAGCCCTTCATGCGTTGTTAATTAAATATGAGAAATGCTTCATGAAAGATAAGTCAGTGACAGTGTGTTAAATGGCAGATCTGTAATTTTGTATTAACGGGTTAGGCTTCACATTTGAAGTTTGTGTTCTCAGGTCCATCAGGCAGGTTTAACCTGTGACTCGATGGAGCTGCCTCACCACATCAGCTCTGACGAGGAGATCGACAGACTCATCTCCGCTGTGCAGCTGTTTTTGAAGGCTCTGCCCAAACCCATGCTGGTTACCATGTCCAGGTGAAAATTACATACCCACAAAGTTAAATGCACAAAATGAAAAATGCCACCCCGCACAAGTTTGTCGCTTAAGCGCGCTCAGCCTGATGCAGTCTCTGAAATGAGACACAGCCATAGAATGGACAGCATCTGCCTCCTCGCTGGGTGAAGCCACTCCAAGAACAGCACCCTCTGTTGACGGGCTGCAGTATAGGTCATATATCCAGCCTCCGCTAGCAAAGCTTATGGGGCTGTGGACAAACTTTAGAAATTTATTACACAGAACATCAATTTTTCTTCCCCCTGCTTGCAATGTTGACATGTAGTTACAGTAAGACTGGTTTGTGCTCAAGTCCTCTTTTTTCTTTACAGCTCCGTTTTTAAAAGTTATTAGGGGGTTCATGTTTTCTATGATTGACACCTGATACAGCCTATGGGCGTTTGAAGATTGCGTAACTCACCCGGGGATACGCTGTTTGAGCCAAGCATCATCACAGCGACTCTCAGCGACTCCCCCGCCAAATGAGTACAACGCTACTGCCCAATGCTGATTCTAGGAAATGAAGAAAAATCACGGAAATACAGAGAGCTTTTTGGCTTCAAATCCGTAAAATGGCGGGAGGTGGAACCAAGTTGTCCATAGTATATACAGTCTGTGGTGTGGACCGACAAAGAGGTGGAACAGCTTTTAGAATTCGCCCCTGAAAAGGATGCTTTTTAAAAAAGAGAGAGTGGTTTTGAGTTGTTTAGCATTTGTGTTTTCAGTTAAAGTTTTGTACATACCTGTGTTTGTTTGCAAGTTCACAATTTACCTAAGTCTGGCAAATAAACCTGCTAATAAATAAATTCAGGCTTTCTCATGATCCACACCTGATGTAGTTTTTTGAGCATCTTTCAAACTTTTTATTGTTCAACCAAGTTTTAAAAAAGTTAGGATGATGGGTTAAATGTTGATCAAACATTTTATGTTTTATATTTTATACTTAATGTGAGTAAACATGGAATCATGAGAAGTAGACTTAATTGTTAGCATGACCTGAAAGATTGAAAGATTTTGAGAATCTGAGAAAATCTACCAGCGGGACAGGCTGATGACTAATACCGAACGGTCATCAGGCGGCACTGCATGTGAAAGAGATGCGACTTTGTAGTGGAAATTACTCCTCTCACTCCTCAGCATCGAGGGCAAGATTTTCTTCAGTATCGTTGCCCAGCGCTTGATGGAGTTCCTCCTGAGGAACACATACATCAACACCTCTGTGCAGAAGGGAGGAGTCCCAAAGGTCCCAGGATGCATCGAGCATACAGGAGTTGTCACCCAGCTGATCCGGAAAGCACGAGAAGGCAAAGGAGATCTGGCAGTCCTTTGGCTCGACCTTGCCAACGCCTACAGGTCCATGCCACACAAGCTGGTGGAAATCTTGCTCGACCAACACCACGTTCCAGGCAAGATCAAGGACCTCATACTGGACTATTACAGCTGCTTCAGTTTGAGAGTCACTTCCGGAACAGAAACATCTGCATTCCATCGGCCTGAGAAGGGCATTATCACAGGATGCACCATTTCTGTGGTACTGTTTTCCTTGGCCATGAATATGCTGGTGAAGTCAGCAGAGGTGGAGTGCAGAGGACCACTCACCAACTCAGGTATGCGACAGCCCCCCATCAGAGCATTTATGGATGATCTGACGGTGACTACAACATCTGTTCCGGGCCGTAAATGGATCCTCCAAGGCCTGGAGCATCTCATCAGCTGGGCCCAGATGAACTTCAAGCCAGCCAAATCCAGGTCCTTGGTGGTGAGAAAGGGGAAGGTCGCAGAGAAGTTTCGCTTCTCAATAAGAAATACCCTGATTCCATCTGTGGGAGAGAAGCCAGTTAAGAGCCTGGGCAAGATCTACGACTGCACCTCGAAGGACACCACAGCACTCCAAGCAACATTAGAGGAGTTGGGAACCTGGCTGACGGCAGTGGATAAGTCGGGGCTACCAGGCAATTTCAAAGCCTGGATTTACCAACATGGCATGCTACCTTGACTTCTCTGGCCACTGCTGGTTTATATTGTGCATGTGACCACCGTCAAGTGCTTCGAGAGGAAGGTCAGCTCTTTCCTGCGGAAGTGGTTGGGCCTACCACGAAGCCTCAGCAGCATCGCATTGTACGGGAAGAGCAGCAAACTTAACATACCCTTCAGCAGTCTGACGGAGGAGTTTATGGTTACCTGTGCAAGAGAGGTGCTGCTGTATAGGGACTTAAGTGACATCAAAGTCTCCTCAGCTGGCGTAGAAGTGAGGACCGGCAGGAAGTGGTGTGCTCAAGAGGCAGTCGACCAGGCTGAGTCCTGCTTGCGGCACAGTGAGCTGGTGGGAACAGTGGCATCCGGACGGGCAGGACTTGGGAGCAACCTGAGACCTTCATACAACAAGGCCAAGGGGAAGGAAAGGCGTCAGCTGATCCAGGAGGAGATCCGAGCCAGGGTGGAGGAAGCGCGCTGCAGTAAGACAGAAGGGATGCGGCAGCAGGGGGCATGGACCCGTTTGGAGGAGGCAGCTACCCGAAAGGTCTCGTGGTCAGAGCTATGGCGATCTGAGCCTCACCGGATCAAGTTCCTCATCCAGTCGGTCTACGACGTCCTCCCAAGCCCATCCAACCTCCACCGCTGGGGCTTGGCTGAGAACCCACTGTGCCCTCTCTGCCAAAGAACAGGATCACTGGAGCATTTCTTGAGCTGTTGCCCAAGAGCACTGGGAAAGGGGTGCTACCGCTGGCGCCATGACCAAGTGCTACGGGTCATTGTGGAGGCCATCAGCACAGGCATCTCCACCAGCAAACATGTCCAACCATCAAGGCAGACCATCGCCTTCGTTAAGGCTGGGGAGAAGCCGCAGCAGCTCAGGAGGCAAGCAGGGGGGCTGCTGGCAACAGCCCGGGACTGGCAGCTGAAAGTCGACCTAGGGAGACAGCTCAAATTCCCGGAGAACATCGCAGTGACCACGCTCAGGCCAGACATGGTCCTGGTGTCTGAAACAACAAGGCAAGTGGTCCTGCTGGAGTTGACTGTTCCCTGGGAAGACAGGACGGAGGAGGCCTTTGAGAGGAAGAAAGCCAAGTATGAGGAGCTGGCAAGTGAATGCCGAAGCAGGGGATGGAGGATCCGATGCAACCCCATCTCAAGATGCTGGGAGTGGGGGGACTGCACAACAGGCGAGCCATCAAGAACATCTGCGACGCAGCAGAGAAGGCGTCCAGATGGCTGTGGATCAAGCGGGGTGATCCGTGGTCACATGCTCTTAAGACACAAGCCGGGACTTGATCACCCCGGCTGGGTCCCCTGGGCGAGGGTGTCTGTTGCGAGACCCGAAACACCCAGTGAACCCAGGTGCCAACACTGATGATGTGTCTTAAGTTGCACCATAAGTGTATTTTAGAGCTGGTTTTAGCATTTGCTGTCATCTCACATCCTTCCAGCTCCACCCTGCCTTTCAAGAACAGTCACTTTTGGCTTTATTAAAAAAAAGTTTTAAATCAAAATGGTCAAATCACAGATTTAAATGCTTCATATAAGTATCAACAGACAGATAGGTGTTTATGGCTACACCTTCTTATACAATAGATCGATTAACAAACACAGGGTCCATTGTCAATGCAAATTATGTCATAATGGTAACTATGAAATGGTGAGAGTACCAGTTATCAACTGTACTTATCCAATCAGAGCTTACCATCTTGCCACCCAGTAGCGGTTCTAGGCACGGGCGAACAGGGCAGCCGCCCGGGGCGGCATTTGTGTCATGACTCATGGGGGGCGGCACGAGCACTTCCAAAAAAATAAAATAAAAGATAATAATAATAAATCTTAACCGCAAAGCGGTTTTGTATTAACTCTTGTTGTCAAATTGGCGCCCCCCCGCTGCTGTAGGCACCCCTGCTTGCTCCGAAGGTGCTGCACAGAGGCTGACAGACTGTAGGAGACGAGGCGGGGAGAGAGTCGCGGGGCGACAGCTCTGCTCTGTGTACGCATGTCAGCATATCAGCGGGAGCGCGGATACGTCATTTTGTAGTTTTTTAATCATTTCTGGAGTCGCGGTGAATGAAATCACCGTACCCGTCTGCCTTTGATAGGCGAATAAAGCGCTCGGGTTCATGCTCGGATCTTGCTACGTGCTTGATGAGCTTCATGAGTGAAGTAAACAAAGACGGAGGCAAAGAGCAGCTTCAGAGGAGAAACATCCAGCAGTGTGAACAACCTCTTCATATGGAGTGCTGTGGCTCACACTATCAGCGTTTTCTCTGAGTGTTGCATGACTTTGGGTGAGAACAGAGATGAACACACTGTCAGCCACGTATTTATTTATTCATTTTTTAGTTTTCTGCTTTTGTACTGGCACTATACTGGGGCAGCTGTATACCCTTTCAACACCTTATTTTCTATATTTACATTTGTATTGAATGGACACTTTGTCATGACTGCCACTTGTTTTACAGAAAGCAAATTATTTGTCATTCTCCAGTGCAGAGCCTCTACTTTTATTTATACAGCCGCTTTATTTCATTTGCGTTTGTTTGTTCAAGGTTTTCAAAATGTGATGAAGGTTCGCAAAACTAAAGGAGAGCTTTCTTGAAAGCCACGTGTTTAAGCTCTCAAATACTTTTTGAATTTTGTTTCTATCTACTACAGAGGCCGAGATAGCAGCTTTTTTGTAAACCTTAACACTTCAGAAAACCTCAGGATCTGGGGGCCCTTCTCAAAATGGCCCTCAGGATTGTGTTTTTTTCTATTGAAGGATTTCTGCAATTGAGAAATATATTATTTTTGTTGTTATAATAATAATAATACTACATAGTAATACAAAACTATCTGTTCAAAATTCTATCTCTTTTTGTGTTTGTTTGTGTGTGTGTGTGTGTGTGTGTGTGTGTGTGTGTGTGTGTGTGTGTGTGTGTGTGGGGGGGGGGGGGGGGGGGGGGCACTTGGAGAGGTGCTCGCCCGGGGAGTAATTTGGTCTAGAACCGCCACTGTTGCCACCTCACTAAACATGATGTACTGAGAGGCTGTTGCTTTTGCGCTTACCGTGCCTTAGTCCACACCCTACAGATGGAGAGACAAAAAGGGGTAAATGTCTTTGTTCTGATGTGTTTCAGGTCCAGTCTGGATGAGTACTGCCCAGTAGAGCAAGTGGACTCAGTGCAGAGCAGAGTACTGGCTTTACTGGAGAGTCTGTATGGACAGCTGGATCTACACAAAGACTATGAACACAGCAGTACAGAGACTCAGGCCTGCCAAGCACAGGCTTCTTAACACACACAAACACACACACACACACACACACACCACATGTAGGTACAACAAAGCTTGAAGTAAATGAATACTTCATGTCCAACAGATGGAGCTTTGGTTGGTCATGAGCACTGAGTGTTGAGTTCACTTCCATGTGGAAAGAATCAGAACTGTTTACATGCACTGAAGAAGCAGATGACTGTACGATCACAGACTTACACTACAGTGTTTTGCTGTCTGTTCACATACTTGTAAGGAGTTTTTTGTCCCATATAGTTAACGTTAGTCAGACTTCACTGGTCTGGGGGCTCATGGTCTGAGCCTGCTGCACTACCTTTAAGTTTGTCAAGTAAAGGAAATGTAGAAGTGCTCTGAATGCAGTATGGATTGTCCTTGTGAGTTTATGGTCTGAATCTTGAATCTTGATCTTGAATCTTTGGCAGAGAGTGAACCAAAAAAAGTGTGGACTGAAAACCATTTACAGTCACTCATCGGACAAATATCTATCAGTGTTTTTGGATTGTTCTGTACATTTCAAATAAATAAAAAGGGAATTGGGCTTACTTGAATCCAACGTTTCCTGTGTGCTTCTGCACCCTTATTTAACCCTTCAAAATTGAAAGCAGATGGCTGTGCCTTATGTAAAGAGTTCCTCATTCCTCAGCTGTCTTTAATACTTCACACCACAAACGACTGTTGGAACAGAGACAATCTTAATCCTCACCATAGGAGACTAGAAAAAAAACTGTACTTGCTGTAACTGACACTGAATTGTTTATGGGAGTTGTGACTAACACTGTAATGTTGTGTTTACACTAAATCATTTGTGGGAGTGAATTACATATGAAGTCAATGCAACGACGCAATAAGACGCATGTTCTACTTTGGCAACGCAATTAGCGTGAATTGAGTGCACTATTTTCACGTTCAACCCAGTCATTCACATGAGTACATGTCCAAACAAGAGGCCCGCTAGCAGCCAGTAGTGGTTTTAGAGTAGAATTTGTTACTACAAATACATTATTATCTTTAGGGTTGTTTGCAGGAAATATTGTATGTAAAGAAGTAGCCTCTCAGTGGTGTTGAGGTATTTGACTTCAGCTCCAGCACTGATGACTCAGACAATGACTTAAATGTGGTGTGTGTGTGTGTGTTTGTGTGTGTGTGTGCGTGCGTGCGTGCGTGCGTGCGTGTGTGCGTGTGTTCAGGTCCTGCAATTCGAAAACTATAGATAACTTAAAAGGCAACACATATTTTAGAGTAAAAGGTGCAAGAGCAGTAATACTATACATGTGCTGAAAAACCAACATCCAAAAGACAGTTACAACCTCTGGTACCAGGAGCGCATATAGCAGGGGCTCAATTCTGACCCAACTTTGGTCACTTGGATTCAGACTTAAGCTCTGGGGACTCAAAGTCTGTTAGCTTTTCAAGACATGACTTTTTTGGCTTCTTAAAGTATTGGGTTTGTCCTGCGCCGCGGTGACGGCACTTAACCAAAAATATCAAAATCGAGCTCCGCAGCATCCTACCACCCATCCGCACAGGACCTGGAGCAGCCAATCAGGAGCAGGTGATGGCACAGCTAATTTGACAGAAAGATAGGCAGTAACCTCACCACATACTTATCTCCAGATACAAATAAACTAAAGAAAATGCAATAAAAAAAGTAACAGTATATTACAACCACAGTCGTAACAACTATTATTTTGGCTAACACAGAGTAAATGTCAGTAGTTTGTTTCTCAACGTTGATTTTGACTGTTACCTACAAGATACTGTTTAGTTTTGATTGTTTTGTGTCCCTCTTTTGGTAGAGGATGACAATAAAAGCACCACAGAAAATCAGAATATCTGCTGTGACAATGAGGAACACACTTTCACTGCCTTCATCACCAGGTTAGATGAAAACAAAATCCCAACAGGAAGGTAAAACACACAACAATTTAATAGGCTCTAAAAAACATTGAACGAGCTGCAAAAATGTTTCATGTTTCGGGAGAGTCGCTGTGATGATGCTTGGCTCAAACAGCGTATCCCCCAGGTGAGCTACGCAATCCTTGAACACGAATAGGCTGTATCTGGTGTCAATCAAAGAAAACGTGAACCCCCTAATAACTTTTAAAAATGGAGCTGTACAGAAAAAAGAGGACCTGAGCACAAACCAGTCTTACTGTAAATACATGTCAACATCTCAACCAGGGGGGAGAAACATTTATATTCTGTGTAATGAATTTCTAAATTTTATCCACAGCTCCATAGGAATTGCTGGAGGAGGCGGGATTTATGACCTATACTGCAGCCCGTCACCAGAGGATGCTGTTCTCGGAGTGGCTTCACCATAGACTGTATATATACTATGGACAACTTGGTTCCGCCTACCGCCTGTATACGGATTTGAAGCCAAAAAGCTCTCTGTATTTCCGGGATTTTTCTTCATTTCCTGAAACCAGCGCTGTGCAGTAGCATTGTGCGCATTCGGCTGCGCAGTCGCAGAGAGTCACTGTGATGACGCTCGGCTCAAACAGCGTATCCCCCGGGAGAGCAACTCAATCCCTGAACGCCCATAGGCTGTATCAGGTGTCAATCATAGCAAACATGAACCCCCTAATAACTTTTAAAAACAGAGCTTCACAGAAAAAAGAGGACTTGAGCACAAACCGGTCTTACAATAACTATGTCAACATCGCAAGCAGAGGGGAGGAAAATGTATGTTCTGTGTAATAAATTTCTAAAGTTGGTCCACAGCCCCATAAGCTTTGCTGGCGGAGGCGGGATTTATGACCTATACTGCAGCCCATCAACAGAGGGTGCTGTTCTCGGAGTGGCTTCACCCCGCCAGGAGGCAGACGGCGTCCATTCTATATACAGTCTATGGGCTTCACCCAGCAAGGAGGCACACGGCGTCCATACTATATACAGATGGTTCTGTTTTATATGTTTTACGTTTTGTGATATCTTTGATGTTATGATTTTTATTTATTAATTTATGTAGTAATTTTTGTATTTTTATTTTTTGGATCATTAAATGTTAAAGTCGATCGGTGAGGCCACCACAGGCGAACTGTGAAAAACCAGACAACTTCGCATTTCTTTAGTCTTTACTCCGGACCTGTGGGCGTTTTCAGAGAGCACGTGAATGCATCATTGGAGAAACGTGTCTGTGTTGGTGCCCCCGCCCTGATATGGACACAGACACACGCTGACAACAGGCAGCAGTCGAGCGCGAGCAGTCAACAAGCTCTAAACCGACGTCAACATCGGAAAAATGAAGGAAAACAGTGTGCCCCGGATTCTTGTGATAATTCTGTGCACCCTGGTTTTTGTGGTTTTGTTAATCATCAATGCTCTGGCTGGAGCCGGCAAAGGTAAGTTCGAAGAACGTTACACAATTTTATGATCCCCTGTTAGAGCTAACGTCAATGTAGGGTAAACCCTCAGATAGTCTGCCTTTTTGTGTGTGTGTTTTTTAACAACGAACTCTGTTTTTTGTACGATTGGTTTCATATTCGTGATTTTTTTTCTCACCAAACTCAACAGCTGTGTTTTCGGTGCTTATGAAACAACACTACTGGGAGACTCCCAGTTCACGAAGCGCTGCATTGAACGCATCAACTCGTTGCGCTGTTTCCCAAAACAGTGAAGTAGTTTTCCCATCACGCTGGACGTGTAGTTATCAGGAGGAATGAGGAACCATATACACTGGTTGCATAAATCAACAGAAAAACAAAAATCATCGCGGAAAAGTAGATTCACCCAGTAGAGAAAGGGCTTTGAAGATAATGAGAGGATCGAAATGATGTACATAGTTAAAAGGAAGGTTAAATGTAGAAAAATAAGTTGTAATATCTGTTCTCTGTCCTTCTTGGTTTCAATTCTTGTATGTTGGCTGCTTTCAATACATCAAAATATTTAAACGACAGCAGGGTCCTATTAAAAACTATCATGCATGTCTTTCTAAATAACTACTTTCAGATAAAGACACAAAGAGAGAGAGAGAGTCAGATGACGTAAAGAACAGTCAAAGGAAGAGGTAATCCTTAATTTTTGGGTGTGGCATAAACATCCAACTTTATGTCTCCCAGAATGATGAGAAACTTTCCTTTCTGGGAGTCTGCGGTGATGAGTCACATTTAAAGTCACATTACTTGTTCCCTTTTATGTGCAGATCCATTTTTATAAAGACTCCACTGTTATGCCACGCACTTAAAAGACTAGAATGGATGATTTTCAACATCTTTCCTATACCAATGCTCTTTCTCATTTGTTGTATTTATTCACCCAAAATATATATGGATGCGGATTTAAAGTATTCTCCATGATCTGTCCGTGAAAATGTTAACAATCACTAATTGATTACTCATTAGAAAAGGATGGAAAATTTAATTTGACAACAAAGTACTATATACTTTTCACCCCAATCATAGATTTTCTTCATTATTAATGAAACTGATTATTGCATTGCTACTGTACATTAGATGTGTAATTGTTAAATAGTAACATGCAGATGACATACAAAACAATAATCTTTGCAGGCATATAACCATAATTATTGACACCTAAACTACCAAACGTGGAATCGTTGCAACAAGAGAACAGAAAAGTATTTTTTCCATTGCTCCAGAGGCACTGATGTTGCTGGTACGCCAGCAATATTGGTGCAACACAACCAGTCTGTTGTTTTTGTATCTAAAGGTGCTATGATTCCTCATAGAAAGTTCTCAACCTTCATGACTTTGTTAAGTGGCAGTGTTGCCTACTTTTACCCCTGAAACAGAACTTGGCGAACAGCTGTATTTCCACCGTGCGCAACATCTTGACCCAGTGGGTTCACACTACGGCTGGGCGATATGGACCTAAAGTCATATCCCAATTTATTTAGGCTGAATATCAATATACAATATATTTTCTGGTATTGTTATCGCAAAGTGAGAGCAAATGTTTAGTCACAGTCAAAGCCAAATATGGCATGTCACAAGTAGTTCTATTTAAACTGGCCGGATGAAATTATGCTCAACTGTTCAAAGAACAATAAAATGTAAACATAAATACTGTATAACCACAGGAGCACCTTTTTTTAATTGGAGCTCCATAAGATGCACATTTAAATGAAAAATATATCTGAAATAAAAATAGCCCATAAAGTAAAATAGGCCAATCTTTTTCTGGAAAAAAATTATTTATATAAGAAAAGCATCAACATTTTGACAACTACAAATGGCCTATTAAAATCAAAAATAGCAGATATTCTTCTTCTAACTAGTCTCTCAGATGCAAACAATGACCACTACAAAATAATTAAATATGACAAACCCTAGTAAGGGCAGCATTTACATATATAAAGACAGAACCAAATAAAGTGCTCAGTTTAAGAAAATTGTTTTTAAACATAATTTTGAGATAACCTTATCTTATCTTTCTTATCTTCTTAACGGTCTCAACCAGTTGCACAAGACTATGACAGATTATGAACTCAGTAAACACATCCCCCTCTTTCTTTTTTACTTTGAGAAACACTTAGTGCTGTCTTGAGGTAGACATTAGAGGACAGACAAGTGAGTCCTTCTTTGTTTAACCCATGAAGACCTGAACCCTGTCTGAGACTCTGAAATCCTGAGGGCCATTTTGAGAAGGGCCCCCAGATCCTGAGGTTTTCTGAAGTGTTGAGGTTTACAAAAAGCTGATATCTCAGCCTCTGTAGCAGATAGAAACAAAATTCAAAAAGTATTTGAGAACTTACACACGTGGCTTTCAAGATAACTATCTTTTATTTTTCTGAACCTTCATCACACTATTGAAAACCTTGAACAAACAAACTCGAATGAAGTAAAGCGGCTGTATAAATAAAAGTAAAGGCTCTGCACTGGAGAATAACAAACTATTTTTAATAGTTAAATTCGTATTGAATGGACTTTTTATCAAGACTGCCACTTGTTTTACAGAAAGAAAAAGTGTTGAAAGAGTATACAGCTGCCCTAGTATCGTGCCAGTACAAGACCAGCACTAATAATTGAAAAATGAATAAGTGGCTGACAGTGTGTTCATCTCTGTGCTCACCCAAAGTCATGCAACACTCACAGAAAACACAGATAGTGTTAACCAAAGACCCCAATATGAAGAGGTTGTTCACACTGCTGGACACTTCTCCTCCGAAGCTGCTCTCTGCCTCCGTCAGTGTTTACTTTCCTCATGAAGCACGCGGCAAGATCCGAGCATGAATCCAAGCGCTTTATTAGCCTATCAGAGGCAAAACTACAGAATGTTACAAAATGACGTATCCACGCTCCCGGCTTGAAGGATAGAAATGCGCAGCGGAAGGTTGGAAGGTTGAAATAGGTACACGCTTCCCCTGGCTTGAAGGGTAGAAATATGTACATGTACCTGGCTTTCCGAGTAGAAATGAGCAGCCGCGCTCTCGGCTTGGAAGGTTGAATTGTGTACATGCTGTCCTGGTTTAAATGGGTTAAAGATTTTGTGCAAGAAACACCAGCCTGTCAACAACAGCATCTGATATCCGTATATCAATATATGCGATATGGTACCAATTCCATATCTTATTTAAAAATATATTGATATATATTTTTATACCTATATATCGCCCAGCCCTAGTTCACACTGAAACACTTTAAAATATTACCCTGATTGCTGAAAGTAATATGAGACATGCTGTTTATCTCTGCCTGGGAGAAAATAAGTTGAAGATAAGTGTCTGTGAAGTTTTGCATTTTCAGTCAGTCCAATCCCTTACCATGTTTCATGTAGTCTCTTTTTATGAACCAATTTTTTCTTGTCGGGTTTTCTGTTGTAGCTTACAGATTTGTTTTCATGTTGTCATCACCTAGCTCCACTTCTGTCATCTCTCTCTGCCCATCTTTGAGTGAAATTAATATTTCCTTCTATTAAAGAAAAATTAAAGCCAACAGTGGACAGTTTCCACCCAAGCCTGAAGCAGCAGTTGTTACTTTTCCTCTTTCCTGTTTCAACAATGCCCGGTGCCCACAGCCAGCTCCCAGTTTAGTTTAAAAGAAGTTGCTAGGCGTCCATAAATCCATGACAGCAACCCCACCCAGAACTTTTAGTCTAAAAGAGGAAGGCAGACTGTGTTCACCAAATATCACTTTGTTGTGTTTCCAGGTCCCTTCCACACCACAACAGGAAATGTATCAGCTCGCTTTGAGACCAATATCACTCCTGCCGGCTGGACCTTCTCCATCTGGGGTGTTATTTACACCTGGCTCACCTTGATGGTCTTATACCTAACTTCATATGTATTCCGGGGGTAAGCCAACATTAAACTTATCCTACTGGACAATAACTCATGCAGACAGACCCTTTCTGATAGTACTCAACATCATGACACTGATATCTGTCTCTGTTTTATTAGATCCTGGGCTCAGAATCTGCTGCCATACGCCTTCTATTTTTGCTGGCTGTGCAACATGGTGCTAAACATGATATGGCTGGTGCTGTGGGACAGAGAGTATGTCTTCAACTTTTATTCATTACTTGACTGAACTATAAAAAAAAGCCAGAGCAATGAAAACCACATCAGAGTACTGGGGGGTACAAACAGGGAAATTGTATAAAGAGGGTCTTCAAAGCCTCTCAGATGAAACATGGCTTCTAGACAGATGTGCGTATTCGGCACAGAAGTACCACCATTGTAAGGAGCAGTATTGAGAAGCAGTTGTTTCAAACCTGTTTTCACTCTTGTGGAGAAATTTTTAAAGTGAAAATGACTGTCAGATTTTGGAGCCTGATCTGGTTCCTTAACTATCATCACAAGTATGAAGATGGTTTTTCATACAGAAGTGCATCCTTTCTCCTAAGCCCCACCAACATGAAAGAATGAACACCACAGACAACAGCTAAAATTGTGCAGTATGAGGAACTTTTTAGGTTAAAAAAGTTGTATATCTGTTCTGTTTTGTTTTATTTATTGCATTTAGCTGACAACAGCAGCCATTTTCCTTTAATATCATATATTTAAAGAACTTGATGAACCATCATTAAGAAATAAGACAAAGCTAAAGATTACATAATTGAAAAAAATCTTCTCCAAAAGGCTCTTAAATATAGCTTTGTGTAAAAAGTTCAACGCCATCTGGCTTGGGTTAAATTTATTGAGAAATGCTTTTGAAATATTCATTCCTTTGGAGATTTACAAAGAACTCTTGTCTCTCAAAATATTGTTCTAAGTTTCTAAAAAGTTCGTACATAGTTCATTCACAAATTTGATTGTTTGTGAATCATCTCGACCTAACAGTATATTTGATTTAATTAAAGTTTCATATATAATATATATTCTCATTTAAAAATTCATGTCAACAGCATGTTTCAAAACTGTTAGGGTAGTGCAGGTGCACCATTTTTGTTGTTTCACCTGTTCTTGGAAAGTAAAATATCCCATTCTGGCCTGATGAAGGATTTCAGTCCTTTCATTGTATTTTACATAAGCATAATCATATATAAGTGTACCAGATGTTTCCAGTGAGGGATAAATAGCCCATGATGGGACTCTTCTATTCAAGAGCTGTGTTCCTGTAGTACTTGCAAAAAATTGGTTTGGTTTCTGCACAACACGTGGTTCCCCAAAAAGAATATCAGTTTTTGATTTGTTGGAGGACAGTTTTCCTCTTCCCCTTAGTCCATCTTAAATGGATTCGGTCCAAAGAAGTCTCTGGTTTTTTTGGGTCATGTTTATATCTGGTTTCCCTTTTGCATGGCTCAGTTTTAACCTTATTTGTAGATCAGTGGCGATTGCTCTAAGACTGCAAGGGAAGCTCAGCTTCCCTTAAAATGTCACCCCCCCAAAAAAAGAAAAAGTGGTGAAATACGTACTGCTGTGTGTACATTTCATTAGCTAAATACGCGCTAGAAAGCCTTCATCTTTTGTTCAGAATCAGCTTCTTATCACACTGTGATAAGAAGCTGATTCTGCACAACTTCATTCTCATTCATCCTCGCAGTGCCTCAGCGCTTTAAACAGCCGGACGCTCGGCTTCTGCTGACTTCAATGTGGAAGCTCAAAGTGGGTTGTTCCAGCAGCGAAACTAGACGCTTATTGGATAAATGCTGGGCTTTGTCCCGCCCATCGGACGCTCAGCTTCTCTGGAGTCCTATGGCGAGAGGGCGGTCCCAACTTTCTCCCGGACTCCGAGCTTCTGCATCCATGATTGGATGAGCTGTCTGAGGCGAAATCCTTTTTTGATTGACAGCTAAACAAGCGAATCAGCGATCTTGAAGAATAAAACATCTACCAGAGCATTTTCCAAGTTATTCATTCCGTTGTTCTTAACTGCTCCAGAGACTTTACCGATCCTCAGCGACTTTTGTCTTTGTTAAAAACGACTGCCGTTGTGTTTGGCGACTCTATTCTGTTACATACAAATAAACACAATTATGATGTAGGCCAGAAAAATGAGCTTCCCCTCCTTGAAAGACCAGCAGCCGCCACTGTTGTAGATGCAGTGATCGATTTTGAGCTCATGCAGTGGATTCCGCTACAGAGTCCTGTTTGTTTTTTAGGTAGCACTGCCTGAAGATCTGAAGATCAGGACCATCCAGTCTTGGTTTTGGTCCTTGTCCCTTTCGTACAGAGATTTCTCCAGATTGTCTGAATCTTTTAATGATATGATGTTCTGTAGATGATGAAATCCACTCATACTTTCACATTTGACACTCAGGAACATTATTCTCTAACTGTTGATCTATGAGCTCACACAGTCTCTTACAGTGTGGTAAACCTCTGAGAGATTCAGCCCCTCTGAATGTCCTTTTTACACCCAAGTCATTTTACTAATGAAGCTTATTAGTTTGGAAATGTTCCTCTAGCTGTTTTTGTACCATTACGTAACTTTCTCTGTTTTTTTTTTTTTGTTTGTTTTTTTTTTAGTTTCTGTCCCAACTTTTTTGAAACATGCTGTCGGCACAAAATTTAAAATCAGCATATATTTTTCATGAAACAGTTTTTTCTTTTTAATTCAATATTTGACATGTTTCCTCCACACAATTATTTATAAAGCAAAGACTTTCAAGGATAAAAATAAAACAAAAAACAGATCTGGGGTTTAATAGAATTTTTAGAAAACCAAGGTCTGCTGTATTAACTGTTAATAACTGAACCAGATGTTTAGATGTCAGAATATGTGCTAGAAAGGATCAGTTAACACAGAAATGATCATCATTGTGATCCCTCTCCTCTTTTTGTGTTTCAGGGCGATGCTGGCAGCTTTTGTTGTTTTAATCATGATTGTCATTTCCAACCACTGTGCTCTGTTCTTCTGCTGCTTCGCCACCGATTACTACGGACTCTGGTTACAGTCATACCACCGCAAAGACTTGTTCTGTCTCAGAGCACTGGTATGCCACAAACTGAATGTGTTTAAGTGTTTGAGCAAGTGTTAGGTTGACGCTGTCTAATAATCTGTTTCTGCCTATGTGTGGTGCTAAATGTCTATATGCTGAAGAATTACTTAGAAATAGCTGCACTGTGAGTATGGTGTGCCCATAACAGAATAAGGCTGGGATCTGAAAAGGCATTATTTAGGCTGTGCAGCATTAGAGGGAGGACAAGTCTGTGCAGAAAAAAAGGCACACTGGTGCAAGTAAGAGTCAAAAGTTTCTCTTTTAATAAGTCTGGTTTGATGTCTGATGAGTATCAGGAGGAAAGCAAAGACAAACACTGGTGACACTGCTTTTCCAGAGCTGAAGGTGACTTTGAAAAGCACATAATGCTTAAATGATTGATAATTAACTATTTTTAAATTTTCAGTACAACACTACAGAGAAAAAGGAAAAAGTCCAAATGTTTTCTGGTCCATTGCGACTGTGTTTTTCAGGAGACCATATGACCTTGTAAAAATAGGACACAATGCAATTCAAGTTAAAACAGTGAGCTACATGGAGGTGCACAAGCTGCAGTGTTAGGATTAACAGAAGGTCAAACTCATAATCCGGTTTAAAAAAAAGGAGGGCTCATCCCTGTGTTTTTAAATTTTCACTCATTCAGGTCCAGAACGGTCTTGCGCTCTATAACACTTGGACATCCATCGCCTCCCTGATCAACTTCTCTTTGGTGCTCCAGCTGTGGGGTGTGGACAAGAGCACAGCAGCAACAGCCTCTCTGTGTATCCTGTTTGGAGAGGTGATGGCATGGTAAGCTCTAATTGGACAAGTACAAATGATGACTGATTCTCTCACGTGTTATAAAAGAATTCACTTTGACTATAGACTCCATGTCTGTTAATGCATCAGTTATATAAAACATGGGTGTAACCAACAACACCTGTTGGTCTGTGGATACCTGTTTGAAGCATTCAAATCTGTGCTTTGGCCATTTCAACTTGATGTGGCTTCTTTGTTGAAGGCAGAAGTGACCATACTTTGAGGGAAGCGAGGTAACAGCAAACACTAGAGATTTAATGTTGGTTATTATGAGCCTATTATTATTTTCTTCATCAGTGCAAGAGCAGCCCAACAGCTTGACAACAACATAGTGATAACATGATTACCATCAATGTTTTGACTTATTCCTGCTGCTGGTTTCTGTGTGTAGGTTCATTCTGGAGAACTGGGTGCTGGACCGCTGGGTGCGTTACATCCTGACAGTCTACCCTGTGGTGATTGTGGCTCTGGTTGGAAACATCCTGAAACATTTTAACCCGGATGATCCAACTCCAAACTCTATTTTCATGGGTAAGTTTGACATAACCAGTCGTGCTATCTTTGTTTGAGCTTCAGTAATCAACTAAGTGACTGTGACTAGTATTACATCAAAGATTAAGATTAAAAAATCTCACTAGAACTCTGAAATTACCACTGTAATCCATCACCAATATTTGTAGTTTTTTTACTTTTTGTGATGTCATTGCCAAGAGAAGTTTGATAAGTTTCACTTCCCAAAAATTCTTCAAAAATGTGGAAGGCATAAACCTGACATGATTGTTGATAAAGTTGTAAAATTGCATTAATAATTAAAAAAAAGAAAAGATTTTAGTCTCCTCAGATTAATTTGAGATTACAAACTTGGCCAAAAATAACCGTAGTGAGGATTTTCAGTTTCTAAGATTAGCTCATTTCTACGAGCAGGTTACAAAGATGTTCTAAAATAACAATAATCTTATACATATATATTTATTTTTTTAGGTGACCAAAAACACTTTTCAAGTCAGGGTTACCAAGTGCTGAACGAAAAGAAAAAAGAAAGTGAGAACACACAATAACTAAAGATTTAGAAGTTAAAAATAAAACAGTGATGATTTAGCAACTTTAAGAGGTATAGAAGATAGAAGAAAAGACAAAAGAGATAAATAAATGACAGAAACTGGAGTGTAAATAGTTTCATCTGCACTTGAAAAACTGGCATTTTCCTTAAAGCATTACTGAAATCTTTAAGTGATATGTTGCCAATTTTTTATCTCTTTTATTTCACTTTTCATACCAGTCATAGCATGGTGACAAAAAAATGAACCCATGACTGAAGCTTCAACTTTCTCTGGGGAAAGAAAAAGACAATTATTATTCTTACTTCCGATCTATTTAAGGGGGATTGTACACACAACTGAACAGCAGTCGGTTTGCTGCCTCCTGGATTTTTACTACCTCATCTAGACAATACGCATAACATGACATGAAGGCTCCCAATGAATGTACACAAGAAAAGGCAGCCACCTCAGCTTCTGTTGTAGAGAGAATGAAGGATTTATATAACACAGCTGATCAAATGTGTTTGTATTGGAAGACTTCATGAATCTTTTTTTTGCTTGTAAGAAGAAAGTTCTCTTCTTTCTCTTGAAAAAAAGAGGCCAGCATCAAAGATACTGACAAAAATCTGATCATTATTGTTCTTCTAAATTTCAACATTTCTTTTTAAATCCATAAAATGACTTTCTTTTCTAAACTTAGATCATTTTACTGACTGTTTGATTTTTCTCTCCTGCTCCTGCTCAGTTGTTCTGCTGGTGTTGGCATGTGTCCTGCTGATTTTCCGAGTGTGCTCTGTCATCTGGAGGAACTACTGGCGGCCTGTCCTCTCCCCCGGCTCTGCCCGGCTGATGGTTTCACCTCTCGACAGCAGAAAATTCAGGATGTTCTATTAAACAGACGGAGTTTGCACAGAGCCTCCAGCACCACTTAAGCCTTAAAGCTTAGAGCAATGAGCAGTCTAACTCACTTTTATTCAATGCTGAAGGGTCGATATAACTGTCTTAAAATTTTATTTTGGTTGGGGGGTTTTTAATTTGAGGATTTACAAGCTCAATGTGCATTAGAACTGAATTTGTCTTTGTGAAGTGTGGGCTAACAATTAAAGAGGGAACAGGTGTAATAAGGGTTAGAAACCTTTCCTCATACCTCATTTCCTTCCATATAACTGTGTAACAACATTGTTTTCATATAAAGCAGGTTCAAACTATGAGTGTCAAAAGATCAATGTTCCCCAAAGAGTTTTTTTTTTTTTCACCACAATTTGATTCAGTAAAACTTAAACGTTTTCTTAATTCATCATACACAAAGTGAAATACTTCAAGACTACTTTTTTGTCTGAATTTCACCACTGTGCATATATATAGGATATTATTTTAAATAATTGAATGCATAAGAGATGATCATTTGGGTTTTTGTTGCCATTTCTAAAAAGTTTTATCATTACAGCATGCCTGATTTTATACCTTTGCACCCACGCAGAAGGCTTTCTGATTTCAGTGCTAGCATTGTTTTTTTTTTGTTTGTTTTGTTTTTGATCTTGTTTGTTTGAAGGATAGAGTGCAAAGAAAATCATATTTTCTGAGTGCAAAAATGTCTGATGCTCTTGGTATGAGATGTATGTTTTACACCTTGTGATAGAAATAAAAATTGTTTAAAAAAAAAAAACAGCCAAGTTTCATTACTTTAAGCATGGGCCCACTGATTTTTATTTTTTACGGCCATGGCCTCATCCCTCCCTGTGGTCCATTAATGAGTATGGCATGAGCGTGTGAGTGCAGAGTGATTGGTGTGATCCCAAGGTGACCAGCCTCGAGAGCACACATTTGATTGGTGTGGAGCAGAAGTCCTAGCCAATCAAGAAGTGTGCAGTATCAAGTAATTGGAATTCCTTTTGCTTGGCAGATTTTCATTCATTCTCTTTGCGGAACTGCCGCTGTGCAGCTGTGCCTTCATTTTTGACAGGTTGTGTTGTGTTGTTTCTTAATAAGGCCAGGTTTAAATCTGAGACTTGCATATTTCACTCACAGGAATATTCTTTTTTAGCAGGGGTTTATTACCTCCGCCATGGAGGTTATGTTTTCGGTACCATTGGTTTGTTTGTTTGTTTGTTTGTTTGTTTGTTTGTTTGTTTGTCTGTGAACAACTTTACGGAGAAAGTTACAGACGCATTGACCTGAAATTTTCACCAGAGGTGCGTCTCAGCCCCAGGACGATCCCATTACATTTTGGTAGTGATCCGGATCACCTCCTGGATCCAGGAATTTTTTGAAGGATTCTTTATCATTGTGAGTGTGGAGGAGGCGTCTCACCACAGTACCCCCCTCTCAACGAACGCCTCTTGGTGTCTTGCCGGGTTTGTTGGGGTGAGCGGCGTAGAAGTTGTCAAGGAGTTGATGGTCTAGGATGAGGGAGCAGGGGATCCAGGACCGCTCCTCTAGACTGTACCCCTCCCAGTCCACGAGATATTGTAAGCCTCGCCCCCGAGGCTGCACGTCCAAGATTAGCCTTACAGTGAAGGCAGGGTGGTCGTCAATCAACCAGGGGGGTGGAGGGGCAACGGAAGGAGGGCTCAGGGTGCACGAGGTGACAGGCTTTATCAGGGAGACATGAAATGTGGGGTGAATTTTGAGGGAAGTAGGAAGTTTTAATCCTCCCGCAGAAGGGTTGATGATTTTCTGGATAGGAAAGGGACCAATGAAGCGGGGGAACAGCTTGCGGGACTTGGTCTGCAGGGGAAGGTCACGGAATGATAACCAGACCATCTGACCGGGACGATAGTCTGGTGCTGGAGAGCAGTGAACATCAGCCAGGCATTTTTTGCGCTCAGCCATGCGGGTGAGTGCGGCCCTGGCGGATCTCCACACCTCCCGTAGATGCCCAATGTGCTCCCTCACTGACGGGATGGCCACTGGGTGCTCCTGTTCGGGAAACAGGGGGGGCTGGTACCCAAAACAGCACATGAAGGGAGACATACCTGTGGCCGAAGAGGTGAGGGAGTTATGGGCGTATTGGATCCACAGGAGTTGCGTACTCCAGGACGCTGGATGCTGCCACACACTGCAGGGCCGACTTCAGGTTTTGATTGGTCCACTGTCTGGCCGTTGGTCTGCGGGTGGTAACCCGAGGAGAGGCTAGCTGCCGCGCCCACTGCCTGGCAGAAAGCTTTCCAGACCTGGTAGGAGAACTGGGGACCACGATCTGACACTATGTCAAGGGGGATACCATGTAGTTGGAACACATGAGATACTAGGAGGTTAGCAGTTTCTAAAGCAGACGGGAGCTTGGGTAACGGGACATAATGCACAAATTTGGAAAACCTGTCAATGATGGTGAGTATGACTGTGTTACCTTCAGAAGGGGGGAGACCAGTGACGAAATCTAGGGCTATGTGAGACCAGGGGCGTAAGGGCACAGGCAGAGGACGCAGCAAGCCAGCCGGAGGTTGGTGGGAGGTTTTGCCTTGGGCACAGACGGAGCAGACAGCAACAAACGCCCGTATGTCCCGGACCATCCCCGGCCACCAGAACCGCTGCTGGAGGAATTGGAGGGTGCGTTGAAACCCGGGGTGACAGGTGAGTTTGGAGGAGTGCCCCCACTGTAGGACCTGGGAACGTGCAACCTCAGGGATGAATTTTCTGTCAGGCGGGCCGGTTCCCGGGTCCGGATGGTTCCGGATGGCCTGGTCCACGATGGTGTCGATTTCCCAAGAGGTGGAGCTGACGACACAGGAGGCAGGGAGGATGGTGTCCGGTTTGCTGGGGTCCAAGGTAGCCGAGGAATGGATCCGAGATAGGGCGTCTGGTTTGAGATTGCGGGAGCCAGGACGATAAGAGAGGGTGGAGCTGAATCTACTGAGCAAGAGGGAGCAGCGGGCTTGCCTGGAGTTGAGGCGTCTAGCGGAGCAGAGGTATTGCAGGTTCTTGTGGTCAGTCCAGATGAGAAAAGGTTGTTGTGCTCCTTCCAGCCAGTGTCTCCATTCTTGTATTGCCCACACGACAGCCAGCAACTCACGGTTTCCCACGTCGTGGTTTTGTTCAGTGGGTGAGAGTTTCCGGGAGAAGTAGGCGCAAGGATGGAGCTTCCAGGTCTCAGAATCCCTCTGTGAGAGGACGGCCCCCACTCCAGAGTCCAAAGCGTCGACCTCCACCACGAACTGAAGAGAGGGATCCGGGTGTTTGAGCACCGGGGCGGAGATGAAGAGGGACTTGAGCTGACAGAAGGTGGCGTCTGCTTCGGGGGTCCAGGAGAACGGGACCTTGAGGGATGGGAGACAGGTAAGGGGCACAGCCACCTTGCTGTAGTTTCTGATGAAGCGTCGGTAGAGGTTGGCGAAGCCAAGGAATCGCTGGAGGTCTTTGCGGGAGGAGGGAGTGGGCCAGTCACGGACGGCGCAGACTTTCTCTGGGTCTGGGCGTAGCTCCCCCTGGGCGATGATGTATCCAAGGAAACTGATGGAGGAGGCGTGGAACTCGCACTTCCCGGGTTTGACGCAAAGGCGGTTTTCGAGGAGGCGCTGGAGGACAAGTCGAACCTGCTGCTGGTGTTCTTCCAGGTTGCAGAAGAAGATCAGGATATTGTCCAGATAGACGAAGGCGAATTGGTTGATCATGTCACGGAAGACGTCATTCATGAGAGCCTGGAACACAGCGGGGGCATTGGTGAGGCCAAAGGGCATGCCGAGGTACTCGAAGTGGCCCATGGGTGTATTGAAGGCCGTCTTCCACTCGTCACCCTCCCTGATGCAAACCAGGTGATAGGCATTCCGGAGGTCCAGTTTGGAAAAGATGGTGGCCTTGCAGAGAGGTTCAAAGGAGGGATCGATGAGTGGCAGGGGATATTTGTTTTTTATGGTGATCTCATTGAGTCCGCGGAAGTCGATGCAGGGACGGAGAGAGGAATCTTTTTTCTTCACAAAGAAGAAACCATCAGCAAGGGGAGAGGATGAGGGCCAGATGAGTCCAGATGTCAAGGAGTCCTGGATGTATTCCTCCATGGCCTTTCGTTCGGGCCGAGAGAGATTGTACAGTCTGCTACTGGGGAGAGGGGCACCAGGGAGCAAATATATGGTGCAGTCATATGGGCGATGAGGAGGAAGGACGAGGGACTGCTCCTTACTGAACACCATGGCCAGATCATGGTAAACGGGGGGAACCAAGGTGAGAGATGGCGGTGGAGATGCTGACCTCTGTTGGTGGATGTAGGGATTGGCAGAGCGGAGGCAATGGGAGTTACAGTGAGGACTCCAGGCAGAGATCGAAAATGTGGACCAGTTAATTTGGGGGTTGTGGATCTGCAGCCAAGGGAGTCCCAGCACCAGGAGTGAGTGTGGAGAGGGAAGCAGGAACAACCGGATGTCCTCCCAATGGTTTCCCGAGAGGATGAGGGTGAGAGAAGCAGTGCAGTGGGTTATGGTGGCTATAACCCTGCCATCGAGAGCGGTGACCTTACGGGGAACTGGGAGTACCTCCAGGGGGAGCTGAAGCCGCGCTGCCAGTCCGGTGTGAATGAAGTTGTCATCCGCCCTGGACCGTACTCACAGAGGGGGGAGATCCAGTTTGCTGCGGTGGAACCCGAGAGAGGAGTTGGTCCGCCAGTTGCGCTACTTGGACTGAGAGACCTTGAAAAGAATGATTGAGGCCCTGGAGCATATTCTCATGACCGAGACGAGTCCCGAGCTTCTGGACGACTTGCTGAAACCTATCCGGGTCTGCTGGGTCCATTATCCTGGCCTGAGTATTCTGTGGCGTGACTGGTAAGTTGTGAGGACCCAGAAGCAGACACAGAGACAGAGATCAACTTAAGGTGTAATTTTAATGTCCAAACTCAGGTCTAAAGGCAAAAAAGAGGAAGTCCGGTGGGCTGGTTGGCTGGTTGTCGTGTGGGCTGGAGACACTGCAGGAAAAACGGAGGAGAGGGAAGTGAGTGAACATACAATGAATCAGGAGCAGAATTATGAATACTAATTTCAAAGGAAGGAGGCCAGGAGACGCGTCTATACCACTTGGAAGTGAAGACAATATTCAGGTGCTGAGACTGCGGGCTGCTGGCTTCTTAAAGGGCCTTGATTGTAGATGAAGAGCAGGTGTGTAGTCTCACTCAGCCTCAGCTACCGGGGGAGTGGAGGAAGCTCTGGAAGAGAGTAAAGCCAGACCAGGCAAACACGGAAATACAGGAAGTCCAACCAAAATAAAACAAAAGGAGGAGGCGTCTCACCACAGTGAGATAGGGCAAATTTTGGAATTTTTGCATTTAACTCTATAAAAATGGCCAGAGTCTTTAGTAAAAAATTACACAAAAGGATCTCAATGAGTTTTATGAGGTGTCAAAGGTTGATCCTGATCCAGACAAAATTCCGGATACTGTGATCCAGAACACACACAAAAAGGGTGTTGTTGGAATTTTCAATGCTGAAAGATAAGCAATGGGCGGCACAGTGATGTAGATGGGCGGCCCAGTGGTGTAGTGGTTAGCACTGTCACCTCACGTTAGGAAGGTCCTGGGTACAAATCCGGGTCAGGGCATTTTTTGTTTTAGGAACATTATGAACAGTGAACATACCAGTTTAAACACAAATAAAAGTTAATAAAAGACACGTAACACTAAAAGTTTTGGTGTGAATCACAATATAAGGGAGGACATGAGCTGCTTGGCGGAGGTCTGCGCTCTCCCAGTGCTTTTCTAGTTTCCGTTTTTGTTTCAGAAAGAGCAGTGTCTCTGTGTAGAATCTAGGTTAAAAGTTATTTTGGTTTTCCTAATTTGTTAATTTGAACAGCACTCTCGGGCCCTCTCCTGTGTGTGAGGGGGCTGGGCAGTATCCCCCTCACTGAGGCCATTTTGATTTCACTGGTGAGGGAGGATACTGGAGAGTAGAAAGGCCAGGGGAGAATTGGGGCAGTGAGTGTATGAGAAGGGGGAGGGACAGGTAGGGACTCTTCTGCTTGTCTGCTGCTGCTGCTGCAATCAAGGGGGATCAGCTGTTGAGCAGTACCTGACCACCTTCGAGCGCCTGGCAGTAGTGTATCATTGGCCAGAGGTTGACTGGGCAGTGAGGCTGATTCCACACCCGACTGGGAAAGCTCAAGCACCATATGTGATGATGGCAGCTGAGGACATGCTTGACTACAAATAGGTGAAAGATGCCGTCCTTGCCAAATATGAAACCTTTGAGGAGGTTTAGAGAGAGATGGACATCCACCCTCATGAGAACCCAAGAGAGTTTTACAATTGGCTTCAAGACTTGTACAACAAGTGGATCCAGCCGTAGAAGAGGACCAAGGACCAGGTTGGAGAGATCCTTATTCTGGAGCAATTCTACTGCTCTCTCTCCAGAACTAAGAGTGTGGTTGAAGGAAAAGGATCCAGAGTCAGCACGGGAAACCACTCAGCTTGTGGAGACCTTCCATCCGCCCAACGAGAGTCCAAGAGCTAGCGGTTCGAGGGTCCACAGGAATCCAGCCTTGTAAGCCAATGAGGTCAGGGAGTGGTGGTGGTCCTAGGGAACCAGAGCTAGCTAGGCAGCTAGAGAAGCCTGTAGTTCCCACTAAGTCAAAGGCAAGTGTCAAGCCTGTTTGCCTTCACTATGATCAGGAAGGTCACATAAAGCCACAGTGTCCATCTAGGAAAGTTAAAGCAGCTTATTTTTGCACTGTCCCTCATCCTTGTCAGACTGAGAGTTGTCGGGTAGGAAAGCAGCAGATCCCTGCAGTTAAGATCAATGGCAAACCAGCCCAAGCTCTGCTTGATACTGGTAGTACTCAGACGCTAATGCATCCATCACTACTTCCAAAGGAGGGGCCCCTGGGTAAGCCAGTCCTCGATATTTCCTGTGGTCATGGCCATCATAGACCTTATTCTATAACACTAGTGTATCTGGAGGTTGCAGGGCAAACCTACCTGATGTCAGTGGGGGTAGCTGACAGCTTAGCCCATCAGGTTATCTTGGGTCAGGATCTTCCCATCCTTCAGGAGTTGGTGCAGTCGTGTAAATCAGTTAACACCACCACAAGGTCACAGGCACAGGCACAGAGATCGGAGGAAGGAGGGATGAATGGGCACCAGGAAGAGACAGCTAAAAATGTTCAGGGTCCAGAGGAGCCAGCTAAGCAGGTCCCAGTTTAGGTGGAACCAGAGATTCAGGGTCCAGCCGAGGGAGACCTAAATGTCCTCTCTGAGTTGTCTTACTTTGACGAGGATCTAACAGTTGGTGTTAAAGTAAGGAAAAGTAGGAGGCAGAAAAGGCAGGAGAAGATGGCTGGGACAGCAGGAAAAAGTTCAGGGCTAGAGGAGCCAGAGGCTTGTGAAGCTGACAAAAGTTGTAATTTTCTGCTGCTTAAAAGGCAGGATGAGTCACTGAAGGATTTCTTCAGGCAGGCAAGGGTTGTGTCACAAGGTCAGGAGGAGGGGGAAGGCTATTTTCCCAGAAACCAGGTCCTGTATTACAAGGCAGATCTAGATCAGTCGTTCTCAAGTCTAGTCCTCGAGGCCCACTGTCCTGCATATTTTGGATGTTTCCCTGCTCCAACACACCTGATTCAAATGATCAGCTCATTATCAAGTTCTGTAATGGCTTAATAACGAGCTAATCATCTGAATCAGGTATGTTGGAGCAGGGAAACATCAAAAACATGCAGGACAGTGGGCCTTCTTGTTAAGAAGACTTTGGACAGGATAGCCAGCAGGTTTGATAGGCCAGGTTTGAGCACACAGGTACAGGAGTGTTGTCAGTCATGCTCTATCTGTCAGCTAACAGGAGATAACAGGGTTCCCAAATTTCCATTACAACCACTGCCAGTCATTGATGTTCCCTTTAGCCAAATAGCAATGGACATTGTTGGTCCGTTAAAGTGAACACAATCAGGGCATGGCTACATACTTGTAATTTGTGATTACAGGACTAGATACCCTGTAGCATTCCCCCTTGGAGAAATCACAGCTAAACATATAGCATATGCCTTACAGCTCTTCTCCAGAGTTGGTATTCCACCTGAAATCTTGACAAATCAGGGCACAAATTTTCTTTCAGATACACTTAGGCAGGTGTACAGGCTCTTAGGCATAGGCATGAACACCTGGTCAGCCTCTCAGGCACTGTTTTTAACCGGTTCACCTCTTATCTCACTGATCAACACTTCTTAGTAAGTATGGATACATGGTCCTCACAAACCCATAAAATTATGCGTGGGGCTCATATACACCATATACAAGCGCAGCTGGTCTAGTGGTATTTTGATAGATCGGCAGCGTATCGACATACGTCACCAATGCCTCACCGGCAGGTTTCCACAGTGTCAGGCACATTTCAGTGCAATAAATAATCATCAACAACTAATAATCTGAGTCAGCACATACATTTAGATCTATATTGATATATTCTGATCTATATCTGATCTGATGAGTGCATTTGGCACATGTTTGGACACACAACCTGAAATATCTAGTAAATAGACAAACATGATGAAGTTAACAAGATATGTAATTCGTCTCCCTCCTCTTCTTTCTTCCTCTTCCTCTTATTTCTCGCTCAGCTCGACCTGGACATGTCTCCATGTCCTCTCCCCGTCCTGCTGCAGCGGCTGAACAGATGATTTGTTTCAGTGATCAGATGAGATATTTACTTTAAGCCTACATACAAATATTATAATATTCCGTTTTGTGAGCCAAATTTATTTTATATGCCAACATCTATGAAAGAAAGAGCCAGGCCACGGAGCGCGATGCGTCATTTACGCATGGATGGTTCTGATTTTAATGCCATTTTGGAGTTTATGTTGTGATCTGTGTGCTCAACCAACCTTTGTCACGTGAGGTTTGAATATATGCAACTTTATGCGATTGGCTTTATTTGTGGAAAAGGGTGTTTGTCTTACCAGTGGGTCCAACCTTACACACACTAAATCCATCTGCGCTTATATGAGAGAGTGTGGAGGACACCCAATGCAGCACTTACAGTGACACTTGTTGAGGGGCTGCCTTCTGTCGCCATCGTGTGGCATTGCTGTCTTCAGACATCTCTTGATCTCTTTGACTACTTCACTAAAATTGTAAGAAGGAGAGGAGCTTATGTGATTGGTGAAAACAAGTCTCAGCTGTGTTAAACCGACTCCATGCCCTCTCTCCTCCCTCACTACGACTTACGCCGCTGGGAGGAGCTGAGTTAGGGAGGGGGGATACTTACGCCGGGCTGCGCCGCTCACCAAAATACCAAATTGTGCTTGAGAACGCCTTGTCGGCGCGGCGGACCTGACTTACCCCGCGCATGTGCCGCATCGCCAGCAAGGCACGAAAATAGAGCCCCAAGTCCTGGATGGCAGCCAACTTCCTGCAGCTCAACTAGGAAAAAATAGAGGTTTTAGTTATTGGTCCTGAAGGCATGAGAGAGACACTTTTACCAAAACTACAAGTTTTTAAAGTATCAACATCTGTAAAAAAAACCTGGGCGTAATTTTCGACTCTGAGCTCAGTTTTATTCCACACATCAAAAACATTGCAAAAGTAGGTTTGTACCACCTTAAGAATATAGCCAGAGTCCGCCCGTTTCTCTCCCAGGCCAGCACAGAGGTGCTGATGCATGCTTTTATCTCTTCTTATCTAGATTATTGTAATGCCCTGCTCTCTGGCCTCCCCAAGAAAAACTTTGACACTTCAGCTATTACAGATTTCAGCTACAAGAGTGCTGACAAGGGCCAGAGGACGAGAGCATATAAATGAAGTTAATGTATTAACTAAGGTTCAGGAGCAGGACCACACCTTTAATCACCTGACTAGCGTATTTATACATAGCCAGCCCACTACACTCCGTTTATCTGCAATTCTCTGACCCACCCTCCCTCCCTCTCTCTTTAACATTAACTTTTATACTACCTCTCTACCTGCACCTCTCTCTGATCTCACCTTATTTCAGATATAATCTGGGTCTGACTAAGCTCGGGCAGAGCTACGCCTGAGATAAAACCCCCATCCTGAGTCTCTCACTGCCGGGCCTCTACAGAACCTCCCAGACCAACCAGACATGCGACACTCCTCATCAACGTCATTATCCATCACAACATACATGCATCAGATAAGATATACACACTCCTGAAATTGTATTAAATATTCAAACTTATATCGTTGTGGCGTGGTCATTGCTAGTGAACACCAGTTTTAGCATCGCTGTATTGGCTCCCCATCTGTTTCAGGATTGATTTTAAGGTCCTTTTACTAGTTTTTATATGTATTAATGGTCTTGGCCTTTTAACATTACCCAAAGTCAAAACAAAAACACACGGGGAGGCGGCTTTCAGTTTCTGTGGTCCCTGGTTGTGGAACAGCCCGCCGGAGAGCCTCAGGGCCGCAGAGACTGTTGATGTTTTTAAGAGGAGGCTCATGACTCACCTTTTTAACCAGGCTTTTTACTAATTGCCATTTTATATTTCTCTTATTGGAAATGATCATTTTAATCAAAGTTGTTATTGTTAATTTTATGTCATTTTATTAATTATCCCTGTTCTTAGTCTTTTTTCTTAATTCCCGTCACAGGTTTTTACTTCTTTTACCCCTTTTTTATATGGTAAAGAGCTTTTACTTATCTGTTCATTTAATATTACTTTCTTATTTGAGTCCATCAGGTTTTACTCTTTTCACCATCTTTATCTCTATTTTTTTATCTCCAATGTTTCCCAAAGGTAGCTCTTTCCTCATGTAATGTCTCGGTGTCAGGCCATGTTTCTCTAACAATATATCTTAAATTCTTACACTGTGTGCGGTTGTGTGTGTGTGTATGTGTGGGTGAGGGTGGGTGTGTGCCTTTGTGTGCGTGTGGGTCCATGGGTGTGTGTGTGGGTGGGAGGGTCGAGTTTTATTGTCATTATTCCATTGAATTGCATTTTTTGTATGAAAAGTGCCATACAAATTAAATTGAACTTGAATTTGAATTTGATACTTACCCTCTGCCGAGACTGTATGACCTCATTTAACAGGTGGCCAAGTGAAGTTCATTACCACGCTCCACCTTTGCAAAGGCTACTGGCAGGCGCCATTGTCTGATGCTGCTAAGCCTCTCACTGCTTTCAGAACACCTCAGGGACTCTGGCAGTTTACCAGGATGCCATTTGGTCTTCACAGGGCACCGGCCACTTTCCAGAGGTTGATGAATCAAGTGCTTGCTGGTAGAGCTGGGCGATATGGGAAAAAGTTTATCACAATATATTTTTTCATATCAGTCGATATCAATATATATCACAATTTAAACAACAAAATTTAACAGTGCTTATTGGTATTATGTCTTGTGCAATACAATAAGCTACTGCATCTGTGAGATCTTTGAGTCTCTTTGATGTATTGTCGTATGGCACTGTGCGAGACAGGAGCCATCCACCTCGCCAGCAAAGGCTCACCTTTGCTGGTGCAAAGCACTATTGCTGCAAATTCCTTCGCGAGCGGATGGCCACGCTCACACTACAACAGGGCACTGACAGAAGGTTGTGCTGAGTGTTATGAGTGTCAATACTTACCCTGCTTCACACAACCAAGGACTTTGGTGGCTGACATGGATCCTATTAATAACCTCTGTTGCAATGCAGTGACTGATTCAGACAGTGCTTATGTCGGTTTGAAAACCTCCCGGCTGCTCTAGCACTGGGTTACGTTTTAGCTGTTTTCAACTGGTTTTAAGTATCTATTTTTTACGGATTTTTAGATACTTTTAATTTTTAATATTTTAGGATAATCAAGCACTGAACACTCAAGGGGCCATGGCTCCACTCACCTTATTGCCTGGCTATCAGAGCTGTGTCGATTTTAAAAGGAAAATCTGCAAGCTGGAGTAGAGAATCTCAGCACTCTGCAAGATCCAGGATGCAGAGAAGTACTTGGATAGAATCATCCTAGGCGTGGCACCAGCTTCCTTGAGTGCTGAGTTGGAGGACACAGCCCCTGTTGCGTCTTCCTTTACAGATGTAGCCTCCACATTTCCCAGGGCCTCTGCTGCTTCCATGGTTGCCACAGCTCCTGCTTCACGGCCAATGACTGTGTCGAGCCACCTCGACAATCCATGGACTCTTATGGGAGTGAAACCCAAAGGCTCAGCCAGTGCTTTACTCTTCCACCTTTCCGCGGAGACATGGCCAGCTGTCAACCCGCATGGAGCGGCCAGCTGTCAACCGCTAAACTTCACTCCACGTCAAACAGAGCCCTGGACAGCTGTAGGGAGGGATAGGTGCTGCACAGCATGCCTGCCTTTTCCTCCTTCTCTGTCATCCCAGGATATCCCACTGGCCAACAGGTTCGAGATCTTAGGCATGCAGAATTTTCCTCCGCTGGGGGAACAACCGGGAAAGCGGCCCCAACATCTTTGTCGTCCTCTCGACACCGGCTGTTGAGGTAGGCAGTGTCCAGAAGAAGCTCTGCCAGACCTGTTTCCCCTGTCAAGGCTGGAGGTACACCAATAGAGTCCACTGTGGCACCCCCCCCCCCGCGGCCCTCGTCAGCTGCAGCAGCATATCCACTGTCGGCGCCCGATAAGGAGCCCTCCATGACACCACCTCCGTCCACAATAACAATCGGAGATTCCATTTGGAGGAATATGACATCAAAGATGGCTGTAACTTTCTTTTTTCCGGGAGCTAAAGTCTCAGACATAGTTTGGGTCATCCCTGGCCTGCTTGCAGACCACCCGTCTGTGAAGAAGGTTGTTTTTCATGTTGGCACAAATGACACAGGTCAGCAACATTTCGAAATCACAAAAAGGGATTTTCGAACTGCTGCAGGCCAGTGGAAGAATTGTCTTCATTTCTGGCCTAATTCATATGCTGGATCGGGGGGTGGGGTGCTTTAGCAGACTTCTGAGTCTGCACGAGTGGCTTCACACTCATAAATCCCGCCTCCGCCAGCAAAGCTTATGGGGCTGGGGACAAACTTTAGAAATTTAGTATACAAAACATAAATTTTTCTCCCCCCTGCTTGTGATGTTGACATGTAGCTACTGTAAGACTGGTTTGTGCTCAAGTCCTTTTTTTTCTGTGAAGCGCCATTTTTAAAAGTGCTATAACTGAAACTGAACCTCCTACCTGACAGACAGGATATTCATGGTAAGCATAGACACGTGCTCCTCCAAAGTCTATAAAATAAAATAAACTCCCTATTTATGGATGTTGATCGCTTACTGTGTGCTGACCTGGTCCGGAATGGTTAATAGGAGGATGTAAATACACGTCTGAAAATGAGACCTGGATCTGACATATTACCATTACTATTAGTACAGTTGCATTGGATATGCAAAGCATTCTGGTACTTTGTCTTTGTCTTAATGCATGTGTTTTTCTGATATTTTTGTCTCAGCGAGAGTGAACAGGCATAAACTGCGTTTATGTTGTTTTGCCCCTACTATAAAACATTCAGGGCTTGAGCCCAGGTATCCACCCCCTAACTTCACCCACTGATCTACCTTCCTAGACACATGCTCCTCTAAAGTCCATAAAATAACATGGTGTGCCCCACCAGGGTTCGATTTTAGGCCTAGTGCTTTTTAACCTGTACATGCTCCCTCTTGGTAGTGTCATCAGGAGACAAGGAATCAACTTCCACAGCTATGCTGATGATATGCAGCTCTACATCTCCGTGTCTCCTGATGACACCAGGCCAATGGATGCTCTTTTAACTGAATTATAGATATCAAATCCTGGATGGCAGAGAACTTTCTCCAGCTTAACCAGGACAAAGGTTTTAGTCATCGGTCATGAGGCCCAGAGAGAGAAACCTTTAACCAAAACTACAAGCACTGTCTTTTAATCCCTCACCACAAGTGAAAAACGTGGGTGTCATTTTTGACACTGAGCTGACTTTTAGTCCACACATTAAGAACATAACAAAAATAGTTTTTTATCACCTGAGGAACAGCGCCAGAGTCCATCCCATTATCTCACAGGCCAACACGGAGACGCTAATGCATGCTTTTATCACCAGTCGAATAGACTATTGTAATGCCCTGCTTTCTGGTCTTCCCAAAAAGAATGTTTCAGGTTTACAATTATTACAAAATTCGGCAGCACGTGTCCTGAATAAGACCAGGAGCTGGGCCCCCATAACACCAATTTTGGAATAATTGCATTGGCTCCCTGTGTGCTTTAGGATCAACTTTAAGGTTCTTTTACTTGTTTTTGAATGCCTTAATGGTCTTGGGCCTTTTTATCTTTATCTGCTTTTACCTTATGAACCTACATGGACCCTGCGCTTCTCTGGCAGCAGGCTCCTAGTCATTCCAAAAGTCAGGACACACACTCATGGTGAGGGGTCTTTGTAATTGTATTTGTATCTATTGTCACTAAGATGGTCTGTGTTTTATTCATATTTTAGTTTTTCTTATAACTATTTTTATAGCACTTTTAAAAACAGAAGTTTACAAAGTGCTTTGACAAACAGTTGCAAGCACAGAAGATCAGCACATAAAATAAAAACAAATAAAAACAAAAGCTCAGTTAAAAACAAGGCCTCCGAATTGAAGGCCAATTTCATTTGTCATAAGAAACCCAGACAATACAAGAACCCTACAACATAAAAAGCGACCATGAGGACAAAAATAAAAACATAAAATAGGTAAGAAAAAGAAATGAAATAAAAAGGGGGGGAAGAAAGCAGGAAACAGGATAGTAAATATAAAAGAGCATATCAACAATGATAATAAAATCATAATAAAATAATAATGATGGTTATATTAATGATAAAATGGAATAACAAAAATGAGCAGGAAAAAACAATAAAATCAATAAAGGGCCGAAAAGGTAAAATAAGAAAAGATTATAAGTAAAACAAAGGCTAAAACTAAAGTAAGTTAAAATAAGATAAAGATAAAAGAAAAAGGGGGAAAAAGGGAAAAGACGGCATTGACTTAAAAGAAGCAAGTGTCTCTGCACGCCTTATCTCCTCTGGCAGTCGTTCCAAAGTCGAGGAGCTCTGATAGAGAAAGCACTATCACCTTTAGTTTTGAACCTCCAATTTGGAATGACCAGTAGACCGTCGCCAGAGGATCTGAGGCTGCGAGTTGTCTCATAATGTATTAAAAGCTCTGAAATGTAGCTTGGAGCGAGTCCTTTAAGCGCTTTAAAAGTAGTCAATAAAATCTTAAAATCAATTCTAAAACTGACAGGAAGCCAGTGAAGGGAGGCTAAAATTGGAGTGATGTGATGCCATCTGCTAAAACCAGTTAAAAGCCGAGCTGCGGGAGAGTGATTTCTTGTTTAAACCAGGGAGGAAAGAGTTACAGTAGTCCAGCCTTGAGAAAATGAAAGCATTGATTATTTTTTCGAGATCTGGTGGGGTGAGTATTTGTTTCATCTTTGAAATAGTACGCAGGCGAAGGAAACAGGACTGGACAATCTTGTTGATATGGGTGGAGAAGGTGAGGTCTGAATCGAAGGTTACTCCTAGATTATTGGCTGTTGGTTTGATGATTGCTGAATATGGACCGAGACAAGACTGAATAAGGGGGGAGTTTTGTATGTTACAGAGAATTATTTCAGATTTTGAATAATTTAGTTCAAAGGAAATTTTCTGCCATCCAACAGTTAATGTCACTTAGACAGACCATGACAGCAGCTCAGCCTCTTGGATCCTCAGGTCTCAAAGGAAGGTATATCTGTGTGTCATCTGCATAGCAGTGAAAGGAGACTTTGTGGCGCTAAATTAATTGGCTGAGGGGCAGCATGTAGATAGAAAATAAAATTGGACCTGAAACTGAACCTTGCAGTACACCACAGGCAGAAGTAGAGGAGGTGTGATTGCCTATGGTGACCGCAAAGGTTGGTTCTAAAAGATACGACTGAAACCAGCTAAGTGCAGTGCCCCTGATACCCACCCAGTTTTTAAGATGCTTTTTCAGAGGAGCTACAGAGTCCAGGATGGTTCCACACATAATGTTAAAAAGATAGACAAGCTCTTCAGTGTTAAAAACTGGATTAAAACCTGGGTTGAAGCCAATTAAAGATGCAGAGATAAAAAGCTATGAAAACTTGCCAGCAGACGTTGCATTAAAAACTATTCTAAAAACAGGAGTGTGATCAGTAAAAGAAGGCTGGGATGAAACCATGGAGAATAAAACCAGTTTGTGATCTGACACACAGATATCCTTAGTTAAAAACTCCCCAGGACGAAGTCCGGTAAATAAAATAAAATCTAGGCAATCAAATCAAATCAAATTTTATTTATATAGCGCCAATTCATAACTGTCGTCATCTCAAGACGCCTTTCAAAGGACAAGAGCTGGGGCCTGTTCTACGAAGCAAGTTCAACCTAGCAAGGTAGCCTTGGAGCTACCTCACTCAACTTAGCGCGGTAGCCAGCGGTTTCACTAAACTGATTCACGACGCTGGTTATCAACCTCGTAAATTGATCCAGCTTTGCTATGAGCGCGTACACGCATGTAAGGTGGAGCCCGCTGCATCTGACCAATCGCGAACATGGACCAGTCTGGAGCGTCAGAGCAGACCGGAGAGCGAAGGACCGCGGACTTTACAAACGAGGAGCAGGAAGGAGACGATCATGAGAAAGTATAAAGAATTAAAATCTGTCATAAACCTCAAAAGCAACACAGTTGCCACTGCAAAAGCACGGAGGGAATGCTGGCAGAAAATTCATCTTTGATGCCATTATCACCCTGAAATAGCACTGTTCAACATGCGCTTTTAACTAAGGTGACCAGGCGTCCCCGATTTCCGGGGACAGTCCCCAAATTGCATGATCTGTCCCCGGCTAAAGCTGTCCCCGAAAATGTCCCCGATTTAAGCGTTTCATGAATGAGAACAAAAATGTTGCATGTGGGCTAGAACAACGGTTATTACAGTGGGTAGGAAGCACGAGTTAGCAGTCCTGAACAACAGTATTTACGGGGGTTATTACAAGGGGCGTGCGCAGCTACTAAATAGTACCGAGATGTTGTCTGTGATCACGCAGCCCATGCAGCCCCTGCCCATTCATTTCCAAGATGAATTCATTCATTTGTTCATTCCTATCGTGTATACATTTTTTGTGTGATATATCGGCCATATGAGCCTTTCATAAAGGTGGTCATCTGGAAAAGTAAGTGGGTCCGTGCGGTCTCTGAAAACTCTCGCGTGTCGGAGTGCTCCTCAGACAATGCGAAGTTACCTCGCAGTATTCCTGCCTCGTAGAACAGGCCCCAGGTCTAGACCACGCTCATTGTTTGATGATCAAGAACCAACCTAAGATGGGTTTTGGCCCATCTCAACTAACATGAGTAGCAGTGGCAAGGAAAAACTTCCTTTTAACAGGCAGAAACCTTGGGCAGGACCAGCCTCATGTTAGACAGCCACCATGCCGCTGCTGGTTTGGGGAGGAATGTAGAGAGATGGAGGGAGAGAGAGGAGAGAGAGGAGAGAGAGAGAGAGAGAAGAGGGGAGAGGGCAGGGGGAGAGAGAGAGAGAGAGAACAAGATAAGGGGAAGGAGAGAGAGAATGAGAGGCAATGTCCCTTTACATGAGTTGGTTCCTGTATTGCCTGGGTAAGATTAAAGGAGTCCAGAGTTTCAATAAAATCAACAGTTAAGGGTTGTGAGGGACAACAGACATGTACATTAAAATCACCAAAATAAGAATTTTGTCATATTTACAAATAAAAAGGGATAGAAACTCCGAAAACTCCTGAATAAAATCAGCATTGTGTTTAGGTGGTCGATAAATGATTATGATTCAAACAGGATCTTTCAATTTAGCAATAAAAGCAAGGTGCTCAAATGAACTAACTGTACTGACTGTTTTTTTAACCCCTCGGATGCCCCCACTGCAGTAAAACTGCACCTTTTAGAGTGGCCTTTTATCATGGCCAGTCTAAGACACACCTGTGCAATAATCATGCTGTCTAATAATAATAATGCATCAGATTTTCATATAGCGCTTTATCAGACCCTCAAAGCGCTTTACATTGGATACATCATTCATTCGCTCACACAGTCACACTTTGGTGGTGGTAAACTACCTTAGTAGTCACAGCTGCCCTGGGGTAGACTGACGGAAACGTGGCTGCCATTTTGCGCCTACGGCCTCTCCGACCACCACCACACAACACTCACAATCATACACCTACACCTGTGAAGGATGGATAATCTCAGCAAAGTGTTCACTAACACAGATATAGACAAATTTGTCAACAATATTTGAGAGAAATAGGTCTTTGGTGTACATAGAAAAAGTCTTAGATCTTTGAGTTCAGCTCATGAAAAATGGAAGCAAAAACAAAAGTGTTGCCTTTGTATTTTTGTTCAGTGTATATGTATATGTGTATGGCCGTAACAGTGTCTTCCACACGTGCGCGAATGCTGCTTTTATTGTGTGCACACACCAAAGAAGAGCTGGGAGTGGAAGCCCAAAATCAGGCAGGGAACAACAGTCAATCTAAGGCTTGGGCCATAAATTAATTGAGTTTCTGTTTTTAACTGTCATGTAAATGTACACTCACACATGCTGTTCAAGGGGCCTCTTTTGGCCAAATGTCTTGTGCCAAGGAATCTGTCCTTTATTAAATTGTTATATTAATACATATAACAACAACAACAACAACAACAACAACAACAAAAATGATAAAAAGATGAATAAATAACCATATTGGCATAACCATACAGTCTATGGGCGTAACAATGGGTAAAAGTAACTTCAGTACTTTCCCCAATTAATACTCAGATAAAGCACAGACAGCCCAAAAGTGTACTTGAATACAGTCCTTAAAGACATTCACTTCCCTCTGTCCACCACTAACCATGTCGAAAAAACAGTTACGTCACCCTTCTGTCCGTTTGGTGGCGTCAATTAACAAGTAGCTACACCCTCTGCAGCCAACATTAACCGTAGAAGAAGAAAAAACGGAAGTGTAGGAGTGAGGAAGTGTGTGTAGCTTTGCCAAGTGGACTTCACCGCCTTAGCGTTGTGTTGTATTTATTTTTTATCAAACGGGTAGATAACCTTTCTTTCTGCTGTAAAATGTCTAAAAACACGGATTCTGCCCGCTTCCGGAGAGTAGACGTGGATGAGTACGATGAGAACAAGTTTGTGGATGAAGAGGACGGAGGAGAGAACCAAAGCGGTCCGGACGAGAATGAGGTGGACTCTCTGCTGAGACAATATCCTCCACAGTTATTCATGTTTCCATCTTTATTGATTCATCAATTATGCATTAGTAGTCAAATAAACCTTCAAATACAATCTTGATATTTGAGAAGAAAGATGAATGAGAATCTACAACCAGTCAGACACACCGAAATTGGGCTCTGTTTCCTCCTAAACTCCATCTGATGAGCTGAATTTCTGCTCCGAATCTGACCTTTTTTTAATTCAATCTGTGAATATGTCAATTTTATTGAAGCTGCAGAGAAGTGTTTGATTTGTGTCAGTGTTGAGAGTATTTCCGCGGTGAAGCTCATGTTTCCGGGTAGCTCACTAAGGTGTGGTTGATCCCCTCTCTCTCACACACACACACACACACACACACACACACACACACACACACACACACAGCTGTGACTTCACTTTAACAGTACTAAAGCAACTGCATACACACATTTACCTTTTTTTTTTTTTTTTTTTTACAAACTCCAAGCAACTCCACTAGATTTTTAACATGTAATGTTGAATTTCCCTTTTATACTTTGTGTTTGAATGAACTTCTTCTGGTTTGTCTGGTAGACGCTGAAGTCAGCATCTGATTCAGAGCTTCATTCAGACTCAAAGCTGTTAGTCCTGATCCAAAATCACTGTACAGAGGCAACAAAGACCTGGACATGAGGATCCCAAAGGGGCTAGAGAATCTTTTATGTAGACTTCAAAATCTGATATTTCCCCCTTCCTGTGCCACTAATCTGTTTTCCAAAATGCAGGCCTTTTACATTCAGCTGCTGGGGTGATGTGAACTTGATGTTTGATGTTTTTCTGCTTTTTTCTACCATCAACAGCTACATGTCACAACCAGAAATTGACCTTGTTTAGAGGTGTGATAAAGATATTTATTCAGACATTATACAGTGATAAAATGTTCATATTTTTCCCCCAAAACCCTCACACTGATTAACAATGTGAAGTAATATCTGAGGACTTACCTCAGAGTCTTACACAATGTTGACTGACCTGCAGTTAGTTGCCTCGTATTTAGCGTTGAAGTTTCTTTCTTACCCTCAGCTTAATCTCAACTCAACTTTATTTGTAAAGCACTTTAAAACAACCACAGCTGAACAGTGCGGTAAAACAATGGATAAAATAAAAGCAGATATTAAAAAGTAAAATGTAGTTTCAATGTTTTTTAAAAACTAATTTAAAAACATGGAAACAAACTACTAAAAACAAACCATAAAACACAGACAGGAGTCTCATGCAGGGTTGAAAGCATAGACTGTATATAGAATGGACAGAGTCTGCCTCCTCGCTGGGTGAAGCCACTCCGAGAACAGCACCCTCTGTTGATGGGCTGCAGTATAGGTCATAAATCCCGCCTCTGCCAGCAAAGCTTATGGAGCTGTGGACAAACTTGAAATTTATTACACAGAACATAAATTTTTCTCCCCCCTGCTTGTGATGTTGACATGTAGTTACAGTAAGACCGGTTTGTGCTCAAGTCCTCTTTTTTCTGTGAAGCTCCGTTTTTAAAAGTTATAAGGGGGTTCATGTTTTCTATGATTGACACCTGATACAGCCAATGGGCATTCAGGGATTCAGGGATAGCTCACCCGGGGGGGATACGCTGTTTGAGCCGAGCGTCATCACAGCGACTCTCTGCGACTGCGCGGCCGAATGCGCGCATCGCTACTGCGCAGCGCTGGTTTCAGGAAATGAAGAAAAATCCTGGAAATACCGAGAGCTATTTGGCTTCAAATCCGTATACAGGCGGTAGGCGGAACAAAGTTGTCCATAGTATATACACTCACCGGCCACTTTATTAGGTACACCATGCTAGTAACGGGTTGGACCCCCTTTTGCCTTCAGAACTGCCTCAATTCTTCGTGGCATAGATTCAACAAGGTGCTGGAAGCATTCCACAGAGAGCTTGGTCCATATTGACATGATGGCATCACACAGTTGCCGCAGATTTGTCGGCTGCACATCCATGATGCGAATCTCCCGTTCCACCACATCCCAAAGATGCTCTATTGGATTGAGATCTGGTGACTGTGGAGGCCATTTGAGTACAGTGAACTCATTGTCATGTTCAAGAAACCAGTCTGAGATGATTCCAGCTTTATGACATGGCGCATTATCCTGCTGAAAGTAGCCATCAGAAGTTGGGTACATTGTGGTCATAAAGGGATGGACATGGTCAGCAACAATACTCAGGTAGGCTGTGGCGTTGCAACGATGCTCAATTGGTACCAAGGGGCCCAAAGAGTGCCAAGAAAATATTCCCCACACCATGACACCACCACCACCAGCCTGAACCGTTGATACAAGGCAGGATGGATCCATGCTTTCATGTTGTCGACGGCAAATTCTGACCCTACCATCCGAATGTCGCAGCAGAAATCGAGACTCATCAGACCAGGCAACGTTTTTCCAATCTTCTATTGTCCAATTTCGATGAGCTTGTGCAAATTGTAGCCTCAGTTTCCTGTTCTTAGCTGAAAGGAGTGGCACCCGGTGTGGTCTTCTGCTGCTGCAGCCCATCTGCCTCAAAGTTCAACGTACTGTGCGTTCAGAGATGCTCTTCTGCCTACCTTGGTTGTAACGGGTGGTTATTTGAGTCACTGTTGCCTTTCTATCAGCTCGAACCAGTCTGGCCATTCTCCTCTGACCTCTGGCATCAACAAGGCATTTCCGCCCACAGAACTGCCGCTCACTGGATATTTTTTCTTTTTCGGACCATTCTCTGTAAACCCTAGAGATGGTTGTGCGTGAAAATCCCAGTAGATCAGCAGTTTCTGAAATACTCAGACCAGCCCTTCTGGCACCAACAACCATGCCACGTTCAAAGTCACTCAAATCACCTTTCTTCCCCATACTGATGCTCGGTTTGAACTGCAGGAGATTGTCTTGACCATGTCTACATGCCTAAATGCACTAAGTTGCCGCCATGTGATTGGCTGATTAGAAATTAAGTGTCAACGAGCAGTTGGACAGGTGTACCTAATAAAGTGGCCGGTGAGTGTACAGTCTATGGTTGAAAGCCAATGAATAAAAATGGGTTTTAAGACGAGTTTTAAAATTTGATTTTGAGGGGTAGCTCGTTCCATAATTTTGGGGCCATAACAGAAAAAGATCTATCCCATCTGAGCTTCAGTTTGGACCTTGGTACCTCCAGGACCAGCTGATCAGCTGACCTGAGGCATTGAGCAGGGGTGTAGCGGTGGAGCTCAGCGAGGTAAGATGGAGCCAGACCATTTAAAGATTTAAAAACAAATAAAAGAATCTTAAAATGAACTCTAACTCTAGGTCTGTGGTGATTCAAACATAGCCTGGCTGGGCCATCCAGTTGCGTGAGTCACTTGCTGTTCCTTCCCACAACAGTCTAGACTTCGGCCAATTGGGAGCGAGTATTAAAAATCAGAAAATAACTGGGCCGATCACTGACTGTGTTTCCACTGTTATCCATTGTTTCCCTGACAACAGTGAAAGGCAGCCCCTGATTGGTCCATGTGTAGATGGTGACATCTAACACATGCTGCGGGACTTTTCAAAGCGCCGTTCATTCAGCAAAGTCAGCAGAAATCGTTTATATTCGCAGAAGAAGACGTAAAAGACATTTGCTGCGTCCGAATTGCCAAGTAGTAGTCGAAGTAGTATGTAGCATGTCCAAATTGGCCACCAGAGCAAGTAGCATGTTACTTCAGATACTAGACACGCCCACATTGTAGGATGGTCGCTGTGCATCTCATTGAACAAACGATCACCACGTGAGTGAATGAAGGCTAAAAGTAATGGAAAAGCTACCTTGTGAATTTCTAAAGCAGTGCAGGAATATAATACAACAGCATCCATCACTTGCACAATTACCATTCAAAGAGTCTAAAACGGGCACAGTACCTACTCTCTGCCTGCGGGGGTCGTCTTTCCCCACCGCTCGTCTAGTGTGTCCGAATTGGGCCAACGTGCTGAGTATGTAGGAGTAGGATCTAGCAGTAGTATGTAGCAGTAGTATGTAGTATGCGAGCAGGCAATTCGGACACAGCAATTGTTTGCTCGCAGACGATGAAATATTACCAAACCTTTACTTGATGCTTAAGAGCCCAGCAGGGAACACAGTTGCGCACTGTGATGACGTCAGATGTTTGGTTACAGTGATTGGTTACAGTAGTCTGTCTATCAAGGAAAGTACTCCCGCCCACCTTTGGGGCTCCCAATTGGCCGAAGTCCAGACTGTTGTGGGAAGGAATGGCAAGTGATTCACGCAACTGGATGGCCCAGCCAGGCTAATTCAAACACATCTAAATAGTACTCTGTCAGCTTTTGGGATGTGGTTGTTTGCCATCATTCGTCTGTTTCGCTGCACCTGTATGCTTAGCTCATAGGTGGTGACTCACTTATAATACCTTGGAGATATCTTAATGCAGTTTATCAAAAGAAAAGTGTGTTTTACACTGGACTTGTTAGGTGAGCCAGCTGGAGGAGTTTTCAGAGTGAAATATGCTGCTTAAAAGCAGTGGTGTCATTATTTTCTATCATAGTGGCTGAAGGTAGTAAAGGCAGTCGGACTTGTAATGGTGATCCTTAAGGGACAAAATAACACAAACACAACAGCATTGATTTCTGATCTTAATCATTACAGTTTCTGTGTCAATGCAGACAGCCCATTATCTGAATACATGATTATCAAGTTTGGCGTACTCATTTTAATTCTGTGTATTTGTATTATAAGTCATGAATGCAGTTACTTAACATGACCAGTAAAACTGATGCAACAGAGCAATGATCACTCAACCATGGTGTTTTGTACAGAATTTCAATAGAACTACAAAACATAGCTCCCTTGAAATCATGGCGGTTTCAAATGTAGAGGATAGTGTTTAAATAATCCAAATCCGAAGAAGATTTGTACCTGTATCTCTGTCCTGTAAACTGTTTTGGCCTTAACTACAGGTTTTAAGGGGAGTATGACTGCAGCTCTCCATGCTGCACTTAAGAATCCCCCCATCAACTCCAAGAACCAGAACACCAAGGTAACAGGTTATCATTGTGTGTTTGTTTGTGCAGTAATACCCTCAAGGAAGATGATTGTTGTTCTTGTTCTCCTTTCTTTTGACCTGATATTCTAACTGGAGAGAAGGGAATTCTGCTGTGCTGTGTGAAACTGAATTGTCTAGTTTTAATTAATATCAGGTAAAGCGTAAGATTGAGGTTTATTATGTGGGTGTGCTGAGGTCATCAGCACCTTGCAGTCAGCAGTTTTCATGTAGAATCAACAATATATTTATAAGCTGCAAAAATCCTCATTAGAGAGGAAGGCTCTGACATTGTCTATATGTAGTGTGATAACCTTTTCCTCTGCATGTGTGTCTTTTTGTGGGGTTATGTGTGTGGTTGCGGGGCTGTGCAGGAACGGGCAGAGCTGCTGGTGGTGCGGGTGCTGAGCAGTTTTAAGAGCAGTGACATAGAGAAAGCTGTGGGCTCCCTGGACAAAGCAGGAGTGGATCTCCTGATGAAATACATCTATAGAGGGTTCGAGAAACCGTCTGACAACAGCAGTGCCGTGCTGCTACAGTGGCATGAAAAGGTACAAATTGATAACACGATGAAAGAAAGCTTACCAAAGAAAATGGCCTAGAACAATGAAAAACATCTGATTTATCTCAGCGTCTTCATTGTTACCACTCTGTCATTTGTCTCTGCTGTCATACAAACTGAAAGTACAGGTGCATGTCAAAAAATTGGTTTTAATTGTGATTCATTTAGCTCATGAAAATCATACCAGTTTTTCAAATTATTGAAGTATTTCCTACAGTCAGTTCAAAAACAGGATTCAGATGAGTCAAACTAGTGCTTTAATTTTTGTTCCATACTTCTCAAAAATGGACTTGGGGTTGTTACTTTGAAATAAAAAACCCTACACGGGTTTCTCTTCCAGTTTGACTTACTCTTGTACAGTTACTCACAGACTCACAGTGGAACCCAGATTCTGTTTTTCACTCTCACTAGATTCTTCGTGGATCCAGGTTTTGTGTCATCTGTTTAAGATGCATCACACTAGACTTTTCTCCTTTTAATGTGTGTTTGTGTTTATTTGTCTTCAGGCTCTGGCTGTTGGAGGAGTGGGATCTATAGTCCGAGTCCTGACTGCTAGGAAGACTGTGTGATGGTCCCATCGCCCAAAGTCCACCTAGCACCAGACGTCGGACCGGCATCTGATCTTTGGATCTCAGTGCAGAGATGAGCCTTTTTTTCTGTCTCTGTTTTGATTTTTATACTGAAGCTTAGTGTCTTCCCCCTCTGCCCTCACACTCTGAGCTGTGGGATTTAGCGTAGCTGGCGGTCAGTCAGGGGTGCTGGCACCTCACACTGTCTCTGTCTGCCAGCCACGCAGTGAGGACACACACATTCATACGCTTCACTTTCTCCTTTAAGCAGCTCTGAGCTCTTTGAGACAGCTTCACAGCTGCTCTGATGCCTCTGCTGGCTCCTGTTACACCTTTTTCCTCCTCCTCCTCCTCCTCCATCTTGTTTGAAGCCTCTCAGTCCTCTCTCAGGGTTATGGCAATGGAAAAGATTGCTTTTAGATGGAGGATGATCACTGGTATTTTCTCGGGGCATAGTAGGACTCTGCTCTTATTCTTCCTTTTCATTCTTACCTGGAGACCAATTTTGTTAATTGTCTATTTGTTTTTTACTTAAATCATTATATTGTTGTGTGGGGCCTACTTCTTTTGTTTTTTATATCTGAAAAATAAAGTGCTATACCTGAAAACAGACCAGTGACTCCTGTCTTTGAGTTTTCTCTAAGAACACAGTGTTCAAAAAAAGCTTCATCTGTCATAAAAGGGAATCATGAAACCTTCAAACTAAGTCTTATGTCCAAATGACCAACTGGTACTAAAGTTTTGGACAGTGTATTGAGGCTGCAGCATAATCTTTTGCACATTAGATTGGTATATTCTACATTTATTATAAAAAACCTGAACACTATGTATTTTTGAAGGGTTAGGGTTAGGGTTAGTATTTTTGAAGGGTAGGAACGGTGAAACTGCAACTTTTCCTTTTAAATTCAGGGCATTGGTCTCGTGAACTGATTTACCTCTTTATTCTCACAACTGCACTTTGAATTTATGACTTTCAACTTATGAATTCCTCTACACAGTCTGGTAAATTGACAGCTTTTCTATATAAATTTAAGAGAAATCTCAAAATGTAAAAGTTTGCTCAAATAAATTTATGGCTTTTCCTCATTAGATTACTACTTAATTTTTGTTATTTCAAAATATTTCCATGAACTTATTCCTGTAAAATTAGGACTTTTTTTCTCGTAAATGTGCCAACTCACAATTTTATGAATGTTTCCCTTAATTTAGAGCTTTTTCCTTTAAAATTTACATCAGAGCTAAGAAATTAGGAGCTCTCAGTTTTTCACAACAGTTCTTTATTTTTTAATGTGGGTCTTTTGCTTCTCACAACTCAAGTTTTTTCTCATCAATTTACAACTTTTATCTTTAAAGCTCCTGTGAGGAACTTCATGTCTATGTTACTTTTAGTGCCTCCTGTGGACAAAGAAGTAACCCTTTTATTGTTGCTAATTTCATCAAATTTTTTGAAAGTCATGGTGGTTGTCAAAAAGCCTCCTCCCATTTTCATTTCACCCTGACATTTATGAATCACTTCTAATATTAGCTGTGGAAATAATTACAAAGGCTGTTTCTCCAAAGTACCTACCCCATAGACTGTATGAAGAATGGACAGAGTCTGCCTCCTTGGCAGAAGCCACTGGATGAAGCCACTCCAAGAACAGCACCCTGTTGATGGGCTGCAGTTTTGGTCATAAATCCCGCCTCCGCCAGCAAAGCTTATGGGGCTGTGGACAAACTTTAGAAATTTATTACACAGAACATAAATTTTTCTCCCCCGTTTGTGATGTTGACATGTAGTTATTGTAAGACTGGTTTGTGCTCAAGTCCTCTTTTTTCTTTGAAGCTCCGTTTTTAAAAGTTATTAGGGGGTTCATGTTTGCTATGATTGATACCTGATACAGCCTATGGGCGTTCAGGGATTGCGTGGCTCACCCAAGGGATACGCTGTTTGAGCCGAGCGTCATCACAGCGACTCTCGGCGACTGCGCGGCCGAATGCGCGCATCGCTACTGCGCAGCGCAGGTTTCAGGAAATGAAGAAATCCCTGAAATACCAATAGCTTTTTGGCTTCAAATCCGTATACAGGCGGGAGGCGGAACCAAGTTGTCCATAGTATTTACGGTCTATGACCTACTCCCTCACAGCAGTTACAGGCATTAAGAATTAGGATATAGAAAATGTTAGTTGTCAAAAACAGAATAACTTCCTTTTCTACATCATGGAAACGCATCACTGCTTATTTAGCCTGTTTCGTAACTTATCAAAAGCCCCTTCATTCAGGTTATGGGTATCTATTTCTTCATTAAAGAGTAACTGGAGTTGCTAAAGGTTCTTATAGATTTTTCATCTCTCTCCCAAAAGGTTTCTTCAGTTCTGACTGTGTTGGTACTAAACTAACAATGTCAAACACACTGACAGAAAGCCGCAGATCAGCAGAGCCTTTTTAGTGTCCATATACTGAATGACTTTTTTCTGTGGAGTGTGGTGGGTTTGAGAGCAGTTTGACTGTAAAATTTCTCCTGTACTCAAGAGATCCTGTTTTTCTGACTCACTTCCTACTTGAAGGTGTTTTTGTCCTATCTACACACACACACACACACACACACACACACACACCAGTTGTTAACACTCTGATTGCAGCATAAATGTGTTTAATGGTTGTTATTTTTGTCCAGTTTGAGTTTTGTGGGTACCACAGTGAACCAGATGAGATGCAGAAATAAGAAACACGGATAAAGTAACAGTACATCCATGATACAAAGACTGTTAGACCTCTCAGTTTGCTACATGGAGACTGAAACTAACTGACTGAAACATTACAGAAACCCGACAGTGTCTCAAATAAAGAATTTCAGAGAGTATTGGGTTCTTTCTCCTTTACATAAAGGAGAATAAAAATCCTATAACAGATGAATGTCTGTCCGTGATACTGCAAGAAACACTTAAATCACATTTTCCTTCTTCATCATGTTAAAAAAGACATTTACAAAAAGATGAGCAGCCACATGTATAAGAGGACAGTTTGTTTCTACAGGCAACAGATCAACACAAGAGCTCCATGAGTCAGGTCACAGTTCAGTTTGCTGTGGACTAAACCTTTAACAAAGAATCTGTGCAGCTGGATTCTTCTGCTGTGTTTACAGCGGGACTGTCAGCTTTGAAACATCAATCAGGATGTGACTGAAGTCCAAAACAATATATTATTTTGTTTGTCATGCCTACTTATCCATCCTGTTGGGCACACTAGTTAATCCGCCGCAGTATCTTCCTGCTTTCTGCAGCTGATATGAAGGAAAACACCACTGCACTTTCAGATGGCACAGTTCTCCCTAAAAACTCAGAGACAGCCCCGTTGGTAAATCAAATAAAATATCAATCAGTTACTTAGGGATTGAGCACATCACAAAAGCCAGTAGAGCTGAACTGACTTTCGTAGAGGACTTTGTATCAGATTAATTTTGTATGTCAGTGATTTTAAAAAATATGTGGACAGTCCTTGTTCACTCAGAGTGACATCTTATTTCAAAGTTTTTAAGTTTGACAGACTGCAGTTGAACATCACCATTCTCTAGTTTTATTTGAAAGACTACACGGACAGGTCCAAACAAAACAGAAGTTCAGAGAACATTTCAACATTATCAAAAAGAAAAATCCAAAAACCTATGGTCTGCTTTTATTCATAGAAATATAACCAGGTGTTTTCACACTAATGACAAAAGTCTCTCAGTGTAACAAACAAAGGCCCCAGAAGTACTGAAAAGACTTCCCCAGGCCCTGATACACCATGTCATTCATGCAGCTCTGTGGCACACAAACACCCTGTGTGTGTGTCTGATTGTGTGATTACCCCCGAGAGGAATGTCCGCGGGAAAAAAGAAAGCTGGGGCAAGTTTCAGAAAAGTCAGCAAAAAAGTGCTGCACTGAAGACCATGTAGAAATAGTTAACTTTGAAACCGGGCTGAAATTAAATCTCTACAACAAACAATTTTTAGTAACCCCGAATTTAAGTAAAAAAGTCTGAGAATGCTCGGATTCTAAGAGGTAATCAACACTCAACACGAATTACGGATGATCCCAAAAATTCAGATCTATTAAGTGAAAAATTTTTTTAAAGAGTATATTAATTAATATTAATGAATATATTAATTATCAACACAGCCCTACAGGCTTTAACTGTTAGTTTACTGGTATAAGCTTGCAAGATTGTGTTTTTCTCATAAACCCTCATTAGTCTTTGGGATTTTATCGTTGTTGGGAGACCTTTTGCCTTAAAATAGGCCATCACAAATATCTTTTTTGGGGGGGAGGGGCTCATACCAATCAGACCTTTAGTCTAAAAGGTTTGCATTTGTCTGTACATTATGTGATCTAAGACCAAATATTTCAGAGGCATTCTTTAAATCACAGAACAAAAGCTGGATAATCTGTTTAAGGTTTAGGACAATGCTTGAAAAGAACACCAATTTTACTGCAATTTAATGACAAATGCTCATGAACTGCACAACTTCCTTTAACTGCTGCAGTTAAGAGAAAGCCGGTAGTTCTTGAAATAAAATATTTGGAGGTTTTGTGATGACTTAGTGAAGGTGGCATGGTCTATCTGGGCTTCCATTCCTGTCACTCATGAGAGGCCCAGCCTCATGGTGCCTGTAGGTTTGTGTTTATGTGCATTTACAGAGGTGGGTGTCCACGTTTTTCGTTTATTTTCACACCATTTTCAAAGACCAGACAGTCAGACGTGTCTCACAGTCAGATCTGGACCCAGAGATTTCTCTGAAATTTAGAGGAACAGAATCACAGAGCATACGTGGGCCACGGCCACAGACAAATGACTTAACCTTTTTTTCTTTTCTTATCCTCTGAGTGCAGATGGAGCGCGTTTTTCAGAGACTGTGAGCAGCTCATGAGTGTGACAGAGTTGTTGTACTGATCTGCTACATCTACAGAGAAAGATAGAAAGAGACACAGAAAGATACAGAGAATATAAAACAAGAGTTTTCTTTATACAAGAGTCCTTTGGAGGGATTCACCCACTTCTCCTCTCCTTCACACAGACACTCCTCTTCCCTTGTTTCTGTGTGCGCAGCTGTAGCACAGTCCATGTGTGTACTTTGTGTGCATGTGTATGCATGTGTGCATGTTGTGTGTGTAGGTAGATGTTTATGTCTACTTGTGTTCTTTAGTGGGAGCAAAGTAGAGCTCCATGGGTTTGTTGACCTTCCAGTACTTCTCGCTGACCAGCTCCAGAGAGAAAGATCCGTTCAGAACCTGCAGGCAAAAAAAAAAGCTTTACAGACTTTGTAACACTCATAACTCCATAACTGTGTCATCTCTTTCTTTCTGCATTCATGGAGGTTCTCTCAGACAGAAAAGGAGAGGATTTTTGACCAGACAATGAAACTTGCATGACACATTTTTTTCTGAATTTGCATGAGAGGTGGTCGATCATCACATAAAACCCGCATCTGGGAGGCCACCCAGGTCAATGCACTGCCACCTAGATACATCTAATATCATGTTTACACATGTTCATGATTGCCATCACTGATCGATAAACTGCTGTGCAATCATTCCTCACTTACGGTCAGGGAAAGCATCTTAATGGCAGCTCTGCAGGTGATAACAGATGGAGAGGAGAAGAAGTCAAGTCTCATTAAATGCGTTGATTACACCGCAGGGTCTTATGTGAAATTAAGACTTGCAGCACATTGCAGTCGGGCTGGGTGATAAACCTAAAATTTACCGGTACCGAAATCTACGACAATAACCAACGTCATTTTGCCCACATCGGTATATTCGGTGTCAAAATAAATCAATTCAAGTTGGTTTTGTAGGTAGGCTATGGTTTCATGTCCCTTAGAGATGCTGTCCTACGTCAGAGACATGACTCCACCCCATCCAGTCCGTAACAAAGAGGGAAAGACAGGTGAGGAGATGGAGGACAGTTCAAAAGTTTTAGTGGCTTGTCGGGCGGCTGAAGTAGACAAAGTTAATATGGGAGGGGGTGAGCAGCTTGTGGAGTAGTTATCGTCCCTTTATCGTTATCCAGGTGAAGTGCTCAATATATCGTGATTTTGATTTGAGGCCATATTGCCCAGCCCTACATTGCAGCCTGTCTTATTTTGCACCCTCATATTCACTTTTTCATGCTGGGATAGATTAGGAGCTTAAATGAAGTAGGCTTTCTTATCTTTCACTCAAATACCTCATGATATGTAGTGACTGAAAGCAGCACAGAGAAAACAGTGGGACCTGAATGCTGTTAAACTGTCTCAGTACACCACATTACCGCTGATATTAAAAGGATGTGAAGAAAATTAGCTTCTGTATGGGAAAGACTGAAGGAGACTCCAGTGCTCGTAGGGGGAGCATCAACGGTCAATCAGAAAATAAACACAGACTCTCACAGGTTGATGCAAAATTACTTAACGCAAGTAAAAGCTGGGACTCTAGTGCCTGCAATGGTTTAATAAATGGAAAGAAACTTCAAACTTATATACAACATAGTGCAGCATTAGGACCTGTGACAATAAATAAGACAAAGTAAAGGGATTCAGGGCTTCAAAACCTGTAGCCTTAGTATTACAGCTATTTAAAAAATGAAGTCAAAGAAATTGATCACGTTACGGATAAAATGTAGACACTGTCTGCTCATCAAAGAAGTGCATTTAATCTCCTATAAATTAAATCCACTCATGCCATACAACACTGCAAACTAACTACAACACAGGCTTGTTACCAGCCAGAAAAGGCAAGACCCCCAGACTTTTTTGATGGTGTACACTATCAAGTTTTATAATTATATTTTTGTGCAGTTTACTGTATTTTTTGTATATTTATGTTCTGCCTTCTGACACTGTTATTCTTTAAGAAACATTATACTGGTGTAATGTCCGGACTGTCTGCAGGGTAAGATAAGTGAACTACTTTTCAAACAGTTTTTTTCTTTGAACGGAGTTTGAAGTAACCAGTTAAGAAGATGAGGTAACTTTTTTTAATCCTAAATATGGCATATATCCATGTCTGCTTCAATCTTTGCATTTAGTTTGTATGTTTTTGCATCAAATCACAAATCTTCTGTCCTCTTGGTCTCATATCTTACGTAAGTTGTACAGAAGATAAAGAAAAGAAGACAACATGATATGACAGAAGAATCAGAACTAAACTTTTTCTGCTTTTCTACCCCTTTAAGTACATTTAACGTATGCTGCTGTTATTGACTCTCTCATCTCAAGAGTTTTCCACCTTTCAAAATAATGCAGCATGTTCAATGTGTATCTGTGTTTCTGCTTGTGTCTGAGAGTGCGTGTGCTCACAGTAAACTGGTTTCCAGCAGTAGGTATGTAGATGGTGTACTGTTTCTCTGAAGCCGCCTCCACATTCACAGGACTGGCCTCTGCGTTTCTCCTCAGCTCCTCCAGAGCCAGTCTGACTGCCAGGTACTTTGACAGGTGATCCACTGTGGCGTTACCTGATGTCTTGATGTAGCGAGGGACAAACTCCACACTGTGAAATAACAGGAAGCCAAGTTATTAGCTGAACTCTATCAGTAAGCACGATAACTACAACAAAAACATTTACCTGTTGTGACCGTCATCCTTCTCCATCAGTGTGGGATGTGGTCTGAACACCAGCTCAATCTCACTGGCCCCCCCATCAATGACAGAGTCTCCTCCCCCATTCTCTGCAGCGTTATCCATGTCCAGACCGCTGTCGTCACTTGTCTTGGTTCGTTTAATGCTCGGACCGGCCTCCTGTGTGGACACAGTCAACACAAAGGGTTAGTACAACAAACTCTTCACTGATTGGAGTTCGGTCTCAGCAAGAAGAAGAAAACTCAGGCAACTTTGAACATCTACTTTGGTAGACCAAAACATGAAACCAGGCACCTGAGTCTGTCTTTCAACATGATGTCATACCTGGTTGCTGTGGACAGAGGCGTTGCTACAATGGGAGGAGTCTCCATTGTCCTCTGCCCCACTGCCATTCTCCACTGTGTGTCTTTTACCGCGTTGAAGTCTGACAAAGACACACACTGTTATTTATTTGTCTTTTTTGCATTATGTTTGTGTATACGTGTGAGTGTGTGCGTGTGCTTTTGCCTGGTCATAGCCTGTATCTTCAGCCCCTCCTCTATGCTGTGGGACAACGCCTGCTGGTTATTGTGTTTGCTGATGCGGGCCAACACTCTCTCCTGATGGGCTTCATACTCATCACGACTTGGGTAAATCTTACCTGTTTTGAGACACATATAATAAGATTTTCAGTTTTTTTCTGTTGGTCTTTATAAGTTTAAATACTTAATTTGTGTGGTCACTTACTAATGAGCGCATCAAAGTTTGGGTCAGGACGCAGCGACCTCTTGGAGACCAGCTTCTTACGACAGGTGGGACACTCTTTGTTACTGCATGGAATCATCAGACATAAATCTACATTATCAACAAACTCATCACTTTCAAAGCAAAGATGCAAGAATCTCAAATTAAGGGAAACATCTCAACTGTGGTGCATGTGATTTATTATCCCATTATCAACACCTCTGAACATTTAAATAAAAAAGGTTTTAAGGTTGCCTGGTCAAAGTCCAGACTTAAATCTGATTGAGATGCTGTGGCATGACCTTAAAAACGCCCTTAATGCTCAAACTCCTTCCAGTAAGGCTGATTTACAACTATTCTGACTTGATTGCGATTACTTTTTTTTGCAGTGCCTCCTTTCATTTCAAACCTAATGAAGCTCAGTATTTTCAGGGCTGAGCATCCTCAGCACAAAATACCCTCACCCTTATAAAGTTAGATCTCCAGAAACCTAATGATCAGCACGGGCACAGGAGGGTTCAGCTGGTTCTTCCTTTGCACTAAGACTCACCCAGATCTTAAAGCTGTGATGATACAATCAGCGCAGAAGCGGTGTAGACATTCTTTGGTGGTCATTGTGTTCTTCAACATGTCCAGACAGATGGGACACATGAGTTCACTGTGCAGAGATCGGGGCGACACAGCGATCTCCAGTCCATCTGTGATCGCCTCCTGTACCAGAGGGATTCAAATAAAGATGATGGTTAGTTCAGACAGAGTATTATCAGTGTTTTGATGTTATGTTGGATATCATCAACAATTTAGGAGCACGGGAACAACTATTAACTGTGTGCTGGTAGAAATATGTGCTGCCCTGTCATGTGATGAATACAATGCTGAGTTGTGTCGTTTGAATGGTTACCTGTGGTGTTCTCTGCAGCTCGTACAGACTCAGCTCCCAGGTCTTGCTGAGGGGCTGAACCCCATTGGTCTGAACTGTCTGAGTCATTACTGCAACACTGAAACACACAGAACAGACACGAGACATTTATTGAATTTCAGGATGTTATGGTGATCTGGTGTGTCACATTCTAGACGGGTTTAAAAAGGATCTTTCTATCTGCTTATCGAGCAAACACTTTTCAATTCTTTTCTCGCTTTCATACACTGCCAACAGGTTGTCTGTCATAACCAGTCCATGGCAGTGTATTTCACCTTCAACCTGGATCTGCTGCCAGTTAAATACAGGGGATCAGGATGTCCATGAAAATATTACAAAAGGATATGGAGGACTTAGAGAAGTCATGAACATGAATGTCAACAATCCATCACAACTGAGTTATTGCAGGAAATTTAGCAGCTCAAAAGGCTGAACATGGAACAAGAAAAAAAAAATTGTACACCTGGAAAGCTAAGTGTCTGATCTGGAGCCGTATTCACAAATAAATAAGGATTTAATCTCAGGTGTGGTAATTAAAACACAGAGTTATCTTTAAGATGTGAAAGGACCCAGATCTGAGAGAAGTGACAGTTTCAGACGTTCCAGCAGAGCGAGATGAGATGAGATAAACCTTAATCCATCCCACAGCATGGAAATTTACAGTGGTAATAGCAGCAAAGGATCAGCATGGTAAACAAAATATAATAAGTAAAAGTACACTCATCATAGGCAAAGGGAATATTGAAGTGACTGTGATCACAAATAGAAATTTGAACAGGTTTATGCTAATAAGGAAAGGCCAGTAAATGGTTCTTAATGGGATAGCTTATACATAAACTACATTCATGTCAATTTCAATAGCTATTTTGATTTCCCATAATCATGACAACTAAACAATTATAATAACAATAATACTAGGCATCTGGATTGTACTAAGTGGTGAAAAGAGCCCCCAGAAAGAGCCACTTGAACTTGTGTTGACAGTGAGGAGGTGTGTCCAAGGCAAGACTGGCCATCTGATATACAGAGCAGTGTCATTCTAGGCTGACCCGCGTAGGATCCTATGGGCTGCTAAGAAACAGATTTATTCTTAAGAAATAAACCTACCTATTTGAAAGAGTTTGTGACTGACTTGTGCTGTTTTATATCAACAAAGGATGAGCCACATCATGTCTCAAAAAGGGCCAGTTCCAGCCCTCCCTCTCTCGCTAGTGTCTGGCTACAGAAAACATCATCACTAAGAGCCTAAATCAGCACAACAGGGTTTGAGAACGCAAAGAGATTGCAGATACCAAAAACTGTGTACATTAGGGACATCTAAATCTTCTACATGTTGTGCGACAGTAATACAAACCTTTATGCTGCTACAGGTGGAGAGGGGGAAGCTGGTGTGTGTATTAGTTAAGCAGAGGAAAAGAGAGAGCAAAAGGAGAGAGACTGCAACAATAACAACAAAGAAACACAAGCATTAATGAGTTAAAGATGACCAGGCTCAACAATGAGTACACTTGTCTCTATCTTCATACTATATGCATTCAGGACTTAACATTCCAGATTCCAATGTGTCAAAAAATCCATGACAATGAATGCATGCTATGCTATTGTTGTCTAATAAATGAGTCATGTTCAATGACCATGATCAGAATATTTGCTAAAATCGAGCAACCTTACTGCATCATCATTACTAGTTGACATGACCACCACCATACAAGCTTGTGTGTGAAATATGAGGGTTCAGCTGAAGCTAACCAGCTACCACAGGTTAGCTAATACCAAAGGCTAAGTAAGCTTCAGACTTATATATAGGGAAACTACACAAACCAAATAAGCCCATGCTACTCTTATTTTCATTTTACTTGTTCGATTAACGTTATAAAATTGTTTTAATGTTGAAACAGAGATGGGGTCGTGAGGGTGATCAGTCCCCTTGAAGAGGGAAAAACAACAACAGAGAAAGAGCCTGGAGCCTCCGGAGCTAAGCTAACGTGTGTTATACCTTTATTACGCATTAACTGAATATCTCATTACCATGGAAGATAGCGGTCACTGTATGCAAACATGGACGATGACTCTAATGATGCCTAGTGTGTATATAATGAAACAGTTTCTGATATGTACTTACATTTTTAGTAGTGAGAGCGAGCCGATCCAGCCAGCGCGTTTTAGCGAAGGCAATATGGCGTCTATAAAAGAAGCGATGCAAACTGGGAAGTTGAGGCGCTACGATTCGTATGGCGACCGTTTGACAGCACAGGCAGTGAAACAAACGTGGGGATATCATTTTACTGCCGTATTGACAGATTTTGTCAATTATATTCTTGGTAACATCGTTTGTATTCTGATTTATTGTCTGATTCAAAGATATCAGCCTGCTGTTTTTATGGAATCTTACGAACAATCTTTAGAACAAAAACCTTATCGCAGTAGTAATCTGTTCATTATACTGGATTAGTCTGCCATTTCTCCAAGTAAATTTTGCAATAGAAAATTACTCTTTGTAAGTAGATCACAACAATATACACATATCTAAAATGAAATCAAATAAACCCAGCACTCCTCGGGACTTGTGACATTTTTGATTGTTTATTTATTGCACTCTAAAATGCTTGACTTTTTTTATCTGCATGTTTTTGTTAGTATTATTTTGTCTCTTTCGACTTGTTTTTTTTCTTTAACTCTCTCTTTTTCATTCGTAAATGTATTGCTGTATTATCTCCAGAGATTGCATCAGAGATCATAAATTGAAAAAACGTATAGACAATACAGCTTTGCTTTGATCTCCATACTTTATATTATTTAAAAGACTAAGCTTTCAGTCAGCTTGCTCAGGGTATGCTTTTCTTTCTCAAGTGTTCAGATATATTAATCAAAATATATTGATTATATTAAGGGACATGTCATTGACTTGGATAATGCTGGAGATCCACTGTATTGTTGTAGTTTTGCAGTATTACCACTAGAAGATGCAACTTCTCCAAAAATGAATAAATAACTTTCAAAGTGATTTGCAGGTCAAAGCTTTTCCAAGTGAAAATAAAGTTTAGAGTAATTCAAGACTTTGACAGACACATTCACATATGTGAGGTCTTCATTTGTTTTTCAAGGGCTTCATGAGTTTTCAGGATCAGAGCATGTGTGACTCTGTGCACTGAGTTTATATTGAAGTATTAAACAACTAATAGTTTATTACTACTAGGTGGTTATTATTATTATTGTTATTATTATTATTAATACTAGTAGTAGTAATAATAATAATAATAATAATAATCAGAGAAAACTAATAAGTAAACAAGTCACGTAAATATTAAATTTTTAAAGAGTCCCTTTCAAATGATGTACTTGAACAGAGAGGCTGCTGCTAGTCAGGTCTCTGTATTATCTATAATTTTAGTAATTTTTGCTAGAGCTTTTTCAGATTTTTGTTGTCTTTTTGTTGGCTGCTGATGGATACTTCTGTTGGGCGAAGAGGTTACTCAAGAGAAGAGCTCCTTTCATTGAGGAAAAGCGTATCTGGACAACAACATACTATTCCAGAGGACATCAGGGGGTGTTATTGTGGTTGCCGTGCTAGTGCAAAGGTGAAGGCAAAGCTGAATGCTAGGAGGTGGCTATATAAACTCTTTCTTCCATCAGTCATTATGGGAAACATCAACTCTCTGCCCAACAAAAGTGATGACCTGAGATATTGGTGACGACTGAGAAAGCATACCGTGAGTGCAGTTTCCTGTGTTTTACTGAAACCTGGTTGAATCAAAACAACTCTGACTCCAGTGTGGATCTACCTGGCTTCACTCCTATAAGGTCAGACAGAGATGCTCAAGCTAGTGGCAAGAAGAAAGGAGGAGGTCTGGCTTTATTTGTCAACCAGAGATGGTGTAACCCTTCACACATAACTGTCAAGGAGAAGTTGTGTTGTCCAGATATTGAACTGTTGGCAGTTGCTCTTCGGCCATATTATGTTCCAAGAGAATTCAGTCATATCATAGCAATAGTTGTTTAAATCCCACCAAAATCAACTGATGAAATTCCGTGCAATGTTTTGCATAATAGTGTTTTCAGGCTACAGACTCAACACCCGGAGGCACTAATAATAATAGAATAGAATTTTCCTTTATTGATCCCCCATGGGGGAAATTTTTTTTCTCACAGCAGCATCACAGACAAAGTGCAGAAATGCAGTTATAAAACTAAAGATTGTATATTAAGACCTTAAATAAATGTTCTAATTAAGAAAAACATTTGAAAAGGAAAAAGGGAGAAGAAAAATAAAACTATATACAATGTATACAATTTAAGTACCAGAAAAAAAGTGGTGGTGTGGGTCCAGTTTTACTGCAGTTCGTTGTAAAGTCTTGTTGCAGAAGGGAGGAATAACCTGCGGTAGCGCTCCGTCTTGCAAGGTGGGAGTCTAAGTCTGCTGCTGAAGGAGCTGCTTCAGGCCCCCGCAGTCTGGTGCAGTGGGTGAGAGGGGTTGTCCATGATGGATACAATATCAGGAGACTTCAACCATGTCATCCTCTCCTCTCACCTGACTGGATTCACACAGTTTGTGAACTGTCCTACCAGAAAAAACAAAACCCTGAATCTGCTGTATGCCAACGTCAAAGTAGCCTACAGAGCCACTGCCTTACCACCACTGGGCAAGTCAGATCATAACTTGGTCTATCTGCAAACCTGTTATAGACCTTTTATACTTAGGCAGTCTGTAACCAAAGTTAAAATTTAGAAGATGGACACCTCAAACCAGTAAAGCTCTAAGGGACTGTTTTAAATCAGCAGACTGGAATGTGCTGCTGGAAACAGATGTGGATAGTATGAACATTGATAAACAGGTTGACGACTTTACTGAATCCATCAACTTCTGTAGAGACACCATTATACCCACAAAGACTGTTCTCTGTTTCCCCGACAACAAACCCTGAATAACAAGTGACATAAAAGCAATCCTTAACCAGAAAAAGAAAGCTTTTAAAGATGGTGACAAAGAGCGAGATCCGATTTCTTCTGCGGATCTAAACGATTTCTGCCGACTTTGCAAAGTCAACTGCAGAATTAATTGTGTTCTGAATGAACGGGGCTTTGAAAAGTCCCGCAGCATGTGTTAGACGTCACCATCTACACATGGACCAATCAGGGACTGCCTGTCCCTGTTGTCAGGGGAACAGTGGAAACACAGTCACTGATTGGCCCGGTTATTTTCTGATCGCTAATACATGCTCCCAATGGGTCGAAGTCCAGACTGTTGTGGGAAGGAACGGCAAGTGATTCACGCAACAGGATGGCTCAGCCAGGCTACTCCCCTTCCTCCTCCATCTCATTCAAATGTCTCAACCACTTTAACTACGTCCCTCCTAGAACAGAAGATCTTGTCTGTCACTGAAACAGGGGTGAGGTTGGAGCTTAGAAGACTTTGCCCTGGGAAGGCAGCTGGTCCAGATGGCGTGTGTCCAAGGCTGCTTAGAGACTGTACTGCAGAGTTGTGTCAACCTCTCCATAGGATCGTCAACCTGAGTCTACAGCTGGGGTGGGAACCAGGGGCCTGTTCTACGAAGCAAGTTCAACCTAGCGAGGTAGCCTTGGAGCTTCCTCGCTCAACTTAGCGCGGTAGCCAGCGGTCTCGCTACATGGTTTTACGACGCTGGTTATCAACCTCGTAAGTTGATCCAGCTTTGCAATGAGCGCGTGCACGCATGTAAGGCGGAGCCCGCCGCATCTGACCAATCGCGAACATGGACCAGTCTGGAGCGTCAGAGCAGGCAGGAGAGCGAAGGACTGCAGACTACAAACGAGGAGCAGGAGACGATCATGAGAAAGTATGAAGAATTAAAATCTATCATAAACCTCAAAAGCAACTCCGTCGCCGCTACAAAAGCACGGAAGGAATGCTGGCAGAAAATTAATCTTTGATGCCATTATCACCCTGAAATAGCACTGTTCAACATGCGCTTTTGACTAAGGTGACATCCCCGATTTCTGGGTCCCCGAATTGGATGATCTGTCCCCGAAAATGTCCCTGATTTAAGCGTTTCATGAATGAGAACAAAAATGTTGTATGTGGGCTAGAACAACGGTTATTACAGTGGGTAGGAAGCACAAGTTAGCAGTCCTGAACAACAGTATTTACGGGGGTTATTACAAGGGGCGTGCGCTGCTACTAAATAGTACAGAGATGTTGTCTGTGATCACACAGCCCATTCATTTCCAAGATGAATTCATTCGTTTGTTCATTCCTATCGTGTTTACATGTTTTGTGTGATATGTAGGCCATATGAGCCCTTCATAAAGGTGGTCATCTGGAGAAGTAAGTGAGTCCGTGCGGTCCCTGAAAACTCTTGCGAGCCGGAGTGCTCCTCAGACAATGCGAGCACCGAGGTCTATAGGATCCTCCAAGAACGGACAAGCCATTTTTCGAGAGAGCTCATTGGTCAGTGGGCGAGGTTTTTACACTCGGTGAGTTCAATCTGGAACTTAACCTGCCCCGGAGAAGGTTAGCCGTTCAGCGTATGTTGCCATGGAGACTCGCCTCACTAAGAGGTGAACCCGCGTCGTAGAACAGGAAACCCAGAACTTACCCTTGAAGTTACCTCGCTAAGCAGTAATCCTGCTTCGTAGAACAGGCCCCAGCTCTGTGGAAAACATCCTGCATTGTGCCAGTACCAAAAACCAAATGTCCTGCTGAACTCAATGACTACAGACCAGTGGCCCCCACTTCACACATCATGAAAACCCTGAAGCAGCTGATTCTACGCCTTCTGAGGTCTGAGGTCAAAGACAAACTAGACTCCCTGCAGTTTGCATACAAAGAACACATTGGAGTGGATGATGCTGTCCTCTACATGCTTCACCGTGCCCTGTCTCATCTGGAGGAACCTAGGGTTTATATAAGGATCATGTTCTTCGACTTTCCAAGTGTATTCAACACCATCCAACCCACCATACTCAAAGACAAGCTCACAGAGATGGGAGTGGATCCTTCCTGTGTTTCCTGGATCACAGATTACCTGATAGGAAGGCCACAGTTTGTCAGGCTAGGGAACTGTGTTTCTGGGATATTAATGTGCAGTACAGGGGCTCCACAAAGGACAGTGCTGGCGCCATTTCTGTTCACACCGTATACGTCAGACTTCAAATACAGCACAGAGTCCTGACACATCCAGAAATACTCAGATGACACCGCTATCATGGCACGTATCAGAAATGAACATGAAGGTCAGAGATCTGATAAGAGCCGTCAGTGGCTGGAGTCACAAAAACTGCCTCCTCCTTAACACCTCAAAGACAAAGGAGATGATCTTAGACTTCTGCAGATCCAAACCCCCCTCTTCAGCCAGTGAACACCTGTGGAGTGGACATCGAAGTGGTGACATCATATAAATACCTAGGTGTACATCTGGATAATAAGTTGGGCTGGTCAAAGAATATAGACTTCATCTACAGAAAGGGACAGAGCCGCCTATTTTGCCTGAGAAGACGCTGATCAATAGACATCTGTGGTAAGATGCTGCACATGTTTTATCAGTCTGTGGTGTAGATCTACAGTGTTCTGTTCTATGCTGCAGTCTGCTGGGGAGGAAGCATCAAACACAAAGATGCAAAACGTCTGAACAAACTGGTGAAAAAGGCTGGCTCTGTGGTTGGACTCAAGCTGGACTCAGTGGAGGATGTGGTGGAGAGATCTACACTGAGAAAGGTGGAGACAAGGCTAAAGAACATGGATAACCCACTTCACAACACCTTCATGGACCAAAGGGCCGATGGTGGTGGACTGTGCCTCTCTCTTCGCTGCAGGACAGAAAGATTCATCTTTTGTACCCACAGCCATCAGACTTTACAACTCTTCTGTAAATAGTAGATGACTTTTAGATACATGACAAGTGAGACGACAGACAATTGAATTTCCCTTCGGGGATCAATATAGTTCTTCTTATCTTATCTTATCTTTTATTTCACCATCAACTTCCTATTCCTCTCTGTCAGGTGGCTAAGGAGTGGGACCCTGAGCACAGTCACCCCCAGCCCTGGGGAGGGGGCTGGCCATAGGGGACACTACACAATTTCTTGGAAAGAGATCATTGTTTGTTTGTTTCTTTTTTTCCTTTTGTTTCTTTGCTTAGTTTCTTTTTTCCCCTCTCAAGGGTTGAGGTTTGCACGGTTGACAGAGAGGAGTAAGTGACGGTGATAAGTTGATAAGTATGGTGGACTGAGGATTTTTGCCATGCAGTTTATGAAGTAGTCAGAGATTTTTAAATATGCTACCATTGTTTTGATTGTTTCCTGTCATGATGAATATATTCATCATGACATCATGACTTTTTACAGAAACCATATATGGTTTCTGTAAAAAGAGCAGTATGTTGTTGCAAATAAACTGACTTTATGATGGTTGTTTGGTGTTTTGATTCCATGGATGTTGGTGTTCTGACGAATGGCTGCCGCTAAAGGTTCTATGATGATACTGAAAAGTGAGGGGGAATGGTTGTAATCTTAGTCAATTTGTGATAACTGCGGCTGAAGGAGCAGTGCAAAGAATTTTAATTCAATAATTAATGATTCCCCAAAGCCAAACTTTTGCATTGTGGAGATTGGAAATGACCACTTAACTTTATGAATTTTGTCCTTTTCTTAAGGATTTTATTTAATCAAAATTTGTATTTTCTAAGTTCACTATAGGATTCTTCTGTTGGATTGTTAGCGTTGATGTCCTCTAAACGTTTGATTTTTTGTTCCAGTTCAGTTTCTTGTTGCTGTTCTCTCTTTTTTTGTGGACAAAGTATCAAATTAATATGCCTCTTAAAATTGCCTTACCTTTTTCCCATAAAATAGACAGAGACAGGGTTGGACTGGGACAAAAATTTGGACCTAGAATTATTGGCCCAGATCGGGCCACATAAAGCCATGTACAAATATTATGCCAACTCACCCCACTGATGCACACACAAGCCCTAATAACACCACTGTACAGAGCAGTATCCATTTATAATCTGGAGCTGTTTAAATAAATGATAAATATGCAGCGTGTCGCTTACTCGCCCAAAAGAAGGATACTGAAATAAGGATTTAGGCTTCAAGACTGTTTATTTATCACTTTCTCTTCAGGTCTAATCATATCTTCTAATCTTGTTTTATTTTATGTTCTTATTTTAGAGCAGACAGTAAAGATCAACATAATGTATAGACAATACAGCTGCCTAATATATGCTGATATTTTGTTGTCACATGGAAACGGTTGAAAGGACAATAAACTGTAAATGCTTACTGAAAAGTATGAAAAATGACATATTAAGTTGATAGATCAATGTCTTTCATGGACAAACTACAAAACCCAATTCCATTGAAGTTGGGAAATTGTGATAAACGTTAATAAAAACACAATACAATGATTTGCAGATACTTTTCAACCTGCACTACAGGCCAAACAGTTGGAAGCAAGGCCATTACAGGCAGTACAGTTGGGAGTAACTTCAAGTTTTTGTTCACAATGCTTTTTTTGAAAATCCAGCATGAGTTTTATGTATTTTTGGATGTATTTACTCCATGATCAGATGTTGCTTTCATGGAAATGCACCATTTTACTCCATTTACCTTTAGATATACATTGATGTTAACAGACCATTGCTAAATATATGTCAGCAAAAGATAATAAGGGCTTCGTTTTAGGGTTGAAAACATTTGCAAGAGTCACAACTTCAGTGAAAAAGCAAAAAAACAAATCACAGTTGGATTATTCACTTCAACCTTTTGGCTTTTGAGAGCCTGCATACAAAAATCCTAATAAATCTCAACTGCATTCAAACTACCACAGAAATGGCTAGAAAGAATCAACTGAGTAAAGAAACAAAAGTACAGATTTGTACATTAAGGAAAGAAGGATACACAGAAAGAGAAATTGCAAAATGCCTAAAGGTGTTTAACAAAGGAGTCCACTACACTCTGAAGAGACTAGAGGAACCTGGAAGTTATGGTGATACAAAAGCAGAGAATAAACATAGCATTGTCACCAGTAAGTGAGATCGGCAAAAGACAGCACCACGAATAAGGGAGGAAATCAACATGACAAGGTCGAAACCCATATCTCTGACAACCATGAAATGACGTTTGAGAAAGGCTGGTCTGAAGGGTTGTGTTTCTACAAAAAACACTACTTTGTCCACAGAACAAGAAAAGAGATATGAGTGGGCAAAAGCTCACAAAAATTGGACTTATGATGACTTGAAACAAGTTTGCACTGGTTCAAAACGCAGAGTCTATGTCCGCTGACAAACTGGCGAACGACTGAAAGCACCATCTGTTACACCCACAATTTAGCATTGAGGTGGTAGTTCCATGGTATGGGGATGTTTTGCAGGTGATGAAGTAGGCGATTTGTTTGAAGTAAACGTTATCATGAAGAAGGAACAGTACCACTCCATCCTCCAGCACCATGCTGTTCCATCTGGACTCAGACTTGTGACTCATAAGTTTGTTTTGCAGCAAGACAATGACCCAAAGCACTCTGCCAAGCTCTGTCAGGGTTACCTTGACAAAAAAGAAGAGGAAGGTGTTCAAAAGGTGGTTTGGCCCCCTCAGACTCCAGACCTTTCTCCAATTGAGCTTGTGCGGGATGAATTGGATCGAAAAACGCGTCCCACGAATCAGCAGTATCTTTTTAATGAACTTAAGAAAGCTTGGAATGCAATCCCTGAAACATACCTTAAAAAACTTGTGTAACGAATGCCTGGTATTTTCCAAGCTGTTGTTAAAGCCAGAGGAGGTTACTCTAAAGAAAGCAAAGTCTAAGCAACAATAACTCAAACACCCAATAATTATAGTCAAAATGTCTTCTGATAAGTTACTCTTTACACAATAGTTATGTTGCAAATTATATAAATGCAACTATGATCTTTTTTTGTACAAATCTGATCTTGCGTCCAAACTTTTGGCCTGTAGTGTATATTCAATTGAATACACTACAAAGATGACATTTAACGTTCAAACTCATAAACTTTTTTTTTTTTTTTTGTAAATAATCATTAACTCAGTTTCATTGCTGCAACACATGCCAAAGTACTTGGGACAGGGGCATGTTTACAACTGTGTTACATCACCTTTCCTTTCAACAACACTCAATAAACGTTTAGGAACTGAGGAGACTAATTGTTGAAGCTTTGAAGGTGGAATTCTTTCCCATTTCTGCTTGATGTACAGCTTCAGTTGTTCAGCAGTCTAGGGTCTACGTTGTTTTATTTTACGCCTCATAATGTGCCACACATTTTCAATGGGAGACAGGTTTGGACTGCAGGCAGGCCAGTCAAGTACCCGCACTCTTTTACTACGAAGCCACGCTGTTGCAACACATGCAGAATGTGACTTGGCATTGTCTTGCTGAAATATGTTGCTCCAAAACCTGTATGTACCTTTCAGCATTAATGTTGCCTTCACAGATGTGTAAGTTACTCATGCCTTGGGCACTAATGCACCCCCATACCATCACAGATGCTGGCTTTTGAACTTTGCATTGATAACAGTTTGGATGGTTCTTTTTTCTCTTTGGCTCGGAGGACCCGACGTCCACTATTTCCAAAAACAATTTGAAATGTGGACTCGTCAGACCACAGAACACTTTTCCTTTTTGCATCAGTCCATCTTAGATGAGCTCAGGCCCAGAGAAGCTGGCGGCAATTCTGGGTGTTGTTGATAAATGGCTTTCGCTTTGCATAGTAGAGTTTTAACTTGCACTTACAGATGTAGTGACCAACCGTATTTACTGACAGTGGTTTTCTGAAGTGTTCCTGAGCCCATGTGGTGATATCCTTCATATCTCCAGATTCTCTGAATCTTTTGATGATATTATGGACTGTAGATGTTGAAATCCCTAAATTCCTTAAAATTGTACTATGAGAAACGTTTTTCTTAAACTGTTGGACTACTTGCTCACGCAGTTGTTCACAAAGTGGGGAACCTCACCCCATCCTTGCTTGTGAATGACTGAGAATTTTGGGGGAAGCTGCTTTTATATCCAATCATGGCACCCACCTGTTCCCAATTAGCCTGCTCACCTGTGGGATGTTCCAAGCAGGTGTTTGATGAGAATTACTCAAATTTCTCAGTATTTCTTGCCACCTTTCCCAACTTCTTTGTCACGTGTTGCTGCCATCAAATTCTAAAGTTAATGATTATTTGCAAAAAGACAATAAAGTTAATCAGTTTAAACATTAAATATATTGTCTTTGTAATGTATTCAATTAAATATGGGTTGAAAGGGATTTGCAAATCATTGTATTCCATTTTTATTTATGATTTACACATCTTCCCAACTTCATTGGAATTGGGTTTTGTAGACTCCGAGCTGTAAAAAAAGGTGCATGTTGTCACGCTTTAACTCTGGTGACATGATTGGGGGATGTCATTATAGGTAAAATAGAAATGGTCAAAAACAGTGAAGACAGCAGATCTACATGCTCAAAACACATTACATTGCAATATGTGCCACCCTTTGATGAAAGTATTAAACGAGGGCTTCAGTGGTTTATAAAAGCAACTAATCAGTTAGTCAGTACAGTATGGTTATTACTACCGATATGTCAAAGCTCCACTACCGTTATGTGCCTCCAGCTGTGCAACATGCACTGAGCATCCAAAGCGTAGGTAGTTGTGCGGTAAAACAATGTCGCAAAAAAGGACATATTCTTCAGGAACAGAGAAAAGAAAGATGAAGCAGAGAAAAACGCCAAGATAAAGGTTTGTTTGCATGTCGTGGAATGTTTATCAAAGAGATTTTTGAAGGTGTGTGAATGATCAACAATCAATATTATAGGCAGAAATGGAGGGCCCCAAAATCAAATTTTGCTTACGGTCCCATTGAGGCTTGGGCCGGCTCTGGGCAGACCCTGCGTAGTATTGGTGCTGCTGGCCGCCGGGCATGCAGCAAACATTAGTAAAAAATAAATAAATAGGCCGCCCATCGGTACATTTATTGATCGGCTCACCGGGAAAATTCCCGGTACTCCCGATGGCCAGTCCACCCCAGGATACAACGTTGAAACACCGCATAGCAGTGTGTGGGAGAGAGCTGAGTAGAACCAGACCCAGACGACAAGCATGAGCTGAATGTCGATTTCTCGATGGACCACGATTCTCAAAACCCCAGCAGCTACAATGGACATGTTTGCAGCTGCCGTGGAGGGCAGCGCCAAAAAAAATGTCTGGGTGCCCAGGAAGGAGATACAGGACTGGGAGGCCAGCGAGAGTTTGGGCGACAGTGGTTTGTTGGCTCCGACGCAGGCGTGAGAGCGCGAGCGGGAGCAGGAGGCGTAGCCACATCAGAAGGGGGTCGGAGTGGGAGGAGGAAGGAGGCAGAAGGAGGGAGGGAAGGAGAGCGGGGAGCGGAGGTAAAGGGAAGTGTTGTCGCTCCGTGACATGAATGAACCATGTTCGGTAACGGAGGCTTACCTCTCCCGGTCTGTTCCTTCCTCCTGCTGCTCCTCCCGGTCCTCCCGCTCAGCAACAACTGGTCTGCTAAGGTAAATAACTTACTCGCCGTTTTGTCACCTCTTCACGTTGTTTGTCCGTTTTAAACTGGTGAAAAAGTCGCGGAGGGGTACTGGGGAGTTTGTCTGTCACTGTGTTATCGCACAAGACACTCTCTACTCTACCTTGAATGAACGTACAAAGTTGTAGTTTGGTAAAGTTAAGCGACAATTAACCCCATGGAGACAGTGTCTGAATACAATGTCAGTCCCTGGAGAAGCAGAGCCATTTCACCCTGTGTAACCAACAGGGTATGTGAGAAAAGCTCCCAGTTACCAAAGCGAGACTGTCCCTGTTTCCCCTGAGAAAAGGCTGATACTCCGTTACATCAACGGGATGCGCCAAAGTTGCGACAAGACCATCATTAACAACTTCTATATACGGTCGTAATTATTCAGAGGTGAAATGACACGAGTGGAAGAAATTATTGTAGTGACATTGAAAATGTGGGTTCCTCCAGTACTAAAATAAAACCACTAAATAAATGGACTATTACTCGTCTTAAACTGAAAGTTTCACATAAATGATCTGTAGAAGAGTTTAATGTGTTTGAATTCTGCCCCTGCTATCAAAGATCATTAAAAATCCTCAGTTACTCAGCTTAACTTGGTTTGAAGGGGGAAACCTCTTACAACCTCAGTTTCATAGGATTTGGAGCACAGTGTTAAGTTTTATTTAAAAAAAAAACTGAATTCAGTGGTGATTAAATCATCGTAAGCATGTATTGAAATGAAAAAAGTGCTAAAACAGCATATTAAATGTTGAAACTGAAAACCTTGTCTCATGAAAGGTATATTCTCATTTTAGATTCAATGTCCACACCATGTTTTTAAAAAAAGTTGGTACAGAGACAGAAAAACACTGAAAAAGTTGTATAATGTTACCTGGAGAAATATTTCATAACTAATTAGGTGAATTTGCAACAGGTCAGTGAAAAGGTTCACCACTTGGTCACTGAATTCATTTGCATATATCTCGGCTCTGATGAAAAAAAAACTTGAGTTTAACACTTTTTACATTTTGAAGTAGTTTTGCTCCATCCAGCTTCAGATGAGCACATTCTCATCTGCCCTTACACAAAGGAATTATGACAAATAAACGATTGGTTCTCACTGTGCTGGTAACAACACTTATTTGATGAACCAAAATTAATATAAATATACATTTTGTGTTCAAGACAGACAGATATCAGCCTTTTTTGTCAAGACAAATAGTTGCTGCATGGTTGGTCCCCACTGTTCTCCTTTACAGTAAAGCATTCAAACCCTAAATCCAGCTTCATAAGGGGAAAAAGCTACTTACTGTTCTTGCTAAGATTCATTCTTGAATTTTCCAGAACAGCAGTGGGTTGCACTGGGTTGGTTAAATGTAGCCTAATTTGGATGTAATTTCTTACTCAGGACAGATTCCAGACCCTCCTTCTTATTTGTTGGGGTTTGCACTAGCAGGGATCGTTCTATTGCAAGCATAAGTTCGCACAAAACTCTCATTGCCAGCTCTGAGTAGGTGTGAAGTCATCTGTGTAATACTGTTGTCCCAGTGGATAGTTTTGTGAAATGGGGGGTGGGGGGCAGCAGGCACTGGGTTTAACTTGCTTTGCCATACTCTAACATTGCAGTTTGTTTATTACGTTCACAGCAGTTATTTTCAGCTGTTTGTCTGGATAGCGCTTATCAAAGTCAGCTCTGAAACAAGTTGCTTTGAGAGATGAGTTTTTACTGATTGGTAAAAATTAGAGAAAAAGCCATTTCAATATTTTGGTTAGTTTAGATGTTATACTCTACAAGTCAATATGAACCTTATGCCTGCAAAGTGTAACCAGACAATGATGCAACTCAAGCCACGAACTAACTAGTATTAACTCGTTATTTAGTCTGGACTTTGCACCAATAACCAAAAACACAACTTATAAAAGTTGCAGCATCCAATCCAACTGTATTTGTTGAGCACTTAAAAACATCCACAGAGGACCAAAGTGCTGTACAGGGTAATGAATAAAATTATCAGAAATAAAGACACAACATCTTGCATAAAACATAAAATTACATGTAAAAACAGATAAAATAATCTACAAGGCATGTAACATGGGCAAAATAATAGCCGTGCAATTAAAGAAACAATAAAATAAGATAAAAATCAAAACAAATCGAGCCATAACTTTTTTTTCTTTTTTTTTCCCTTCTGCAATATGTATTATCATATTAAAACTTACAAGAATTAATACAGCAGAAATATTGTGTATTAGATACAACCATTTAAAAATTAGGTAACACAATTATACTAGCTAGATATCATGTGGATCTTTTTGGAATACTGGTCCATATGTGGTATCTGTGGTGGTAGAAACATCACAACTCTTTACATCCTATAGCTATTTGAAACACAGATCGAGACACTGACTGCACGATGGTCTGATCTCTATGCGACTAAGTAAGGACGCATTTAAGAGATTTCAGATAGTTGTTTATCGTGTATTAATCCTGGACAATGATTTTGTGCATGTTGAAATGTTATCACGTTCAACCTTACACCTTTAACAGAACTCCTTTGGCAGGCGACAGAGTACTGAATGAGTTTTACTGTAGTTTACTGTCATGTACAGTTGAGATACACTGATTGGGTTGGCCAATTTATTGAGTCGATGAAAGGCATTTTTTAGTAATCAGCATCATTTTATCTTTTGACTAGGCCAATACCACATTATGTTTTCTGAATTCATCAACAATCCATTTAACAAATGACACTGTTTAAGGTAGCTATGAATGTTGATTTAAATGTACATAAAACAATATACGTGTGTATATATATGTGTGTGTGTGTGTGTGTGACTTAAAAAAATCTTAATTGCAGTATTTTCCTTGGATTTTTATTGCTTTAAAAAAAAAAAATTAAGATGCCTGGACAAACATCCAAAGTTTCTTTGTAGTCTATTTTACTCAACAAAATATTCTTCCACCTATAATCATTTGATAAAATGTTCACTTATGTTCAGCAAATTTGTTTCTTATTTGTTCGTTTTATTTAATTTTTTGATTTTGTCAGATGCAGAAAACAGAACAAAAACAGCATGATATGGGGATTGTATATTGGCCATCTGCTGCATCTTTGCTTACCCTCCAGAAGTTAGTATTTAACTTTTCTCAGGGACAGGGGGTTCATCTTGACGTGTCAAAATCAAAAAATGATTCAAGGATGGAGTATGAATGAAGTGAATTCACTCTCTCGGGTTGCAGGGTGGTCACCATTCCTGCCTGGATGTTGTGACTGACCATTTGGTTCCACTGTTCCATAAAGGCTAAATAACCAGCAAATAGACTGACCTGCTGACTGACCAAAAGGTTCACTGAGCTTGACTGAGGGACCTAATGGCAAAAGCATTCAAAAGGCTGCAGAATCTATATCTGCTTTGAACTAAACATTACACCTCACAGACAGCTGGTTAAATCTATCTAGTATTATTTCATCCATCTACTCTGCCAACTAAAAAAACTGTAAAGTGCCCTTAATAATCATCTTAGCCTTTTGGATGTGAAGTGGATTACACATAAAACTGATGGCAGCAGTAGAAGGAAAGTTGTGTGGAGCACACAACAACTGGCAAGACATCTGAAACCCAGTTTTTTTGGCAAAGACCATTAAAGACATTATTATCCAACCAGACTAAAGCACTCCACACATTATTACACACAAACATCAGGATGCATCAGGACGCCACGATGATGTAATGCTGTCTGTGCCTGTCTGTGCAGAGTCTTAAATTGTAATTTATAAATGTGAGATGAAGAACACATGCATTGCATCAGTTAACACTGAATTCTAAATATTGAGATACCCCCCATTTTTATTTTATTTTATTTTATTTTTTTGCCTGTTAGGGACAGAGACACTTATACATGCATAATCACAGTAAATCATAAGTTTGACTGCAAATGAGTTTAAAGACAGACAAGCACATATAATTAGTTGCTTTTGGTTCAGCTCCAGGTGGTTTTGACTGCACCAGAGGACCTGGTGATCCATCTCACTGTCGAGGATGAGACCAATGACTGTGGTGTCGTGCACAAACTTGAGGAGTCTGACAGATGGTCCCCTGAGGTACAGTTGTTGGTGTAACTAGAGAAGAGCAGCAGGGAGAGAGCACGGCCCTGGGGGATGCTGATGGTTCAGGTGCTGGATGCGATGTTCCCCAGCCTCACCTGATGCCTCCTATTAGTCAGGAAGCTGGTGATCCACTGACAGGTGGGGGCGGGCACCATAAGCTAGGCCAGTTTGTGATGGAGGAGTTCAAAAACAGTGAAGATAGTGGTGTTGAAAGGCCAGTTGAAGTCCACAAACAGGATCGGAGCAGAGGTCCCGACGATTTCAAGGTGGTGTGGGATGAAGTGCAGTTCTATGTTTACTGCATCATCCACCAACCTGTTTGCCCAATAGGCAAATAGCAGGGGGTCCAGCAGGGGGCCGGTGATGCTCTTCAGGTGGGTCAACACCAGGTGTCGAAGGTGTTCATGACCACAGACATCAGGGTACGGGCCTGTAGTCATTAAACCCTGTGATGGAGGATTTCTTGGGGACTGGGATGATGATGGAGTGAAGATGTGGGCCAGCTGGTCCGCACAGACTCTCAGGCAGGAGGGGGACACACCATCAGGTCCTGGAGCCTTTCTGACCTTCTGCCTCTGAAAGAGCTGACTCACCTCCTCTTCACCGATCTTTAGGGCTGGTGGGAGGTTGCAGTGGAGGAAGGGAGGGTATGGTAGGAGGTGCAGGTGGGTTTAAACGGGAGTCATTGAGTGGCGTGAATGGGGGGCTGCAATAGACACTGTTCAGGTCCTTGGCCAGTCTATTGTTACCTACAGGGTGGGGGGATGGTCTCCTGTATTTGGTGAAGTCCTCTCCACACGAACGCAGGGTCGTTGGCTGAAAGGCTGTTTTTCAGCTTTTCTGTGAAGCTCCCCTTTGCTACCCTGATCTCTTTTGATAGTGTGTTTCTGGCCTGCTTGTACAAGACCGAGCCCCACCTCTGTAGATCAATTCTTTGGCCTGGCGCAGCTTCAACAGCTTAGGTGTGAACCAGGGTGGTCAGCGTAGCTGCAGCAATAAAAACGCTTCAATCATTGCAGTCAGAGCAGGCCTGGAGCTCCTGCTTTGACTCCTCGCTCAATTTCTTCACAGTCCTCAATACAGGCGTTGGAGTTTTTAATATCTGCCTGGAGGTCAGGATGAGATTGGGATGAGATAGACCAGACAGTGATCAGAGAGTCCCGTAACTGTAGTGGAAATCACTGAATGTGCTCAAAATCAAATCCAAAAACCAGTGTCTGTGAAACTGTTTGTTTCTGCATCCACTTATCCAGGTTAAAACTGTTCCATCTAAAGAAGAAACTATATACAAAAAAACACACCCAGAGACTCTGGCGACATGTCTGACACATTTAAAATGGACTTAAGGAAAGAGGGACACTGTCCTGAGGTCTGACAAATTTAGAAATTTTATGCTCTTTTTGGAAATCATGGATACCATACCTTCTGCTCTAAAAAAAGACCACCTGACTTTATATCAGCTCTCACCTCGAAGCTAACATCTCTGATGGTACAGTATAAGTGTCAGTGTGATGGGTAGCTTACACATCTGTGAAGGCTCCACTAAAGCTAAACAATATATGCAAGTTTTGGAGTAACATCTTCTGGTTTCAATCAAATGTAGGTTTTTAAATGATAACCATATAGATCTGTTTTTATTAACAATCCAAGCAGAGTTCCAGCATTTGAACAAATGGCTTTGTCGTTTATAGCCTAACAAGTGTCATTTCAGAATGTTAAAAATGTACCCTAGCTTAAACATCAAACAAAGTTGAGCTCACTTGAGACAGGGTGCTTAAAAGAGGGAAATATTTAACACGACCTGATATGTAAAAGGGAACCTGGTCAGGCTTTGTAGCACCAACCAAGAAATTAAAGTTGAAAAAGAAATCTGTTGGAGATGTTCATTAGTATATCATGTGCTTCATACTCATGTGTATGTCTGATTGTGTGTGTGTGCCAGGACAGAAGTGTCGGGAGGGTGGAGCAGCAGGATCTCCATCTGCAACCTCTCAGTGCTGGAGGTCAGGACACCAAGCAGACAAGCAATAAGGTAACCAAACACATGTTTACTTTTGTTGTGTTTCTGTTGTGTTATGTTGTCGAGATTTGTGTCTAACTGTCTGTAGTTTGTGAGGCAACACAGCACACACGGCCAAATAAGAATCAGCACTTTTATAATACTTCAGTCTATCTCACGGATGCAGTTTGCTATGTTTCACCTTCCTCAGGTGGAAACAACATGCTTAGTGTGTGTGTGTGTGTGTGTGTGTGTGTGTGTGTGTGTGTGTGTGTGTGTGTGTGGGTGGGTTGTGTGTGTTTTCTGTTAGGAGGAGGTGTTTCAGTGGTGGGGGGAGTGGTCCAGCTGGTCTTCCTGTTCCAAGAGCTGTGGAGGTGGAGTGAGGAGTCAGGAAAGACACTGTCTCATACAGAGGTACTCATATTAACACATATTAACTGTTACATTAACACTGCTTTTCTTCTGCAATGCTGACAAACTGCAGTCACACAATGGTGCAGAAATAACAGCATTATTATTACCGTATTAGTATTATTGTCTTTGGGGTAGGTTCAGCAGTTGTCACTCAGGGCTTACACATGAAATTACTTCTTTTGACTTTTTTTCACCCAGTTTTACATCTATATCAAAAATGCATTCGAAAATCAGCTGACTCACGTTATCACCCACCACTGCTGCCATTTCACTGACTAACAGTTGTTAAGTCAGGAGGGGCCTCTATACGCAGCAAATCACAGTGTGTCTGCACCTGCAGGGCCCCCACAGAGATGGGACTTCCTTACATTACATAAATACTCAATCCCAGAATTGTCTGGATGATTAAGAAAAATATATATTTCAGTGCATTGATGAAGGGAATTTTTTTACTCAGCTTTACTATATTATTTCATGCCCTTTAATGCCCAGAATACAATATATAACAAAAAAAAATCTGGACTTCTAACCCTGGTTTCAGTCCTGACAGTTTTAAGATTGCAGGTCAAGAGTATTTCCTACAGCGTACACCAAACAGACACCAGAGGACCACCAGTCTGTTCAATAATTGTCTTTGTGGTGTTGCATTATTTTTAAAATGAAATAAGAGAGCCAGATTACTTAAACCAGCTTGTTTTTTTTGTTAGTATTTTGCCATGTTGGGTATTTATGGACACAAAACACAAATATACAGCTGTTAAATGTGCACAGCAAAACTCTGTGTGTATGTGTGTGTGTGTGTGTGTGTGTGTGTGTGTGGGGTGTAGAGACACAGCCATGCACAGAGGGATGTCATGTTTGCAGCCATCTTGTTACCTATGACCTCTCTCTGTCAGACCTGCGGAAGTTTCTGTCAACCATGATTAACACCACCCTGCCCTCACATTTGGCCTCTGTCTTTTCCCCTCCTCCCACTTTCCCACTTTTTTCTGCAGCGTCTGGCCCTTTTACTTCTCTTTTAATTTTTTACCTTTTTTTTCTATTCCCCACTTCCTTTCCTCACTCCTCACCCCCTCTTCCTCCCTACCGTGTTCACCTCTCTCCCCTTCCTCCCCTATCCTGCCCTCATCACCTTCTACCAATTAGACATGACACTCTCACATAGTGACCTCCCGCTCACCTCCTCCTGCTGTCTCTCCTTCTTCACCATCTACACAGAGAGGGAGGATGGATAAGAGAAAAGGGGCAAAAATAGACAGGCAGGATGTGTGCGTGCGTGCGTGCGTGCGCGCGTGCGTGTGAGCGGGGGGGGGGGGTGGTGATGAAAGACAGATGCATTAACTCTATGTTGGAGTTCTGCAGTGACAACTCCTTAAAATTACAGAGGGCTCTCACTTAAAATGTGTCATAGAAAAACAAGAACAAATGTAGGTGCATGTAGGGACTACAGCAAACTACAAATTTTAAGGGAAAATTCATTTGTCTGGAACCTCATGAAAAATTTTCTCAGGAAGGACAGTTAAACAAACTCTGTAAATCCAGTTAGGTGACAGGAGAGGGAGACATAGTTGAAGTCTCCTGATGTTATTACAAGTGCCTCAGGATATTGAGTCTGTATCCTAGCAACAGTATCATGGAGAATACATGCATAAAAGTATTGCTATGATAATGCTGAACTCCCTTGGAGCATAACATGTAATATTGCATATGTTACGTTATATTATTGGCTTATCATTTAATAACTCAATTGTAGCTATACAATCATCAACTCATGATGTAATAAATTATTACATTGTTACACTATGTGCAGAGATGTTATTACGTTATGTGCTCATAATTTTATTACATCATAAGCCGATTATTACATTATGAACTTTTATAACATTTCAGTTATAACATTATGAGTTGCTACACTCTGCTGTGGAAATCACTGCATAGGTTCATAGTCACATTCAAAGATCATCAGTGAAAACAGTTTGTTGCCTCATTCACAAATGCAAGTTAAAGTTGGTCCATGCATGGGTGTGCCGATAGCCTAGCGGGTCAGTGCGCCCTACTTATGGGGGCTTGTAAACAACACCATCGAGGAGGAACTGTGCATATATCAAGCCAAGAATGTGAAACCACATTCTGCATGTATTACAACTGCACAATTTTGTAGTAGAAGAGTCCAGGGGCTACACCAGCCTACTTGAAATCCTGACGTCACCTGTTGAAAATATGAAGAGTATCATGAAACAGAGGTTAACAAAGGAGACTTTGATTTGCTGAGCAGCTAAAATCCTTTATCAGGGGATAATTGAATGACATTTGACTTTCCAAACTACAGAAACCGGTCCCTGCAGTTCCCAAATGTAACAAAGTGATGTTAAAGAAGAGGTGTTGCAACACAGTACTAGTAAACATGTCTCCATTCAAACTTTTTAAAAGTGTTTTGTGGCTTTTTGGGAGTGGGTCTTATGTGATTAACCTTTACAGTCTATATTGTATTCAGTTCTATAGGAATCAAATTTGATATCTAATACTTCTATTAAATAACAATGACCATACTTGACAAAAATTTTAACCTTCAATAGTATTGTTTTTTATCATCTCCCTGTGTGTTTAGAAAGTTGATGTTTGTGTCTTCTCAGCATTCTGAAAAGACACATTTTGTGCTGAGAATTTTCTATCACCACCATTTCCTGATGAGTGAGTACAGAGTACTGTTTATGTCAGTGAGGAACTGACGCTGCTTAAGTGTGTGTTTTTTTTTTTCTTCTGCAAACAGCTGTTTGTTGCAGGTGGGGGGAAAGTTTGGCTCACACACAAAACTTAATGTTAAAAGGCAATGAAAAAGCATGTGTATTGGCAGATATTCGTGCAAAGTGAAGAGGAGGATCTCAATTTTAAAAGACAATTAAGGGCTCTCTGAAGTTTAGAAATGTTATGTCTGGCTGACAGAAAGTGGAGTTTAACCCTGGAGGTCAAGTGGCACAATAACATCAGTCTTTCTGTGGCACTTAAGAGGTGTTGGGAATCATGCTGATTGTCTGAGTCGTGTTTAAATACTGCTTGCTCATTGCGGAAGCTGTCTAGCTACTTATTACAGAGACAAACTCACTTTTCATTATGAGAGCTAAATGTCATAGAATCACTGTTTGTGCCTCGGAGAAATAAAAATGGCTGAGATAAGGGAGAAGTGAACACCTCAGGTTATCCAAAACTCTGCAGCCTAGATTTTAATGCAGGCTGCAAAACATAGCCACTAAAAAGGATTCTGGCTCCCCACAATATGATATTATCACGGTACATGGGCCACGATACAATGTACTTGCAATTTTTAACATTTTGCAATACACAGAGTATTGCGATACAATATATTGCGATTTATATATTTTTTTCAACTGTATAGCTAATTTAACAATGTCTTTCCTTTAGGTTTGTCTTATTTGCACAGTATTTTATTTTCATGTAGTACATCTTGCAAACCTTAAATATATTTGTTGTGCCAAATTTCTCCTGCTCTATGATGTCACCTCTGCCAACCTCACTAGATAAACTGTTGATTTAATTTTCCCATTATCATAGATTCGACTTCACATTAACAATCAATTTGAAAAATCAATACTTGGTAAATGAGACGATACGATATATCACCAGACAAAATATTGCGATACTATGCTGTATCGATTTTTTCTCCCACCCCTACTGGCTAGCTGTTGCTTTATGAGTTGCCTGAGCAGCCATACAGGGCGCTGCCATCTTGAGACACTTGTGGTCTATAAGTCTCCTACTTGTTGCTTTTTTAACAAATGTATTAAATTTATAGATTAAGTTCAAAGCACTTAGAGGCCTGACATAAATGTGCCTTTTTTCTGTTTTATTAACATCGATCCATCCATTATCTTTACCACTTTTCCCTTACACGGTCGGAGGGGGGCATTGGGTGAGAGGCAGGGTACACCTTGGACAGCTTGCCAGCCATGTAGGGACGGACAATCATTCATACTCACTGTCCTCTGAACACTTATTAAAAGTTTTTTTTTTTTTTTAATGTTCTGAGTCACAAATTTTAAAAAATGTTGTTTGTATGAGGAAAGTTACAAACTATTTTGTGACTTACACTGCACCTTTTTTCTGCTGCAGGCTGTCCACCACACAAAATGTGAACAGCTCCTTCTGTGTTGGCTCTCCTAAAAAGTACCAGCTTTGTCCAAACCAGGTAGGACTTAGACACTGACATTGTTTATACTGATATTGATAAGAACCAACTTTTTAGAAAAATTAAATATTGATATTGTGGAAAAACATAAGAATAAAGTAACACAATGTAACTAACTGGTTTAAAGTGGTGAGTGGTAGTGGCTTGGAAGTGGTTGCCACCTGCCATTAAACAGAGAAGACAATGAAGAAACATGAGCAACAAAAAGCAAATAAGCCACTTTTTTGAACTTATGATTTGAGATCTATTGTCAGTCCAAAAGCTATTTGGAAGCTAAAACATTAGACATTTATTCTTTTTAATTGTTTACTTAGCTTTTTTTTATCCAGTTACATTACTTACAATCTACAGGGAGTCGTGTATACCTTATTTCATAATAAAGCATATTTTATGACAGAGGAAAGAAATCAACCCAACATTGTTGATGTTTTGTATTCAAAACACAAAACAATAAAAAAAAGTTAGGTTGACTCATTTCTCAGTCCATTTCAATATAAAGGCATATTTTCACAAAAGAGGATGAGACACAACGCCATGTTTTTCCTGTCTAGCAGTGATAACACAAGACAGTCAAAATGCCAAAATAAAGGCATCAGTATCATCATTTTAAGAGGCAGCCTTTAGTCAAAGGAGTTCCATTACAGGGCTAGTGAAATTAATGAAAGCAAACATTTAACATCATTAAAAAATGGATCATGACAAGTATGTAAGAAAGTTCAGTGCAACCATTTGTGAAGTTGATCAAGTGTTGTACTAACCCACCCTTTTCTTCTCTTTCTGTAATTGTCCAATAGTGTTTTTTCTCTCTCATTATATTTTGTTATTTAAAATCTCTCTCACGCCCTCTCTCTCTCTTGCTTTTTCTCTCGCTTTCTCTCTCTCTCACTTTCTCTCTTTCTCTCTCTCTCTCTCTCTCTCTCTCTCTCTATCTGTGTTATTTTCCAGCCCTGTCCCAGCCCTAGTGTGAGTTTTAAACAGCACCAGTGTTCCCAGTTCAACTCCAAAGCCTTTGGTAGACGATACTTCCAGTGGATACCTCTTTACCCGGGTATACCATCAGCCAGCATCTTACTTGTATGTCTGTGTGTCCTTTCAGGTCTGGACACTTTCCATATTAACAGAATGAGACTAAAAAGCAACAGGAGTCTGTGCTCATGGAGAGGGTTGAAGTCAAACCACATACAGAAAGATTCCAACACTGAGCTCACTCATGCAGCTTTGCAATGATAACTTCACTAATTCAATTTAAAGGCATTAGCTCACAGAAATCCTATACTGTGATGTCTATGATGAAAATATGGTTTTCATGTATGTCATTTCCCCTGCAGCTGATTACATCAGCATCTCGAATAAGCCATGTGATCTGCAGTGTACAACAATTGGTGGTGAGCGACAACTGCTGGTCCCCGCTCACGATGGTACCTTCTGCAGAGATACCAAACACCGTGGAGTGTGCATAGAAGGAATCTGTCAGGTAGATCAACGAGATTGTAGAGATTATTCAGTTTCTTGTGCTTTTACTGTGTTGGTAAGATAAACTCACCGGCCAAACAGATGTACCTTTCAGTGTTGTTTTTTCCTGTCCTCCTGCAGCCTGTGGGCTGTGATGGACAGCTGTATAGCAGTAAGACGGTGGACAGATGTGGAGTGTGTGGAGGAAATGGGACTTCATGCAAGCGTGTGTCTGGATCATATAGGAAGGCGCTCACACAGTTAGGTAACACACACACAAACACGCATAGACGTGTTATAAATGATTTACCGTTCTAATTCAGGTCAAGTTTTCTGTTATTGAATTTGGTCCCACCAACACAGTCATACCAAACATGTTGGATCTTTTTTAATCTCTCACTGTGAGAAATGATATTATGTTTCTTACAGAAAGTCTTACCAAAAAAGATTAAATTCTAGTCACCCCAATCTCGTTAGACAGTTTACCCTATTCCCAAAAATTGCATCTTCATGTGGCATCATGGTCAAGCAGGGAAGTTGAACATGTTTCTGCTGAGTCTCAGATCCTTAGTGGAATAAATGTCCACAGTTGGATGAGTTGTGGTCATCTCGCAGGTTGGATTGCTAGACAGAGACAGTCTAGAGTGACATTGTTATTTCTCAAGGATGTTGCCTGGTTCAGGGGGTCCTGGAGGCAGGACCTTGCCTAGAACTAAGTTTCTATCCTAAACACCTTTCTGATCTAGATTCTGTAGAATCCACACTGAGCTAACAAAGCAAAAATGGCATTTTTATAACACAATTTTGTTGGCGTATACTTATACACATAATCTTGAGACAAGCTGGTGTATATAATAGTGTCTTGGGAAACTGCTCTAATGAGAGGCATCTGACATTTTGGTAATACATCAGTCCATATGTAAACTATGAGTATCCGGCAGAGAGTTATCAGCTGAAGGCAGAATGATGGCTGTCTGTGTTGAGAGGTCAGCTTAAGGAAAATCTTCCACACTAGCATTAGTAAAACTTGACCACAAAGGTTCTAGCTTATATCAGTTCATTTGATTTCTGAAAAAAATCAATTTTTGCTTTTTCTTCAATGATGGCTTTAGAAGATTAAAGGGTTTGTCTAATTTTGCTGTGTTTTTTTAAGTAAAATAGACACTGATGCCTTTTTATAAAGTTTGTGTTTTTTTTCATCAGGTTATGTGTTCATCATTAACATCCCAGCTGGAGCTTCAGACATTCAGATCATAGAGAGACACAAGACTGAAAACATTCTGGGTGAGAACCTACATCTTCTTTAAGGTCAATAAACCATCTCAAGAGATCTCTGTAAGAATTTGAGGTGGTCATAGCATCCTTTTTGTGACAAAATATGTTTGGACCTATTTTTAAAATACAAACAGGGTTTCACATGAGCCCTTAGTATGTTTGATAGATAGATAGATAGATAGATAGATAGATAGATAGATAGATAGATAGATAGATAGATAGATAGATAGATAGATAGATAGATAGATAGATAGATAGATAGATAGATAGATAGATAGATAGATAGACTTTTTTTGGTATTCATAAAAACTGTCTGGCATGCTGGCATGGATCATTCTGTGACATGTTTTTCTTCTCCTCTTCAGCCCTCTCAGATGAAGCGGGTCATTTCTTCTTTAATGGACACTCTGTGTTTGATAATCCTCAAAACTTTAGAGTAGCAGGAACAGTTTTTAAATACCGACGTCCCAGCAATGTGTTCTCTGATGGGCTAGAGTATATTATTGCCCAGGGTCCCACGCTTCAGGGCCTGAATGTGATGGTAAACACACACACACACACACACACACACACACACACACACACACACACACACACACACACACACACACACACACACACTCAGCACAGGTGTACTGTATGTGTGATCAAAAAGGAGATCAATGTGTTTATCATGTGAACTTCTCTGTGTATGTGCAGTACTACAATCTGAATGGAAAGCTCCCCCACATCACCTACGAGTTCACTGTTCCATCTTATGACACCACAGCTGCAGAACACATCACCACAGGCCCCGCCCACTCCCATCCTAACCTCACCTTTAACACAGTAAATGAGGACACTACAAGAGATCAACGTAGACTGACCAATCAGAGCAGAGCAAGCATTCATCACTTCAACACCCAACTGAGAGTTGGTGACCGATCAGATGTTTGGCTGCAGGAGAAAGAGAAGGAGGAAGACGAGGACAAAGACTTGGTGTGGGAGATAAGGACCCCAAGTCCTCCCCCACTTGCTGCCGTCTTGGTCCACAGGCCTGCTGATGTCACTAGTCATGTGATTAGCCATAATGATGTAGAGGAACGGGGACCTCCAGCGCCATCTGGCTACAGTGAGTAACAGATCTAAGCTTTGTCAGTCTTGGTGTCTGACTTACTTACACTAATATTGGGTGCATACTAACATTTAAAGAGTTTCTTCATTGCAATGTAGCAACACAGGTGTAGATGACCAAATTCTAAGGAATGAACTTGGATATTCCTTTGGATAAAAATTGTTGCTTCAAGTCTACTAATTTGGAGAAAAACTTTCTGCATCTCCAGTCCCGGCAGCCAAAATAAATACTATTCATAAATATGTGACTTGCTGTTGTTGTTCTGAAAGTCAGAACTGGGTTAGTGAAGTAAGCTTTTCGGTATTCTGTATCCTTTGCCTGGAACACATCATCTCCTTGGTTTAGGTTTTGAAGTAGTTTAAAAAAAAAGGAAGAGGAAGAGGATACAAAGACGCCACACTGCAAAAAGCATAGAGGACAGACCAGTGTTGTCACCACATTTAGTACTGAAGCAGAGAACATAGGTCCATGATTTCCAAACTCACATTTCAAAAACAAAATTTGACATGTGGTCAGACCACAGTGGGCTGTTCCTCTTTGTGTCAGTCCATCTCAGATGAGCTCGGGTCCAGAGAGGCCAACTGTGTTCCCGGCTGTTATTGATATCTGGCTTTGGCTTGTAAATACAGAGATGAACTGTATTGACTGACAGTGGTTTTCTGAAGTGTTCCTGACCCACATGGTGATATCCTTTACAGAATGATGCAGGTCTTTTACAAAGTGCCTATTTAGTTTGGGTTTTGGGCCTTGCTGCTTAAATTCAGAGATTTCTCTGGTTCTCTGAATCTTTTGATGATTTTACTGTAGATGATCAAATCCCTAAAATCCTGCAATAGTATGTTGAGAGACATTGTTCTTTAACTTTTGGACAATTTGCTCATGCAATTGCTCAGAAAGTGGTGAACCTGATGATGCTTCTTTTATACCCAATCATGACCCTGTGTTTCCAATAAACCTGTTTACCTGTGGAATGATCCAAACAGGTGTTTTTGGAGCAGTCCTCAGTTTTCTCAGTCTGTTGTTGACCCTGAAACAACTTTTCAGGAACATGTTTCAGCATCAAACTCAAAATGAGTATAAATTTGCAAAAGAAACAACTTTATCAGTTTGAACATTAAATATCTAGTCTTTGTGAAGTGTTTAATTGAATACAGGTGGGAAAGGATTTGCAAATCATTGTATTTGGTTTTCATTCCCATTTAACAACACATCTCAACTTCATTGGATTTGGGGTTTGTACTTTGTGAATGACACACATAGCTATTCCACTGTACTTGCAGTTTTTCACCAACACAATGTCACAGCCTCACTTTTATCTCTATGGTGTCTTAGTGAAGAATTTTTGTGTTTGGTGCTTAAAGACAACAGTTGAAGAGCCTATTATATTTACAAACTGTTTCATCTCATGTCAGCAGGTGGCGCTGCAGTGTAGGCTTTGCGCTAAAAGACAACATGAGAATGAACAATTGTATATACAGGACTGTCTCAGAAAATTAGAATATTGTGATAAAGTTCCTTATTTTCTGTAATGCAATTGAAAAAACAAAAATGTCATACATTCTGAATTCATTACACATCAACTGAAATATTGCAAGCCTTTTATTGTTTTAATATTGCTAATTATGGCATACAGCTTAAGAAAACTCAAAAATCCTATCTCAAAAAATTAGAATATTTCCTCAGACCAAGTAAAAAAAAAAGATTTATAACAGCAAAACAAAATCAAACATTTGAAAATGTCAATGAATGCACTCAGTACTTGGTTGGGAATCCTTTTGCATGGATTACTGCATCAGTGCGGCGTGGCATGGAGGCAATCAGCCTGTGGCATTACTGAGGTGTTATGGATGCCCAGGATGCTTCAATAGCGGCCTTTAGCTCATTTGCATTGTTGGGTCTGGTGTCTTTCAGCTTCTTCTTCACAATACCCCACAAATTCTCTATGGGGTTCAGGTCAGGGGAGTTGGCAGGCCAATCAGGGACAGTAATGCCATGGTCAGTTCACCAGTTACTGGCGGTTTTGGCACTGTGGGCAGGTGCCAGATCATGCTGGAAAATGAAATCATCATCTCCATAGAGCTTTTCAGCAGACAGAAGCATGTAGTGCTCTAAAATCTCTTTGTACACAGCTGCATTGACTCTGGACTTCATGAAACACAGTGGACCAACACCAGCAGCTGACATGGCTCCCCAAACCATCGCTGACTGTGGGAACTTCACACTGGATTTCAAGCAACTTGGATTTTGCTCCTCTCCAGCCTTCCTCCAGACTCTGGCAACTTGACTTTCAAATGAAATACAAAACTTGCTTTCATCTGAAAAGAGGACTTTGGACCACTCTGCAACTGTCCAGTGCTTCTTTTCCATAGCCCAAGTCAGGCGCTTCTTCTGTTGTCTTGAGTTCAGGAGTGGCTTGACCATGGGAATACAGCTATTGTAGCCCATTTCCCGGACACGTCTGTGTTTGGCTTTTGATACCTGGACTCCAGCTTCAGTCCACTGTCTTTGAAGCTCCCCCAAATTCTGGAAGCGGCTCTCCTTCACAATGCTGTTTAGGCTGCGGTCCTCTCTCTTGGTTGTGCAGCGTTTCCTGCCACATTTCCCCCTTCCAACAGACTTTTTGTGAATGTGCTTTGAAACTGCACTCTGTGAACAGCCTGCTCTTTTATACATTTCTTTTTGTGTCTTACCCTCCTGATGGAGTGTGTCAATGATGGTCCTCTGGACAGCAGTCAGGTCAGCAGTCTTCCCCATACTTGTGATTTAGTTTACTGAACCACGCTGAGTGTTTTTAAAGGCCCACTAGTATACTTTTTCATGATATTCTAATATTTTGAGATAGGATATTTGAGTTTTCTTAAGCTGTATGCCATAATAAGCAATATTAAAACAATAAAAGGCTTGCAATATTTCAGTTGATGTGTAATGAATCCAGAATGTATGACATTTTCATGTTTTTAGTTGCATTACAGAAAATAAAGGACTTTATCACAATATTCTAATTTTCTGAGACAGTCCTGTACATGAAGTACACATCTAAATCAAAATGAAGAAATGTAAAAATATGAACTCAATTTAAAACTTCTTTGTTTATTGAAGCATCAAAGTTAAGGCAGTATACAAGAAAATAGTCAGCTACTGTCCACATGTGCTTTAACTTTTTTGTTCACAACTCCATATTTTTTCTGTTTATGTAGGAAGTTCCTCCAACTCCATCGATGAACCTTCCATTGCTGAAGACACGCTGCTGCTTTCTTACCCAGGTAAGGAATAAAAAAGAATATTATTTCCCTTGTGTAGATTCTCGTAATCAATTTGACTAGTAAAAAAACAAGACCTTTAAATATTTGCACTAATGGTCTGTATTTTTAAAATATTGTATAATAGAGGGACAACATGATAAAGCACCCCAAAAAACCTCTCAGTTTTTGAAAATGTCTGAATTATCAAGATTGTTTTTTATTTTACAAGTGTGCTTATCTGTGTGTCTCTTTTCAAAGGCAGCCAGAGTGCTCATCCTGAGGACACCCCCTATCTGCTAATAGACGAAATACACTACAATCACACACACTCCCTCACACAGTCAAACAAACACTCTGTCAAACACACACTCTCTGATACTCACATGGTGATCCCGTTTGCCACAGACAGGGACAGACACTCAGACATGGACACAGTTCCAGACACACACTCTGACACACATACCTCTGACCCAGTGAGGCTGCAGCAGGTGTCTGCAGCCCAGGCAGCCGACACTGAGAGGTACCAGACATTGCACTGTCATTCTTTGAAATGTGTTTGAGTGTTTAATGTAGCAGGATTATTTTCCTCTCGTCATGAATGAATACTTATGAGGGTGTTTTAGAAATTTTGAAGATGAATATTATGTTTCAGAAATGTCTCTGCTATTCTCTGTGTTTGCAGTAATGACTTTGATGTGGGTCTGGATCCAGATGTGAGTCTGGCAGATATGTATCGCTGGAAGGTCTCTGCTTACGCTCCATGCAGCTCCACCTGTACGACAGGTAAACACATGCAAGGACACCGAAAGAATAAAACCCTTTTTTAATCTTTTTTTTTTTTTTTTTAATGCGACTTGTAAAAAACTTATAAAAAATAAATATCATATTTAATTGGTTGGAGTTGTAAGTTATGGGTTAGAAAACTTATGGCAAGACCCTGATGTTGTATTAACCTTTGCAAACTTAATAATATAACTTGCCATAATAATATTCAAGGTATTTTTTATGGCAAGACATAAAACCTCCCTAGATTGTACATTTCCATTTTTAATGAACATTAACTTATATTTAGTTTAGTTTAGTCTTTGACATTCAAGTGTCTCTTATCAATTACGTCCTAACAGTATTTTCCTATTAACAATATTTAACAGTAATTGCAGCAATCCCAAAACCCAGCAGCAATTATTTCCCATTATCATCAGATGTTGTAGGTAGAAAGTGTCTAAAAAATACACTACAGGCCAAAAGTTTGGAAGCAAGATCAGATTTGTACAAAAAAAAGATCATAGTTTCATTTATATAATTCGCAACACAATAAACATGACTGTTGTGTAAAGAGTAACTTATCAGAAGACATTTTGACTATAATTATTAGGTATTTGAGTAATTGTTGCTTAGACTTTGCTTTCTTTAGAGTAACCTCCTCTGGCTCTGGCTTCCCTTAGCTTGGCATATACCAGGCATTCGTTCCACAAGTTTTTTCAGGTATGTTCCAGGGATTGCATTTCAAGCTTTCTTAAGTTCATTAAAAAGAGACTGTTGATTCGTGGGACGCGTTTTTCTGACCGATCGATCCAATTCATCCCGCACAAGCTCTATTGGAGAAAGGTCTGCAGACTGAGGGGGCCAAACCATCTTTTGAAGAACACCTTCCTCTTCTTTTTTGTCTAGGTAACCCTGACAGAGCTTGGCAGAGTGCTTAGGGTCATTGTCTTGCTGCAAAACAAACTTATGAGTCACAAGTCTGAGTCCAGATGGAACAGCATGGTGCTGGAGGATGGAGTGGTACTGTTCCTTCTTCATGATAACGTTTACTTCAAACAAATCGCCTACTCCATCACCTGCAAAACATCCCCATACCATGGAACTACCACCTCCATGCTGAATTGTGGGTGTAACACATGGTGCTTTCAGACGTTCACCAGTTTGTCAGCGGACATAGACTCTGCGTTTTGAACCAAACAGTGCAAACTTGTTTCTAGTCATCATAAGTCCAATTTTTGTGAGCTTTTGCCCACTCATATCTCTTTTTCTTGTTCTGTGGATTAAGTAGTGTTTTTTTGCAGATACATAACCCTTCAGACCAGACTTTCTCAAACGTCATTTCATGGTTGTCAGAGATATGGGTTTCGACCTTGTCATGTTGATTTCCTCCCTTATTTGTGGTGCTGTCTTTTGCCGATCTCACTTACTGGTGACAGTGCTATGTTTATCCTCTGCTTTTGTAGTAACCCTCTTTCATCCAGGTCTTTTTCTATCATCATATCTTCCAGGTTCCTCTAGTCTCTTCAGAGACTAGCCATTTTTGCAGTAGTTTGAACGCAGTTGAGATTTATTAGGATTTTTGTATGCAGACTCTCAAAAGCCAAAAAGTTGAAGTGAATAATCCAACTGTGATTTGTTTTTTTGCTTTTGCACTGAAGTTGTGACTCTTGCAAATGTTTTCAACCCTAAAACTAAGCCCTTATTACCTTTTGCTGATATATATTTAGCAATGGTCTGTTAACATCAATGTATATCTAAAGGTAAACTGAGTAAAATGGTGCATTTCCATGAAAGCAACATCTGATCATGGAGTAAATACATCCCAAAATACATAAAACTCATGCTGGATTTTAAAAAAAGCTTTGTGAACAAAAATTTGAAGTTACTCCCAACAGTTCGGCCTGTAATGGTCTTGCTTCCAAACTTTTGGCCTGTAGTGTAGGTGTTTTGTTTTTTTCACTTAATTTTATTTCTTGACTTTTCTTTATTTCTTCCTCTTTGGACTACTGCAGCTCTTTGTACACATCTTAACCAACAGAGTTTGCACAAGTTACAGCTTATTCAAAATGCATCAGCTCGCCTCCTTACTCTGACCAAAAAGAGAGATGATATAACTTCTATTTTAGCAACATTTGCTACTGGCTCCTGGTAAACTTTGGAAAGGATTTTTAGACTTATTAGACTTTCTGATCTCTTTGCTCAGTATGTGCCCGCTTGTAGAATAGCTAAGGCTCTGTTCACCAGTCTTAAGTGAAGGCTGAAAGTCAAAGGTTTTTCTGTCATGTTTTCTTTCCCCTACTCAATTTTTTTACTTTTTTTCCTTGTATTGTTTTATTTATTTTTTTTAGATTTAATGTTTTTAACTTGTTTTATGGTTTTAGGGGTGCAAATTTTTCATCCAATCATAAGTTGGTGTATTTCTCACATTTCCCTTTTTTCTCAATTATTTATTTATTTTTATTTGGGTTATCTGGGTCATCTGTATTGCTTAATTTTTTGAGGCATAAATGACTTTAAGGTACAAACATTTTTGAATTGCTCAAGTGGATAGTTTCAACATGGGTGGGGTGTAACATACATGATTGATAGATGTACTTCATCTGATAATGTTCTATTTGTTTCTCCAGGTATCACCACCAGCTTTGCCCTCTGTGTGCGGTATGATGGCACTGAAGTGGACGACAGTTATTGTGACACTTTGACCAGACCTGAACCCACACACGAGTTTTGCACAGGAAAAGAATGTCCTCCAAGGTGCTCTATTTTCTCTTTGGTCGCTTTGTTTTTCCAAGATGTAAAAATCAGTTGTGGTTTTTTTTGTACAGCATGCATACAGTATATTTATGACAACAATGTTTATCCAAAAAGGTCAGCGAATTTTTAATGGCTCACCTTAATTCACCTTGGGTTCAGCCGTGGGTGATCAGGCCCCAACTTGTGTCTAGGTAGCGCACTATACTTCTATGCAACCAGAGCCAACATGAAGTCTTTTAAGCAGCTTCCATAAAGTTCCTTCTGTGATTTAGATCCCCATGAGTCCCAAGACCGGATTTAGAGACTGTGAAAAAATGTGACTGATTCCCTTTAAATTTCTTGTTAAAATTGAATAAAAATGGACCAAAAGGCAATGCCTGCGAAGACCAGGACCTAAGAATTGAAGTGGATTGAGTCTTACCCATCATGTGTCTCTAATAGGTATAAAATGACTGCCAAAACAATCCTATAGGAAGTACGGTTACTAAAATAAATGCGTACTCTTTAAAATAAAAGTTGTAAATTAGATTGACAGTCATTAGTGCTTTAGTGGTACATCACAGACAACATTTTTCATCAATGTAAAACCTCTGTGGAAAGGTTCATGCTGACCTTTGAGAAATAATAAGGTGCTGCTGTGACTAAAATGTCCTCTGTTTAAACTGTCCTGATGCTAACTTCCACCTGCCCTGTTTGTCCTTTTCTGTCCTCAGATGGGAGACGAGTGGCTGGAGTGAGTGCTCTCGAACTTGCAGAGAGGGCGTTCAGTACCGCACTGTGCGCTGTTGGAAAATGTTGTCGCCTGGTCTTGACTCCTCCGTCTATGACTCATTGTGTCTGTCACATGACCTCCACAAACCAGCCAACAGGAAGGCCTGTCTAGGCCAGAGCTGTGGACCCCAGTGGGAGGTGTCGGAGTGGTCAGAGGTAACACAGCAGCATCAGCATTAGCATCAGCATCAGCAGAGTAAAATATTACTGATGAGGGGATAAGAACGCTGCACAAGTGTGTTTGTGATCTGGTATTTACATTCAGATTCAGATTTTTCAAAACTTTTTTTGAACTGAATCAATCCTCAGATGTGGGGACAAAAAGAAAAAGAAAGAATAGTGCCCAGGATTTGTTAGTTAGCATGCACCAAACATTCTAGGTCATCTACGAAATAAATTACCACTGAATTTGAATTTAAATTTGGGGATTAAATACTAGGTCATTTTGAGTATCTAAAAAAGTAGCGCAGCTGTGTGAGGAGACTTTTCTCTCCTCCTTGGGGACAAACTTGGACATTTTTTCTCTTCTCTGTAAAAAGTTGGGTTGTCCTCAGATATCTGCATAGGGAGGTTGCCCAAAGAACACCACACTACCATGTGGCTTATGGTTTTAGTAAGGTTTGAATGTATAAAAATAGTATGTCCATGCTAAGTTTTATTTACAACCTTTCAAAGCCAGAAAAACTTCTATCTGATAAATACAATGTGATGAACTGTTATTTGTAGCACCATTTCATTTATCTCTGTACAAATGGTCAAAAATAGTGAGTACTCAGTGTGGACTGAAGTGAACGGTGAGCTAAACTGCTCAGTTTATAAACTCATGTAAGGTAACATGAGCGTCGTTCACTCCTGGGGCAGTAAACGATGGTCACATTCAGAAACGTGCAGTAGGATGCTGAAAGATGACGGAAGGTGCAGAGAGATGCCGAGCACTATTGAACATCCTGAACATTCCCCTCACCTGTTATCAAGTGATGTGCTGTGTCTGTATGTGCATATGTTTGTTTGTCAGTGTTCAGCACGATGTGGCTCTCGGGGGGTTCGTACAAGGGAGGTTCGTTGTTCCATGGAAATGAGACTTTGCAACAAGTCCTCTCAGCCAATAGAAAGCCAAGAATGTGAAGGCCCACCCTGTGACCGAAGATGGACAGTTACAGACTGGGGACCTGTGAGTTGAAACACACACAAGCACATCTGATACACTTGACCTTGGTAACATAACTCCATACATATGTGTGTGCTTGTGTATGTGTGTGTTTGTGTTAGTGCTCAGGTGTGTGTGGGGAGGGACGGATGGTGCGTGCGGTGATGTGTCGGTCATCAGGTGGCGTGGTGATGTCAGAGGAACAGTGTGACCAATCTCTGCGCCCGCTAGCCATACATCCCTGTGGAGACAGAGACTGTGCTCCGCACTGGGTGGAACAGGAGTGGCAACAGGTAAACACAAATAGTGTGATATATAGTGCAAAGAAAGGCTGACACTGGGAAATGTTACTGCGTCATGGAAAATATTTTCTGACTTTAAATTTGATCCAGCATCAGGACTGAAAAAAGTTTGGACATATGAATTGGCAAAGGATTTTTTTAAGTCCCTGATATACTTGATTTATTGATCCCTTTGAGGATCAGTAAAGTTTTTCTTATCTTGAGCCTAATCACAAGTTGTTTATTGGGTGTGTTTGTTGTGAATTCTGTGTACCAGTGTAATGCTACTTGTGGACGTGGCATGCGGCAGCGTCAAGTGGTGTGTGCAGGGCTGGATGGCGGCGTGTTTAAAGAGTTTCCAGACAGCAGCTGTGACCAAAGCAACAAACCTGAAAGCAGCTCTTCCTGCTTCCAGAGACCCTGCTCCAAGTGGTTCACCACTTCCTGGTCCAAGGTAAGCAATGCTTGGTCCACCCATAGGCTGTATATACAATGGACAACTTGGTTCTGCCCTCCGCCAGTATATGGATTGGAAGCCGAGTTGCTCTCGGTATTTCCGAATTTTTTTCCCACTTCCTGAAACCACCACTTGTACAGTAGCATTGTACACATTCAATGGGAGAGTCGCTGTGATGACGCTCTGCTCAAACAGTGTATCCCCCGTAATCTTTGTACGCCCAAAGACTGTATCAAGTGTCAATCATAGAAAACATGAACCCCCTAATAACTTTTAAATATGGAGCTGTACAGAAAAAAAGAGGACTTGAGCACAAACCAGTCTTAGAGTAACTACATGTCAACATCGCAACCAGGGGGGAGAAAAATGTATAATCTGTGTAATAAATTTCTTAAAGTTTGTCCACAGCTCCATAGGGATTGCTGGAGGAGGTGGGATTTATGACCTATACTGCAGCCCGTCACCAGAGGGTCCTGTTCTCGGGGTGGCTTCACCCAGCGAGGAGGCAGATGGTGTCCATTCTTTATACAGTCTATCGGTCCATCTAATTAGCCATAACCTGAGATCAGTATAGCTTGATTGGAAATTATTCATGAAGTTCAGCTTGTCGTTTTTCAATCAAGAATAACATGGTAAAATGAAGTCCCTGTTCCTTTGCCCCCTCAGTGCAGTAAGACCTGTGGGAGTGGTGTGCAGGTTCGAGAGGTGAAGTGTTACCAAGGGGAGGAGCTTGTAACCCGGGGTCACAGCTGTGACTCTGCTCTAAAGCCAGAAGCCCGACAGAGCTGTGAGCTTCAGAGCTGTCCGACAGTGGCTTCAGGTACGACGACAAACACAACCGGATGAACTTTCTGTTCAGTGTTTTTTCTGAGCCAGCATTTAGACTTGTATTTTTGTGTTCATCAGTTGCCGTGCCAGCAGCTTCAGCAACTGTAGATGAATCCTGCCAAGACAAACCAACAGCTAACTGTGCACTGGTGCTAAAGGTGAAGCTGTGCTCTCACTGGTACTACAGGAAGGCCTGCTGTCAGTCCTGTAAGGCACCAAGACCCTGATGTCTGAGCTCAAACCTCTCACTGAAACCACTGGTCCCATGACTCATACAGGATGTTGTTGCTACACAAAGCCTGCTGCTAGGAATGTACAGCCTCATGGCATTTCTGTCAACTCTTTCTTTTCACCTTGTGGACCATACCTCTTCCTCAAATGGCTGAGGGTTTTTTTCTGTACACCGGGACCTGCCCTAAATATTGATCTCTTTTTATTTCTTCAAGTTTTATCACTTGTGCAAATTTCTCCCAGTCCCCCCTCATTGTGTCATCTGTAAGATTATTCCAGTCAACATTTCTGCTGTGAACTAATTTACAACTAATTCCCCACTAACATTAGTCCCCTCTAATGTGAACATAAACTCTCTTCAAGACAAACTGTGCTCTCTGCTCACTTGTTAAGCTTCCTCTAAATCAAAAAATCAACCTTTTCTTGCTATATTCTGCATTGTTTTATTCCTATTATTGTAATTATTGCACAACCTTGCTAGTCAATGCCATTCCACTTTTTGTTCTCACTTTTCTACTTAAACATGAATTGCAATGTCCTCTAATATCAGTTCCATGTTTGCAGGTTGGTGAATGAATTTAAATGATAGTGGCAATTTGTTTACTTTTCCAGTTGACTGTTTCATCCTGCTGTCATGGCGCAGGCTGTAATGGCTATAATATTATGGTGTAAATCCATTCACTAAAAGTAGTTGTTTTTGTCACTGGCAGACTCAGGTTTATATTCTCAGTGTCTGACAACATAACAGAAAGGATTCCCTGGGAGAAAAACTTTGTTTAATTGACAGAAAGAAAAAAAATTTCTACCGCAAACAGATGTTAAATTTAATCTCTTCCAGACACCAGAAAACACTCATAAAATGATATTTTAACTTTGCAGTCAAAAGAGTTTCTTTTCTACATCTGACAAGATGGTTTTCACCGTTAATGCTGTTTGTGATGATAGCAATGTCAACAACTGAAGTTTCAGAGCGCTGTACAGTGCGCATGGGTCAAACTGCAAAATTAAATACATGTAATTTAAATGCTAAGCGTGATTTTTCCAAGTGTTCATCTGTACAGGGTTAATATTTCATAAATATTTTCACATTTTATTTATTTTCAGTGCCTCAAGACAACCATAACCAAACAAGGAAGCAAAAATAAATCTCTGATAAATTTCCTACCAGGGGGCTCAGAGTAGAGCAGGAACTCTAAAGGAAGAAATGTTAACACCCACAACAGTCATGTATCTTTCCTTAACTGTGTTTGTATAAGACCCATGGTCTGTCGTGAACAAAAGTTTTACCTGTAAATTAATTGTTATTGCCACTTTGAGGATTGATAGAAATTATGAGGTCTTTAGCAGCAGACCTTAACCTGAAAAATTGCTACAAAATAGCAATGTAAAATAAAGAGTAAAGTATCTAAGTAAATATACTTAATTGTTTTTCTATGGTAATAATTCCTGGTTAAGAAGATACAAAACCCAATTCCATTGAAGTTGGGAAATTGTGATAAAAGTAAATAAAAACAGAAAACAATGATTTTCAAATCCTCTTCAGCCTATATTTAACTGAATACACTACAAGGACAAGATATTTAAAGTTCAAACTCATTAACTTTATTTTTTTTTTGCAAATAATCATTAATTCAGAATTTCATGGCTGCAACACGTGACAAAGAAGTTGGGAAAGGTGGCAAAAAATACTAAGAAATTTGAGGAATACTCATCAAACACCTATTTGGAACATCCCACAGGTGAGCAGACTAATTGAGAAGGTGGGGTGCCATGATTGGGTATAAAAGCGGCTTCCCCAAAAATCTTGGTCATTCACAAGCAAGGATGGGGCGAGGTTCACCACTTTGTGAACAACCGCGTGAGCAAATAGTTGAACAGTTTAAGAACAAAGTTTCTCAAAGTACAATTGCAAGGAATTTAGGGATTTCAACATCTATGGTCCATAATATCATCAAAAGGTTCAGAGAATCTGGAGAAATCACTGCACGTAAGCGGCCATGGCTGGAAACCAACATTGAATGCCCATGATCTTCGATCCCTCAGGCAGCACTGTATCAAAAACCAACATCAATGTGTGAAGGATATCAACACATGGGCTCAGGATTACTTCAGAAAACCACTGTTCGGAAATACAGTTTGTCGCTACATCTGTAAGTGCAAGTTAAAACTCTACTATGCAAAGCAAAAGTCATTTATCAACAACACCCAGAAATGCTGCCGGCTTCTCTGGGCCTGAGCTCATCTAAGATGGACTGATGCAAAGTGGAAAAGTGTTCTGTGGTCTGACGAGTCCACATTTCAAATTGTTTTTGGAAATAGTGGACGTCGTGTCCTCCGGGCCAAAGAGAAAAAAGAACCATCCGAACTGTTATCAACGCAAAGTTCAAAAGACAGCATCTGTGATGGCATTAGCGCCCAAGGCATGGGTAACTTACACATCTGTGAAGGCAACATTAATGCTGAAAGGTACATACAGGTTTTGGAGCAACATATGCTGCCACCCAAGCAACGTCTTTTTCATGGATGCCCCTGCTCATTTCAGCAAGACAGTGCCAAGCCACATTCTGCACGTGTTACAACAGCATGGCTTCGTAGTAAAAGAGTGCGGGTACTCGACTGGCCTGCCTGCAGTCCAGACCTGTCTCCCATTGAAAATGTGTGGCGCATTATGAAGCGTTCAATACAACAACGAAGACCCCTGACTGTTGAACAACTTAAGCAGTACATCAAGCTAGAATGGGAAAGAATTCCACCTTCAAAGCTTAAACAATTAGACTCCTCAGTTCCCAATTGTTTATTGATTGTTGTTGAAAGGAAAGGTGATGTAACACAGTGGTAATCATGCCCCTTCCCAACTACTTTGGCACGTGTTGCAGCCATGAAATTCTGTGTTAATTGTTATTTGCAAAAAAAAAAAAAAAATTAAGTTTATGAGTTTGAACATCAAAAATCTTGTCATTTGTAGTGTATTCAATTGAATATACACTCACCGGCCACTTTATTAGGTACACCATGCTAGTAACGGGTTGGACCCCCTTTTGCCTTCAGAACTGCCTCAATTCTTCGTGGCATAGATTCAACAAGGTGCTGGAAGCATTCCTCAGAGAGCTTGGTCCATATTGACATGATGGCATCACACAGTTGCCGCAGATTTGTCGGCTGCAAATCCATGATGCGAATCTCCCGTTCCACCACATCCCAAAGATGCTCTATTGGATTGAGATCTGGTGACTGTGGAGGCCATTTGAGTACAGTGAACTCATTGTCATGTTCAAGAAACCAGTCTGAGATGATTCCAGCTTTATGACATGGCGCATTATCCTGCTGAAAGTAGCCATCAGAAGTTGGGTACATTGTGGTCATAAAGGGATGGACATGGTCAGCAACAATACTCAGGTAGGCTGTGGCGTTGCAACGATGCTCAATTGGTACCAAGGGGCCCAAAGAGTGCCAAGAAAATATTCCCCACACCATGACACCACCACCACCAGCCTGAACCGTTGATACAAGGCAGGATGGATCCATGCTTTCATGTTGTTGACGCCAAATTCTGACCCTACCATCCGAATGTCGCAGCAGAAATCGAGACTCATCAGACCAGGCAACGTTTTTCCAATCTTCTATTGTCCAATTTCGATGAGCTTGTGCAAATTGTAGCCTCAGTTTCCTGTTCTTAGCTGAAAGGAGTGGCACCCGGTGTGGTCTTCTGCTGCTGTAGCCCATCTGCCTCAAAGTTTGACGTACTGTGCGTTCAGAGATGCTCTTCTGCCTACCTTGGTTGTAACGGGTGGTTATTTGAGTCACTGTTGCCTTTCTATCAGCTCGAACCAGTCTGGCCATTCTCCTCTGACCTCTGGCATCAACAAGGCATTTCCGCCACAGAACTGCCGCTCACTGGATATTTTTTCTTTTTCGGACCATTCTCTGTAAACCCTAGAGATGGTTGTGCGTGAAAATCCCAGTAGATCAGCAGTTTCTGAAATACTCAGACCAGCCCTTCTGGCACCAACAACCATGCCACGTTCAAAGTCACTCAAATCACCTTTCTTCCCCATACTGATGCTCGGTTTGAACTGCAGGAGATTGTCTTGACCATGTCTACATGCCTAAATGCACTAAGTTGCCGCCATGTGATTGGCTGATTAGAAATTAAGTGTTAACGAGCAGTTGGACAGGTGTACCTAATAAAGTGGCCGGTGAGTGTATACTAGTATACTAGTGTAAGTTTATACTACAGTTTCAGAATTTGGCTACATCAGTTTATAATTTCGATATATTTAATTTTTAAAAAGTAGTTTGTAAATTCTATCACTAAAGTGTTTTGTAGTAATATTTAATAATAAGCTTCCTACTGTAGTTTTAAAAAGTCAAATGACGTCACTTCCGCTACACTGTTGTTTACCTGTCTGACTGGCGGAGAGTGTTGGTGCAGTCAGGCTACGGCTGAAAGGTGCAAATAGTCACATCAGTGAGTATGGTTTTAGAGCTGGCTGACTTTTTCCAGGTAAACTGCATGAGTTTTGTGTCTCACGATGTTTACTCTTGCAGCTAGGATTCCTTTTGGCTAAGTGTTGATATGACACACCCGGAACAGAGGAGAAAGACCGTTAGAGTTTGTCCTTTACGTGACTTTGAAGTATTACTTTTGCCGTGCAGTTGTGCGACCAGCAGTTTTATATATGTCGCTGCTTTGAACTTTTTCATGAACACACGTGTGGGTCGGTAAAGTAAGAGTTGTTAAAATATGCAAAGTGCTGCTGTGAGCCATAACTATTTGGAGCTGGTTGACTTTGTTGAATGTGCAAAAGTGTTCATGCTGTCCATGTCAAACTTGCGTGGACCTTCTGCAATGTCCTAAAAAACGGAAACTGGACTACTGTAGCTTCAGTTGATTTCGATGAAGGATAACTTGAAGCACATAATGAAGATAAGGGTTTGTGAAAAAGGTTGACAGTAGTGGCCCCGTTTACATGGGTCCAAAAATCCTATTTACAATCGGATTGAAAGGTCAGTCAGATTAAAAATGTCTCATATAAACACCTTAGCCAATCTGATTCACCCGGATCTGATTGTATTTCGGGTTTGATTGAAAGAGGTAGTCTACACCGATTGATAATCCGCTCCATGCTCCATATATACGGCTGAGTGGAGCGGATTGGGTTTACGGAGAGGCTTGTTCGGTCTGCGCAGGCGCTCGGTAGTACGTAAGAGGCACGTAGTGACGTACGCAGACCGCGCCCAAACGAAAACAAACATGGCGAACAAACAGAAAAACTGGGCGGTGAGTGTATTGTGTCGTGCGACTGACGAAGCGTACACTTCTTGCTGTGTAACCCGGCTGGATTATACTTTTATTAAACTTTAACACATAGGGTTCCTTACTCTGCTCGGTCTGGGAACTAATGTGGTGTCACACACAAACACGTCCGTGCGCAACTCTAAAGCGGAACTAAAACAATGGTTCCTATTAACAATTCCCATTGATACAATACAATACAACTGGATTCAGCTGGGGCCATGAAAACGCGGACTGAACGTGGATCGCTTTACTTAAAGTTCATGTATACAGATGGAATCAGATTCACTTAATCCGATTGATTTCAATCAGATTGAGGAAAACTACCCATGTAAACGGGGCCACTGAAACCTCCACTTTAGTCAGACAGCACTAAACCAAGTGTCATCTTTAGACTCGTTTCAGAGTCTCAAATTCAATGATCTATCTACTGAAAACCCACTGAGCTGTCAGGCTCTTTGTGGGTCTGATTGTGACTAAAACTGAAGTCTGAAGACAAACACATTTGCTTGAAAATGAGTCATTAGAAAGGAAGCTGTCGGAAGCAACTGATGTCACAATCGTTTGCAACTTTATGTATATTTGACCAGTGTTACTCAGCGCATCACGACACGCAGAACTAAAATACAACAAATTTGGTGGTTGGAAGAGTTCAGTCTGAATATATACAAACACAGTAACAGACTTACAACCCGTCTGCAGTGGTACAGTCTCTGTCTGTGGACTGTGTTGTATTTTTTTTTTAAGAGAAAGATGCTGTTAGTAGTTGTCGTAGGCTTGAAAGTAAAGAAACCCTAATATAATATCTATAGCATCTATCTATAGACCTCAGTCCTATCATTATGAACACACCCTAATCCAACCCAACACAACAGCTCAAATTCTACTTCCACAGGTGCTCCTAATACTTTGTCCCCCCTCATGTTTGTTAATGGAGTGGACAAAAGAACACCTTTATTATAACACGCTCGATTACACCATGACCACCCACTGTGTCTTTATTTGTACCTTAAGAAACTGTTTTTCTCCTCAGCTTTGAAGATGAGTTCCAGAGCCTTTGATTCTCTAGAAAAAGAGGGGGAGGACGACGATGATGAAGAAGAAGAGGAAGGAGAAGAGGGGCGCGTCAACCCGACAGAAGTGAAAATGAGTCAGATAGTGATGCCCTGTCACAGCAACCACCGTCAGGAGCTCAGTGTGGGGCAGCTGCTCAAATGGATAGACTCTACTGCTTGCCTTGCAGGTAATGTGTATGCATGTCTGAGATCAGTTCAATCATGCTGCGTTGTGTAACTTGTGCGATTGCCAAGATTATTGTGCAACTGCTGACTTGAAAGACAAACATCCTACTGTTTGTGGTTATTTCACATGTGCAGCTGAGAGGCATGCTGGGAGTCCCTGTGTCACTGCCTCCATGGATGATATCCACTTTGAACACACCATTAGGTAACAGGAAATGTAGGAGGATTTTTCATCTGCATTTCCAGTGTGAGTGTGGGTGTGTAGGTGTGATTGTTCACCCAGCTGTCTTTCTGTTCAGAGTGGGTCAAGTGGTGAACATCAGGGCAAAGGTCAACCGAGCCTTTAACACCAGCATGGAGGTTAGAGGAATACACATCATGTTCTCTGACTTATATTTGTGGACTGATCCTAATAAGCTGTCACTCTTTATCATGGATATTCAACACAGGATCTCAGAACCTCTGTCCAAGTGTAAAAGAAAGCAGATATTCACTGCTGTCTTTTATTCAGGTCCAGGTTTAGGTTTTGAACTTGGTTGCTCTTTCATGTCACAGAAGTAGAATAACTCTCAAGTATATAGACTTCATCTAAAGATCCTCATTTGTCCTTTACATCTGAGATCATAATCTTGTCTTTTAAAGGTGGGCGTACAGGTGAGCTGTGAGGACCTGTTCACCGATCGGCACTGGAGAGTTTGTCACGCCTACGCCACTTTTGTCACCCAGCGCACAAACACAGGACAAAAGGTAAGAACTGTTCAGCTTTTTGAGGTGCTTAAGCACCTTTTGGAGGTCACTAACAGGTTTCTTGTAGGTGGATGTGTCAACTTGCTACAGTCCTGAGTGGGGCTACATAATAGAGGATAAAGTAATGTCACAGCAGGTTATACAGGAAGTCATATCAGATAAACTGAGAGTATTTAATGTGCTTGAGTGAAAAATTTCTAACATAATAATGAAAAATGGGTTTTCTGCTCTCAAAACAATTCTTCCTCTAAAATGCTCTAAATCCAGCCTTCTGACATCAGCAGAGAGACAGGATGAGGAGAGACTACAGGTGGAGCCACACGTTTCACAACTTTAATAATAAATGAAATTAAGTCACCTCACATCATCAGTCCACTGCTGAGGTTTAAAATTACATTTAATTTATGTTGCAGTCATAGTACTCTTGAATTAAAAGTAAACTCATGGTCTTCTCCTGTCTGCGATTTTCATCACACTACACTGTATGTTGACCCTTAAAAAGTCCACAATCTGTGGTCCTGTTAGCAGTCCAGATGTGTGTCCACAATGTTAATGAATATCAGGGTACACCGATCTGGGACATCAGAAATGTTGTGTGCATGTTGACAGTGTATGGTCATGTGACACACAGATGCAGACTGCATGCAGGATCAGTTTTGAGTGTGTTCAGGTGAGGGGCTGTTTTAAAGTCTTTAGACAAACAATACAATGCAATAAAAAACTTAATGTATCCTCAAAGGGAAATTTATTTGTTGGGACTCTCTAGTATATAGGCAGGGTGTGTGTACATGTGTGTGACTGTGACTGTGTCGGAAGTTGGGGTTAAACTTTGGAGCATTAAATAGACACATCTGCTGCTCTTCCCTTCCAGGTGATCTTGAAGCCTATTGTACCTCACACTCAAAGGGAGCAGGTGGAATACAGCGTGGCGGCTGAGAGGAGACGGGTACGGATGATACACGAGGACATCATCAAAGATCTGCTCTCCCATGGGTCTTTCCAGCAAGGTAGGTTTGACCCTGACCGCTTCCCGACTGTCTCCATACTGCAGATCACAGCAGGAGCAGTTGTGAGACTGCAGGTTACTGTAAGAAGGCTTGATGTCAGACAGAAAACATTTAGTCTGTGCCACTGTTCTACATGTGGGTCTTTTACAGCTTTGAGGACCACAATTCAGTGGCTGTCAAGACAAATGCAGTTCACTTTCAGTCATGATTATATATGTACTATGAAGTGAAGATGTGCATTGATGAATTATGTGTGTAAAAAGATTATGCATTTTGTTCTACAAAACCAAATTCCAAGTTGAAGTTGGGAAATTTTGATAAACATAAATAAAAGCAGAATATAATGATTTAATGTTCAAACTCATAAACTTTATTGTTTTTTTTTTTGCCACTAATCATTAACTTTGGAATTTGATGGCTGCAACACGTGCCAAAGAAGTTTGAACAGGGGCATGTTTACCACTGTGTTACATCACCTTTCCTTTCAACAATACTGAATAAATGTTTGGGAACTGAGGAGACTAATTGTTGAAGCTTTGAAGGTGGAATTTGTTCCCTTTCTTGCTTGATGCACTGCTTAAGTTGTTCAACAGTCAGGGGTCTCCATTGTTGTATTTTACGCTTCATAATGCACCACACATTTTCAATGGGAGACAGGTCTGGACTGCAGGCAGGCCAGTCAAGTACCCGCACTCTTTTACTACGAAGCCATGCTGTTGTAACACGTGCAGAATGTGGCTTGGCATTGTCTTGCTGAAATAAGCAGGGGCATCCATGAAAAAGACGTTGCTTGGATGACAGTATATGTTGCTCCAAAACCTGTATGTACCTTTCAGCATTAATGTTGCCTTCACAGATGTGTAAGTTACCCTTGCCTTGGGCACTAATGCACCCCCATACCATCACAGATGCTGGCTTTTGAACTTTGCGTCGATAACAGTCTGAATGGTTCTTTTCCTCTTTCGTCCGGAGGACCCGACGTCCACTATTTCCAAAAACAATTTGAAATGTGGACTCGTCAGACCACAGAACACTTTTCCACTTTGCATCAGTCCATCTTAGATGAGCTCAGGCCCAGAGAAGCTGGCGGCGTTTCTGGATGTTGTTGATAAATGGCTTTTGCTTTGCATAGTAGAGTTTTAACTTGCACTTACAGATGTAGCGACGAACTGTATTTACTGACAGCGGTTTTCTGAAGAAATCCTGAGCCCATGTGGTGATATCCTTTACACATTGAAGTGTAAAGTGAACCTCGCCCCATCCTTGCTTGTGAATGACTGAGAATTTTTGGGGAAGCTGCTTTTATACCCAATCATGGCACCCACCTGTCTCAATTAGCCTGCTCACCTGTGGGATGTTCCAAATAGATGTTTGATGAGTATTCCTCAAATTTCTCATAATTTTTTTGCCACCTTTCCCAACTTCTTGGTCACATGTTGCAGCCATGAAATTCTGAGTTAATAATTATTTGCAAAAAAACAATAAGGTTTATCAGTTTGAACGTTAAATATATTGTCTTTGTAGTATATTCAATTACATATGGGTTGAAAAGGATTTGCAAATCATTGTATTCCGTTTTTATTTACGATTTACACATCTTCCCAACTTCATTGGAATTGGGTTTTGTAGTTCGCATTGTTTGGATGTAAAACATTCTATTAAATGCCTGTGTGAGACATATTTTAGTGAAACCACGCCATCAGACTGAATGATGCCATGTTATTTTAGAGGAGGATGTTGGTCTTCAGATTTACCAGAGCAGTCAGGACAGTTAACATGATTTAAGTATGCAGAAGAAAAATAAGCAAATCATTTAAAACCAAATGAGTTGGTTAAAAATTGTGTGTGTGTGTGTGTGTGTGTGTGTGTGTGTGTGTGTGTGTGTGTGTGTGTGTGTGTGTGTGTGTGTGTGTGTGTGTGTGTGTGTGTGTGTGTGTGTGTGTGTGTGTCAGCTGACAACACAGCAGAAGCCAATGCAGTGGCAGCAGAGAAGACCAAGGTGGAGAGTGTTGAGCTGGTTCTACCCCCACATGCCAACCATCAGGTTACTCATTTGCTCCTCTGTCTCCAGAATAAAGAGAGAACTTGACCATCACTGTCAGACCATAGAGTGTTAATAATTTTCACTATTTTTAAAACTAGTTTAAGTGTGAAAATTCTCAGGCTTGCTTTACTCTCTACTTTATAAAAGTGTTGATCCAAGTTTAGCCGCTGTTGACAGTTGTTTGATCAGTGAGCAATAATACCGCAGTGTATCTGGTGTGAACAGTCTGTGTTTTTACACAAGTGCAGCTTCAAAAACTAGACTGTTCCCCATTTTTCTCCATGAGTCAATTCAAAGAGTGAAACTTCCAAATATTTTAGATTCATCAAACACAGAAAGTGAAAAATTTCAAGACTTTTTCTGTTCGAGTCTTGATGATTTCGGCTCACAGCTCATGAAAAGCCACCATCTGACAACATCAGATGACTACAAAACACCAATCTGGAAAAAAAAAGATGTATGGCTCAGAGATGTGGACCTTCAGCTTTTAGTTTTTGGTCAGTGCTCCTTTTTGCATGATTATCTGCATCAGTGTGTTATGGAGGTGATCAGTCTGTTGCTCTGCTGGGGTCTTACTGAAGCCCAGGTCTCTGATAGTTCCTTCAGCTTCTCCGTGTTGTCGCTCTGGTGTCTCATCTTTCTCTTCTCCAGCGATCCTCGATTGGGACCAGGTCAGACCAGTTAGCTAGACAATGAAGCATAGTAATACCACAGTCAGCAAACCAGTTCAGATCTACCTTCAGACTGTGGGACCTATATTTTCAACTGAGATGCTAAATTGACTTTCATCTGAAAACAGGACTTTGGAAAACTGAGCGAGTCCAGGTGAGACTCTGATGTGATGACATTGTCTTTGGTTCAGGAATATCTTGACAGAAGGAACACTTGTAGTCCATTTCCTGGACTCCCCTGTGTGTAGTGGCTCTTGATGCTCTGACTCCAGCCTCAGTCCAGTCCTTGTGAGGCCCTCCTAAATTCTTGAATCTGCATTTTTTGACAATCGTCTGAAAGCTGCACTCAGACTTTTCAGCAGTGACCTACTGCGGCTGACCCTCCCTGTGGTGGGTGTCCGTGATGGTCTTCTGGACTACTGTGGAGTCAGCAGCCTGAACTGTGATTGTGGTTGTGTGTCCTGAACCAGTGAGTAAATAAAGGCTCAGTAAACCTTTACAGGTGTTCAGAGTTCATTAGCTGATTGGAGCTTTTTTCAGGACTTTAAGAACTGAAAAGACAAGAAACTGGACTTTTACACCATATTCTGATGCCCTCAGAAAGTGGATTTTTAGAGGTTGAGGGCTGTAATTATCAAAATTAAAAAAAAAATAAAAAAAAAATCTTCGAATATTTTGCTTTGTGTGATGACTGTGGAATATATGGAAGAGTCCCCTTTTTAAATCAAATTTTATGAGAAATAACATTTTTGGTGACATTCATATTGTCTGCACCTGTATTTGTGCAACATTATATTTTCTGCAGTTACTTAATCAAATGTGTGAATGTGTGATTTTGACAGTTCTGTCCCTTTAACAGAACATCTCATTTCAAACAAAATGAACTGCTAACTCATTAAAAAATAAATAAATAAAAAACTGCAGACTTTTGTTTTTCACACTGATGTTTCTCCTGAGAGTTAAGTGTTTCACACTCTCTGTTTGCTGAAATACCAGGTGAATACGTTTGGAGGACAGATCATGGCCTGGATGGTGAATGTAGCTACAATCGCTGCCAGGTACAAACACACAAATGCATTTTTGATTATGAACTTCAAACCACAGAGTGACACTTTCACAGTGGTTTTACAGACACACACACACACACAAATTGAACTTGAAGGCAAAGACATACAACCTTAAGGAAGCTTTTATTCAGGTCCCATCTTTAAATATGGCTCTAAAAATGAGTCCTTCCATGCCTACACCTGTCTTGACTGAACTGTAATAAATAAAGACACAAATAAATTCCATCTAAAGGGAAGTTTATGGTCTTTAAGGACTGTATTTGAACGTTTTTCTATACTCCATCATTTTCTCTCCATGCAGCCGTCTGTGTCAGGCTCACCCAACACTACGGACCATCGACATGTTCACCTTCAGAGGACCGTCTCAGGTTGGAGACAGACTGCTTCTCAGAGCTATAGTCAACAACGCCTTCAAAAACAGGTATCAGTTTGTCCAGAGCAAGCAGCAAGGAAAGCTTTTAACTCCATTTCAGTTAGCACATCCAAACAAACTTGGTGTGTACTCCTGGAATTTTCCAAAATTGTTTATTCACACATGTCCCTCACAGCGTGAAATTGTCCCGGTTGGATAAAGGAGTTGGGGCTGAATGAGAGCAGGAGTTGAGTCTAATGAGGCAGGCCATGAAATCATTACCAAAGCAGTGTGATGAAGAAACTTGAACTGTGATATCATTTTTTTTTTATCTTTGTCCAATGAGTCACATAAACAGGCTTGAACGCTTTTCAATGTTTTACATGTTAAAATGCAGACCCACTGGAGGCCGCTGAGAGATGCCCACCCACCTCGGCTGTTTCTGATAAATTAATTACAATTTACATATACTGATAGATTATTAATAAAGACACAGTCAACATTTCAGCTATTTGCATTTTCTGTGACCTAAATTTCAGGAGGCTTTCACGAGTGTGTTGCGTGTGTGAATACAGCTTTATTGTCAAATTTACAGCAAAAAAACATCATATTTACTGATTTCTGTTTGTTGTAGTACCTGTGATCTAAATGGATCTTGAAATGAGAGAACTATCCGTGTCCACTAACATCTAAAGGTTTAGATTCATGATGAAATCGTAGAGGAGACAGTCATCATTATAAGGGTACGTTTGCAGTCAGACTTACTGAAATGAATTTGATGTGTTTGTTAGTATGGAGGTAGGGGTGCGAGCAGAGGCCTACCAGGAGGAGGGGCCTAACCGACATATAAACTCTGCCTTCATGACCTTTGAGGTTCTGGGTGACCATGGGAAGCCACGGACCCTGCCACGGATACGACCTGAACCCTTGGTGAGTTAGCTGGTAGATTAAGACACAGTGGGACATGTGCAGAAGAGATTAACACACCCTGGATTTATTATCGTACCCTCCAGCACCAAACTCTTGAGCAGTATGTCCTTCTTATGATGACTTACCTGGGGGAAAGGTGGTCTAAGCTGGAAGGCTGTCAGTATCCCACACAATGAATTTAGTTTGATGATGAGAAAATTATAATCCCAATCAGTTTAAGTGACATTATGGCATGAGAACATACAGTAGCAGTCGCACCGCTGTTGCCAAAGGATGTGATCAGCTGACATTCTATAGTTACATCGAGGGAAGTCCTGATCAGCTTTTTGTAATACAAAGTATCTGCTGATACTGAGTCCTGGTCTGATATGTGTATTTGTCCTGCTAAATCAGCTGGACACCATGTCTTTGTTTTGTTTATAAAAAGAAACTCAAGTGAACAGATTTACCAAACTCTGAAGTGGAGGAATCAAACCAGTGTGCAATGGGGCTCAGTGATGACGAGATTCAAATGTCAGAGCTCCAGATGTCCCATCAGGGTTTTAAATCGACTCATATGCTGTCATGAACTGCACTGTGATGCAGGATGGACCAGAGGTCAAGAGACCTGCGCTGTTTAATTTTTTTAGGAAAAGGTCTACCCCTACTACTCACAGAGCTGAGGCTCTCCAGACATTAGAGTGGTTGTTGAAGTATTTCCACACTGCTTACATGTTACTTACTTGTGCATTTGCATTCTGCTGTCAAGTCAAAATGTTGGATCACCTGGAGATGCAGATCCCTAATCTGTTTTTTGGGACACTTTGGTACCAAGGTTGTAATAGTTTTAAATTTTTTTAGTTTTAATTTTTATTTGGCTTAGACTTTTTATTTTCAGTTTCAATTAAGTTTTGATGAGTTTTTAAGGCTAGATTTTTAGTATAGTTTTTATTCTCTAAAAACGCTTAGTTTTACTTAAGTTTTCATTTGTTTTAGAGTTAGTTTTAGTTTTTGCTACATGGGATAAGCCTACTTGTCAGGAACAAGACCCCCCAAAAATTCAACACTGCGTAGAAAAGCTCAACAAGCCAAGGAATATTTTACACAGCCTGTGGTGTACCAGCTTTACTGTTCTAGTCTTTGGAAACATAAACAGATATACAGTACATAACTCCTTTTGAAGCAGGAGTTCCTGAGGGGAGTCTTGAGAGGCCTGAAGGCACAGCTGATCAAAGATCAGAGCAACAATATAAGATAAGATAAGATAGTCTTTTATTTGTCACACAAGGGAAAATTCCAAATTTACAGCAACGATATATACAGAGGAGAGATTAAAGAATGAAGAAACTTAAGAGTTAAAAGATATTTTAAAAAAAGATATATAATGAGTGTTATTTACAGCTCTTATGTACAATCTCACCCAACTCCACACCTGGCCAGAGCTCTGAAGGAAAATTATCAGCTCTTGTAATCTCAGAGGAAGCAATCTTTAGTTTTTGGAGCAAGCAAAGTCTCAAACAGCAATAATGAGATTTCAGAGTACCAGTGCAGGATGTTATTAATGAGACAAACTGGCAGAGTTTTTGATGAACCAGAAAACAACCCATCACAGGCTTGTACTCATTTGATCATTCAGTGTTCAGATGTGTGAATGATAAACCAGAATTTATCACACAGGACTGACAGCACCATACCCAGACTTGAGACCTGAACCAGCAGAGATGTGGCTCGCTGTCACATCATTAAAGCTGAAAGGTACAGACAGATTTAGGAGCAACATCTGCTACCATCAGAGCCCCATCTTTTTAAAGGACGTCCCTGTTTATTTCAGCAAGACAACAACAAGACACATTCTGCATGTGTCACAACAGTGAGGCTTCAGAGCCAAAGAGTTCAGGTGCTAGACTGGAGCCTACAGTCCAGACTTGTCTCCTATTGAAAAAGTGAGGAGCATTATGAACACAAAATACCACAATGGAAACCCACGACTGTTGAGTTACTGAAGTGGTCATTTTAAACATTCAATATCTTTGTGGTGTTTTCAGTTGAATATAGGTGGGAAAGGATTTGTTTATCATTGTATTCTGTTTTTAATTCTCATTTTGCACAGTGTTCCAACTTAACTATAGTAAGGGTTTGTATAATCAGCAGGTGCACTCATGTTTACTATTACACTTAAAGCTCCTGTGAGGAACTTTCTGTCTGTGCTTATTTTGGTGCCCCCTATAAACCAATGCTCATAGTTGCTGATTTCAGTTTGATTCATAGATCACTTTAAACATCTGCTGTAAAAATTGTAACAATGGCTGTTTCTCTCAGCATACCTACACCCCCCTGCCCCCTTAGCCCCCGACCCACCCACCCACTGCAGTTAAATTCAGCACAGAAAACGATAGTCATGTTATGGATGGTTTTATTTGCCTATTTACATCATAGAAATGCAACATAGCTCGTTTCAGCCTGTTTAATAAACATTTGGAAACCCCTTAAAGTAACTGGTAGCTTTAAAGTGGTGTCTCTTGAAGTTGCAACCAAAACAAAAAGAAAACAGACTTTAGACAAGATTTATCAGAAATGATGTTGAGAGTGAAACCTCCTGAGAAGTTTCTTCAGACCTGCAGGTTTTTCACTTCCTTCCTTTATTTATTTATTTTAACTGTGTAAGATTGATAAATTTGAATTTTGTCCCTCTCCTCACTTTCTTGCATTTACAGGAGGGAGAGAGACGCTTTCAAGAAGCCATAGCCCGGAAGAAGATCCGATTGGACAGGTCTCTTCCTGATCCTGGTTTTGCAGATCTAAAACTTTAATCTTTTAATCCAACTAAATGTGAAAATTCTTCAAGATGTTACTGATAAAGCAAGAAGAGTTTATATGCATGCAGTGACAGCTCTTTCCTGGAGTTAAAAGGGTTTATTACTTAATAATTCATAAGGGTGTTAGACCTATTTTTAACCTAACATTAAAACCTAAAAAACAGATTGTTGGGTGTAAAATCAGAATCATAGGATTTTGGTATCCTCTTTGGACTCTTCTCTCCATGCCCTCTGGTTAAATTTTACCCATTTTCCCCAGATTTTTGAGTCCAAGTTTGTATCTGATAGTACAGCCTTATACTTAACACTTGGTATCACGTCTAATATTCTCCCACTGTGCAGGATGAGTCACACTAACACGATACTGCTCTCATCATTTTGTTGCAGAAAGTATATCATTTCCCGGAAGCAGGGTGAGGTGCCTTTGTCTGTTCCCTGGGATCCCAGAAACCAGGTGAGGATGATTAAAAAGTTACAATCACCTGTGCTGTGATTGACAACTCACTTCTGCTACTGGTAAAATGCTACTGTCTTTAGTTCATATATATTTACCATATTTGTCTATAATTTCATGATCCTCCAGGTTTATCTGAGCTACAATAACGTCTCTGCTTTAAAGATGTTGGCTGCAAGAAAAAACTGGCGCCTCAGCACTGAGAAAGACAAGGTGGGAGCTTTTTTTTCAGAGACAGAGGTTGTCTTATTTTCCTGGAGAGACCGATTTTTGATATAGTCCCTTTTTTCCAGGTTCGACTGTACACCCTGGAGCAGAAGTCCATGTTGAGCTTTAGAGTGGAGGCAGAGGTGGATGTTCCTGCTCACAGAGCCTTCTGTCTGCTAGCTACGCTGAGCAACAGACCCTGCTGGGACACACATTATCAGTAATACTTTCAGACATACACACACACACACACACACACACACACACACACACACATTTCTTTTCAAGCTTGGCAAACTGTACATGCTCTGCTTGTATAAAGGGCAGAGTATTGTGTATCTGGTTTTAGTGCATATGAACCTTGCAGACGTGAGAAACTCAAGACAGAATTTAGAAAACTGTAGAGCCCATCTTGAGAGTCATAAATAAGTGGTGCTCTCTCTCCCTCTCTGTCTGTTTTAATTCAGCAACTGTGAGCTAATCTACCGAGTTGATGATGAGGACTTCTTGTACCGCGTGGTGACTCCATCAGTGCACCAGGGCGCTGTGGGCTCCCCAACGTCAGCCTCTCAGGGGGGAGGAGTTCTTCAGGACTTCATCTTGTTGGCATCCAAGAGGAAACCGTGTGGTGCTGGGTAAGTTCTTTGACCAAATGGCTGATCTGAGAGACAGGTCAGAGGACATGAAGCACAGTGCTACAGGATTAACCATTGTTTATCTTTCCCTTCTCAGAGATCCATATGTCATTGCCCTGCGTTCAGTGTCTCTGCCCACTCACCCTCCAAATGAGGGGTTTAACAGGGGAGAGGTTCTGTGTGCTGGATTTACCATCCTAGAGACCAAAAACAACACCTCAATAGTATGTCAGATAATCCTTTGAACAGTTCATTTAAAATCTACATTACTTAACATTTACATCACAATCCTCTTTTTATCTTTTTCCAGATCACTTACTACAACCAAGCCTCTCCAGAGGTTCTTCCCTATATCTCCACAGACATTGCTGGCCTCTCCTCCTCTTTCTACCACACCTTCTGCTCCTGTAGCCAGTACCTGACCAGGAACAGACAACAGTCTTCCACCTCAAAGCAGACGAGTGAAGAACAGACCTCAGTTACAGACAGTCCTTCCTGTGATGATGAAGTTGACAGTCTGTCAGTGGCCCTTTGTAGCACCCAGCTGTAGTCAGTCAGTCAGGCCAGTTTACACACCAAAGACAAGTTTGATCTTAAACTGCTGCTTCATACAAGGTGGTACGGTTCATTTAGTCACAGTCAAGAGATAAATCCAACAGAGATAAAAGCTGCTTTAAAACTTTGTTTTTAAAAAGAGGATAACAGTGAGAACAGGAGAACATGCCTCAGACATTAAATGCTCATAGTTGTTATGAATCAAATTCAGGTCTTAGTCTGAGATCAGCATTAATATAGAGGCCTGTTAAAAACTTGGTTCGATTACAGACAAAATCCACTTCCGATACCACCTCACCTGGTGAATTTATCCACTCACATGGTTTCATACATCACTGCCAGGCAGATGACACCCAGCCCCTCCTGTCATCCTCAGATGTCATGTCATACTGATGTTTGATGAAGGACAGCTCTCATCTCTAACCTTGTAATGCCTACAAAGCCTAAAGATTTGATGGTTCAATCTAAAGGGGGCATGAATGTCTCTATTAACAGTAAGATGATAAAAATGTCAAAATGTCTATCAGTCAGTGGTGCTTCAGGAGACATTAGGGGTCACCAAAGTTAAGTGGGATGGTGCAGTAAATGACCAGATTGTTCAAGGGCGGAGTACTGACAAAGATCGATGCTGCTTCAACAGCCAAACATTGATGATAAAGAAATGAGGCTCAGCAGGAAAGAAAACTGTCTTCATTCACTCACACACCTCTCTCTGTCTCTCATAGTCCCTCTCTCTGGTCTATGCTGTCTGTCCAGTACACCAAGGGAATTTTCATAGTTTCACCCAGCTGGACCAATTCAACACAAATTTACCTCAGATTTCTTTGAGTTACCTGCATGCATTACTTCTCAACATAAGGTACACTGTGGGGGCTCATTACTTCATGCTGTACAACATATAGGCTCCTATCACTTTAAGTTATTGTGATAGGTTAAGAATACTTCAGTAGAACCTGGCTCGTATTTAGCATTAAGGGTCCAAAACCTCCTGACATACTGCCGATATACTTGACCTGCAGAAACATTCTGTAGTCAAAGCCTTCACGGTGAATGCTTAAGAGGTGATGAGCTGAAAGTTTGGGTGTGAGTCTGGTACAGGGCAGCAGAGGCATAGGAATGGCAGAGATAGAGACCTGAGGCCTGTACTACGAAGCTGGATTTGGTCTTAGCGAGATAACTTCTGGATAACTTCTGGGTTTTCCGTACTACGAAGGTGGATCTCTTTTTATCCGGGTCCGTTGCCCCGGTAACTTACGCGGAACGCCAAACCTGCTTCGGAGCAGGTTATGTTTCAGGATAAGATCTCAGCAGGTATAAAAGACCGCCCGATGACCAATCGGATCTCTTGGAAAATGGCTCGCCCACTTTTGCCGGATCCCGGGGACATCGTTGCACGGATAGTGAGAGGAGCGCTTCGCCGAGAGCGTTATATTCATGATTGTTCAAACCCGTTTGATTTACCTCATGATGTTCTCTATGAACGTTACAGGTTTTCCTCGGACGGCCTCAATATTCAGGTAGCATGAAGTCTAAGCAATACACTAATATTTGCCAAGCTCCAGGTTCCAATTTCATGCAAAACTCTTAACCCCAAATGTGTCTGCAGATGACGTGACCATCAGATGATGGAGAAAAAAAAAGGCAGTGTGAGGAAATCACTGTTTACGCGTTGAAATATACAAATAAAATCTTCCAATAAACGTATAAACTACTTTAAAGGATGTTTTTAGATTTATTTTTATTTGCTCCCACGTACTCTTTTCCCCACTGCTGTTGTGTCTGAAATAATGAAGTCAGTGATGGTGGTGATCACACACGCTGCATGACAACATATTAGGGGGCCATAAATTTATGAACGCACAAATGTAATTTCCACAACCGGTGATTTTTTTTTGCCGGCAGTCCCTCCGGCTTTTAGCGGCTGTGTCTGTCTCACTGTTTAAATAAAGCTCTGTTCTTCAGCTGTGAAAAATGACGTGCAGCCTTCTCCATTGTGGAGATTGGTCCGGTGGCACTGACCCGACCCCCTTTACGTGTGCGCGCACAGATCTGAAGTGGCCACCCCTGGATTCAGTTATCGAGTTGATAACCGGCTTCGTAGTACAGCTGATCGGGATCGCGGAGATCCGGTGAAGTTGAGCGAGTTGTCGCAGAGTTATCCTGGATGTGTTAATCCAGCTTCGTAGTACAGGCCTCTGAAGTCTTGCAGCTAACAGACCACCTACTGTGAGGATATGGAGTAAGTAAGTGGAGCTCGATTTGCCTGCCTGAACTAGCTCAGTTGTTCTCTGTACCATTCAGATTTTGACCTACAAAGTACATGCTTTTGTGAGTCGTGTTGACAGGTGGCATTGATTTAAGATGATGAGAGTGGATCTGGTCTGGATGAGACTCAGTCTGATATAGTCCTGCTGTTAAATCTTTGTAAAAAAAATCAAACGGTCTAATCCAGCACTTTTTGTAAAGAATTTAGAGATTAGGTTTGTTGTGACTTGGTGCTTTATAAATAAAGATTGATTAAGGACATGACTGGCTGTTTGTTGTTCCACTTCACATCCCCTCAGACCTGATGTGCATCAATTTAACCCAAATACTTGAACTTTAACTCTGACCTCAGTCTCTTTTTGGAAGTTTGCTCTGGTCCCAGTCTGACCTAATAAAACCTGTTCAGTCCTCCTGTGTTTTTGCTACATCCTCTTGATCTGATGACTTAATGTCAGGTTTGAATCAATTCGAAATCACAGTGTGAATCTCTTCATACCTGCCTCTCTTTTCATTTCAACCACAGCTAACCTGTGAAGACGTGCAGAGGACTGGCTGTGGCTCACTGATAGAGCTAATTGTCTTTTAACTGGAAGGTTGGGGTTTGATTTCAAGTCCTGTTTTGACATGCTTAGTCAGTGCTGATGGCAGACCCGGCGGCATGGTCGGGCATTGGGAGGCCGTGCCCGCCCACCGAGTCAGCTGGGCCCGCCCTGGACTAAAAGCAAAATTTTCTATTAATTTGATTTGGGGTTTGTTTTTTTCAGTGAGAGTAGTTATTTTTAGTTAATCCCCTCTATCTCGACATGTCAATCATTTTAACCAATCCAATCAATCGAAGGCAACATGTTATCCAATTACAGGTACAGGGGGCGGGCCGTTTACAGAGTTAAAGTTCAAATATTCAGAAATATAACAGACGGACTCGGCGCGGCAGAAGCCGGATTTGCCGGTAAACATCGAAAAATGGATATAAGAGTATTTTTGTCCATCAAAAAAGGACGACTAACACTGACAGGAGCAAGCAGGAAGTAGCGGCAGCGCCACACAGCTCCAGTTTTAGGAACCTAAGCACCGAAGCCAACTATCTCACCCAGAGACTGTATAAAGAATGGACAGAGTCTGCCTCCTCGCTGGGTGAAGCCACTCCGAGAACAGCACCCTCTGATGGTGGGCTGCAGTACAGGTTATAAATCCCGCCTCCGCCAGCAAAGCTTATGGGACTGTGGACAAACTTTAGAAATTTATTACACAGAACATACATTTTTCTCCCCCCTGCTTGTGATGTTGACATGTAGTTATTGTAAGACTGGTTTGTGCCCAAGTCCTTTTTTTCTGTACAGCTCCGTTTTTAAAAGTTTTTAGGGGGTTCATGTTTTCTATGATTGCCACCTGGTACAGTCTATGGGCGTTCAGGGATTGCGTAGCTCACCCGGGGGGATTCGCTGTTTGAGCCGAATGTCATCACAGGGACTCTCGGCGACTGCGCGGCCGAACGCGCGCATTGCTACTGCGCAGCTCTGGTTTCAAGGAAGTGGAGAAAAACCCGGAATTACCGCAAGCTTTTTCCTGCTAGCGGAGGGAGCAGCAGGACCTGCAGCGAGACCCTCCTGCCCGGAAACGTGAGTGATGACGCCGATGTTGTGAATAACATTAGATTACCGAAGCTTCGCGTAAACCTTAAAGCCGCAAGGAACAGCAGCAAGGCAGCTTCGTTCTGCTACTGGTGCTCCACCTTCTCCCCGAGAATGAATGGTTACTCCGGTGTGACTGTTGGCTCGGTGCTTAGGTTCCTAGAACTGGAGCTGTGTGGTCTGTGTGAGTGAGTGAGCGAGCAAGCAAAAAGTTTCCACACAGACTTTAACACCAATATTTGTGGATTAAAGAAGTTCAAGGTATATGGTACCTATTATTTTTTATTATCATTTGTTATTGTTAAAACAAAAGTGTGCAGCTTCACTTATACTAATTTGGATGAGCTATCTAATTACAGATATTCTCATAATTAGCTCATATTCACCATACAAGGTAACCACAAAACTACCCGGCCCACGCCGCAAAAATCTCCTGGATCTTATAACCCAAATGTTGGCAGATATGTGTGTGGCCCTGCTCTCTGAATGCCCCTGGCCTCTGTTTTATTGATAATAAATAAACACAACATTACAGTCACTACTGTTTTTGTGTGTTTTAGTGCTATATGTTTAAAGATGAAATGCCTCTTGTTACTAAAAGAACATTTCAATACTGTAGGAGTGGCCAAGAGCTGCTGTCAAGCCTGAAGCAGATAAAATACAGGTTTAAATAAGTGTGCCCCCCTGAGGAAATGCAATGCCCACCCTCTCATTTGCTTCTGCAGCCGGGTCTGGCTGATGGGCGCTCTTACATAGCAGCCTCAGCCTTCACTGAATGATGGATCGGACGTGAAGCAAAACACCATGTGAAAGGTCAGGACAAGAGAAAATGCCACATAAACCGGATGTTTGAGTCTGACCATTTCTCAGCCTCTGTATTGTTTTCTGCCTCCTGTCATGACTAAGTGCCATTTCTTCCTGATTTGCAGAACCCAATCTTTAACAATCATGTTTTTTTCAATATCAGAATCCATCCATTCAGCTACAACTCTGGGAGCTGTCACCTCCAGAAGTTCTCTGATGACACAGCCATCGTCGGATGTGTATCGTCAGGGGACGAGCGGGAATACAGGACTGTCATCACTGACTTTGTCAACTGGTGTGGCACAAACCACCTCCAGCTCAACGCCAGTAAGACAAAGGAGATGGTTGTGGATTTCCGCAGGAGGGGGACACCTCAAACAGTTCCAGTGAACATACAGGGTCTGGACATCGAGATGGTGGAGTCCTACAGATTCCTGGGTGTCCACCTCAACAACAAACTGGACTGGTCAACAAACACAGACGTTCTGTACAAGAAGGGCCAAAGTCGTCTCCACCTGCTGAGGAGACTGAGGTCCTTTGGAGTGTGCAGGACTCTGCTCAGGACTTTCTATGACTCTGTGGTAGCATCTGCACTTTTCTATGCAGTGGTCTGCTGGGGGGCAGGGAGCACCGAGAGGGACAGGAAGAGACTGAACAGACTGGTCAGGAGGGCCGGTTCTGTCCTGGACTGCTCTTTGGACTCCCTGGAGGAGGTGGGTGAGAGGAGGATGTTAACAAAGCTTATATCCATCATGGACAATCCCTCTCACCCACTGCACCAGACTGTGGGGGCTTTAGGCAGCTCCTTCAGCAGCAGACTGAGACTCCCACCCTGCAGGACGGAGCGCTACCGCAGATCATTCCTCCCCTCTGCAATAAGACTTTACAATGAACAGTAACAAAACTGGATTTACACCACCACTTTTTTTTATGGCATTTAAATTGTGTATATTGCAGAAAGCTTTATTTTTTCTTCTCCCTTTTCTCTTTTCAATTTTTTTTTTTTTTTTCTTAATTATTACATTTATTAAGTTCTTAATATTAGGACCCTTATTGTTATAACTGCATTTTGCACTTTCTGTCTTGTCTGTGATGCTGCTGTGACAAAAAAATTTCCCCCATGGGGGATCAATAAAGGAATATTCTATTCTATTCTATTCTATTCTATGTCAGAAAACACAAGCTGTAATTAAGCTAAGGAGTAACAAACTGAAAACACTGACCTGAGGAGTCATGTGGTCAGCCTCTAATACTTTATAGTAACCACTATTCTCTAACTCAGGGGTGGGCAATCATGTGCCATGGAGGGCCGAGAGGCTGCAGGTTTTCTTTCCAACCCAAAACTCCACCAGGTGATTTCACTGATTACCTTACCTCCAAGCAGAGAGCAGAGACTAATCAGTGAAATCACCTGGTGGAGTTTTGGGTTAGAAAGAAAACCTACAGCCTCTCGGCCCTCCATGGCACATGATTGCCCACCCCTGCTCTAACTAGTCATGATTTTGTGGTTTTGGCCTCTGGGTTTCTGGGGTGCCAAGCAAAATGTAAATAAAAACAGATTTGATGGTTTGGAAATCACACGAGCTTTTATTAAATCAAGAATAGAGCCAGGACAAGAGATTAAACTCTGAAACTGAAAATGTTCTTGTTTTATGGAAATATGCTCAAGAAGCTGAGTCTGTCAGAAGTAAAAATGAGAGGAGATTTATTACTCTGAGAGACAAGGTGAGAAGAAAGTCCAGCAATTTTAGAGTAATGTTCCTGAGTGTAAAAAAAAAAAACGACATGAATTTGAGGGTTTTATCACCTATACTTTAATAAAGGGACAAGGGAGAAAACTGACTCTCTTCTCTCCATAGGTTCACTGCCCTGACAGCTTCTGCATGTATGATACTGTGTTCAGTACTCTGTCCATCCGCTCACAGCACCCACATGCCACACTGTGGTTACAAGCCTTGTTGCTGTCCTGATATGTTCTGTTGATTTAGTTTTCTCCTGGTTTCATTTAAGTGCATTTTGTGTATTTTCCCTCCTGTTCTCAGTGTTTTATTCATTTAATCAGTTTTCAGTGTTTATTTCCTGTTTTATTTTGTTGTAGTTGATTCCTTGTGTTTCTTGTCTTGTTTTACTTCCATAGTTTCCCTCCTTTGTTAATCACTCATGAGTTTCACCTGTGTCTCGTCTGCCTCACCTGTTGCTCATTTCCCAGTGTGTATATGGTCCCTGTCTTCCCCTCTGTCTTTGTTGGTTCATTCTGTCACGAGCCAGGGTGAAACAAAAGCAAAAAGGACCCAAGTATAGGTTAAAAAAAAAAAAAAAGATTTCTTAGATGTAGCAATCAAGACAACCTTGAGTGTGAAACTCACACATTCCTCACAGGAAAGTTTCGTTATCTGGTCCCAGGACACAGGATATAAATCTTTCCAGACTTGTGTGCACTTTCAGGTTACCTAAATGACCCGACCGGAGGTTGACTAAACCTCTGACTCTTTACGATTGGTCAATTCGGAGAACAGAGACAGAGTTTTTATTACCTTTCAAACTGACTCCATTGCTGACCATCTGAATAAACATTAACGTCTCAACCCAGATCTCCCATTTGAGATTTACCATCTTAAAGTGTGTGAACATACGGACCCCAGGATAAGGGGGGACACTGACCTCCAGACCTCGGTCGTAAAACCCTGCTCGACCATACACTGATAAAGACTACATTCCTTTGGTGAAAGAATACAAATGACTGATCATGACATCTTATGCATTCAGCAATGTACTAATCTGTCTAATCATGAAATTTGTGTTAAAATGAGATGTTTCCCGTTCTTCTAT